AGAAAATTGCTGTGATCCTCCATTTTACTATACTTGAATATTCTGTGACTATAATATGGTATAGTCATAATATAATATAATATATTCAAACATAGTCATATTCAAGTGATCCACCAAGGGCATAATATGTTCATAATATTCTGAATATATTCCCTTGCCCGAATATCAGCAAATGCCTTCCGCTGCCCCCACCTGTGCCATCGGTTCTCACGACAGGACAATGCGCAGTGAGGGTCCGAGGCCGCTCCAGTCGTTCTCGAGCGCTCATATCACACTGACCAATCATCGCTCCCAGTTGTGATGGGGTGCTTACCAAAGCGGGTCCCGGCACACGGGAGACCGAGGGCGGAAGGCCGTCGAGGTAGAAAGAGATTATCTGTTTTGACCTATGAAAAGCAGAAAAACAGCTCCACCAAGTATTTACAGGACTCATGTCATAGTGGAGAGTATGATGAAAGAGTGAGTTCATTGTGGAGTAATGGCATGCTTGAGCACAACTCCGGCGGGATAAACAATCTTATCTATCTCGGATCGCGTGATCCACAATCTGGGGCCTTACATACACCCTCCATATCTTTGCTTGGAAAGATATCAGAGTCCAAGTTCATCTTGAGCAGCATCCAACATGGAATGCGCACAAGACGCGCAATCAGCAACCGTTGACTCATACCACGTGATGAGATCAAACGCGTCATCGCATAAGCGCTTCTTGTCCAGAACCACCCGATATCTGATTTGGAGTCTACTATGGTGAGTGAATTCACACTCGGAGCGACTGTGAATCGACTCAGCCTCCGTTTGGAGTCCAAGGCGGGCTTCTAGGACTATCTGCACCATCCGAGCAAGCACGTCCGTCGTCATCAAATGACTCGAAGAAATGCGTGCGGCGGCGCAAGTTCTTGGTGCCGAGACCCAACGACATGGCTCTGTGGCGAGCATACCACACGGCGATACGGAAGCGAGCGTCGGCCAGCTGCCATGACTCAAGTGACACTTCAACACCGTACATCTGATCGCGCACGAAGATCTTCGAGTCCGGGCCTCGAGTAAGCGCGAATCGGCGCTTATCCTTGACGTTTCCATTGTCTCCAGGGTACGGCTGGGTGTGTTGCAACGACAGCTCTGCATTGAGGAGGACGAAATCGTTAACCGGTTGGCCTTCATCAGGTGCGTTGTCCCAAAATCTCGACGATTTGTCTGAAAATTCGTCACTGGAACAATCAGTGGTCTCTCCCTCGCCCTCCTGGACAGCAACACCGTCGCTGAGGAGCTCAGATTCGACTTCGTCAGCCCACAATAAGCCTACGGCGCCAACTGCCAGCGTCTCGAGCACCTCTGTGCTTGCATACAGCGCCGACTGGCGCTCTGAGAAGTCCACGCCGTGAGTGCCAAAGCCCGGCAGCTTTCCCTTCACGGTAGACTTCATCCTGGATGTTGTGGGGCGGTCTCGGGCCAGATGACCGACTTCTCCACAGGTAAAACAAGCTCCCGTCACGAGGAGCTCGTTCCGATGTTTGGCAGACATACGGCGCTCCCAACGGCTCGTTCTTTTACTCTTGACCAACTCTTGACGCCGTCGCTCGAACTTGGGGGCCAGCGCTCACCTTGACGCCACACCAGACCACACTCTCCAACGGACATCCTGGGCTGGGCCACCGTGCGTCCGTGACGCCCTCCAAGTTACGCATGCGGCATCTCCAAGTCACGAAGCAGCTGTTATTCAATATTGAAGGACGAGCTCCTGCTCTTTTCGGTAACGCTCAACAGCAACTACTAGTATAAGCAAGTAACCCACCACGTCCACCCCTCATCACCTCACAGGGACGTCACCACCCAGCACTGAACCGCGGCTCGGACGTCTGTTCTCAGACAAGCACATCATTTTGACCCCAGGCGATTGCTCACGCCACACAGCCACACCCTTGGGCTTTATTATTATTATTATTATTGTCTCCACACCATCTTCACCTACTCACTCCCCTTCCATCGAATGGCCACATCTTTCAGCTGAGTCTGAGGTGACTAGTAATGTCCATGTAGCTCTCCTAGGCAATGGCACGGGTAGGCCATACCCGCGCGGCGCGGGTACGCGGGTTTTACCCGTGCGGGTACGGGTACGGGTCAGTGCAGCCCTTACCCGTCGCTTCCTGACTCAGCTGTTTCCCCTCGTGGTTGGTGGTCAAGAGGTTCTCCGTTCGATTCTGCATTTGTGTTCCATTTTCACCGCACATTTCTGGCGTACTTTGGACACTAATCACAGTCTCGTCACCATGCCTTCTTGACTCCCTGCGCCACCCGTGGGTAAACCCATACCTGTACCCGCGGGTATGGGTACCGTGGCTGTGCGGGTAAGGGTACGGGTAGGCCCTCGGATACCCGTGGGTATACCCGTGCCATTCCCTAAGCTCTCCCTCAGGCCAAGGTTCGAGTTCCTCTGTCCCGCTTCGTGCAAGCACAACCACTGGCAGAAGCGCATCATTCCCACCCCCTGCACTGGCAACAAGCTCCCTCCATTTGCCGACTTCTCCATGGGTGTACCCCTTCAGCGTGATGCGCTGCAGTGCGGGAAACAAGGACAATATTCCCCTCCAAAGCAGGGTTTCTTCCTCAGAAGTGAGGATCCAGCGGTCCAGGCACAATGTTTCGACGGAGCGCCAGACGCGGACGAGCGTCTGGTGTGGGCCGGCATCCAGGGATGATGCTGACGGAAGGATGCTTGCAAACGCGGTCGTGGCGAGTGGGGATACAGAATCTTCGTTCCAGGAAAACACGAGCTGGCGAATGCGGGTCGAACCGCCTGGGGGCCCAAAGCGGAAGCTGATATCAATGTTTCTGCGGGCGTAGCCTCAGTCCCGGGCCGGTGTGTCTGTGCGATGGAACGTAAGGCTTGTTGGGGCGTCCGAGTGGGGGAAGTGTGTGGCGAGTATCATCTCGAAGTCGCGGCGAGCGGAACGCGGCAGGGTCCAGTACTGGACGGTGCAGTGTGTGAGCATGGGGAGGGCGAACGAGCAGAGGAGTCGAGCGCAGAAGTGATCGAGGCCAGGGCCATTGATTAAAACAGAGCGGAGATTAGGGAGCGGCGCGGGGGTGTTCTGGGCGGGCGAAGCCGGGGTGCGCTCTGTAGAGCAGATATAGGGTGAGGTTTTCAAGATGAGTGAGTCCCGAGAGCGCGTCGAGAAGGGCGGGATTGAGGTAGGAAAGGAGCGTCAAGTCTAGTGGTCTTCTGGCCTTGGCTTGGCCTGAAAGCCATGGCTTTGGCCCGGCTTTCCCTAGCAAAACCTCAGGCCAGGCCAACTGAGCTGGCTTTGGCCTGGCTTTAGCTTGGCTTTGGCCCAGGCCATGGCCTCGGCTGAGTTTGATCCGGTGCTGTTTGACAGATGTTGGTATCAGAAACAATATTAAATATTTGATCTAGTTCAAAGACTGGTAAGAGGCAAACTGTAGAGCATCTATAAAGCCTTTAGATACTAGCAATGACCCTTCTAGGCTAACATATCACTAGATAATTTCCTTTTTGGGTAGTTAAATCAGCTATCAATGATCATAATGAAAGCCATTGGCTTTTGGCCTGGCTTTGGCTTTCTAAACCCTTAAGCCAGGCCAAAGCCAACACAGGCCAAGATTTCTGGCTTGGCTTTGGCCCTGGTACCAAAGCCAAAAAGCCATGGCTTTTTGGCCTGAAGCCAAAGCCAGCAGACCACTAGTCAAGTCGCGCAGCTTGGAGCCGGTGTGGTAAAGCGGCTGTATGGGTCCGTTAATGCAGATTGGGGTACAAGAGTTCCCGTCCTTGATCACTCAACGAAGGATCTAGACGACCTTGGACGCCGCTGGTGATCGACATCTTTGTGAGGATCGGAAACGGGCCCCGGAGCGCGCCGAGTCGCATCAGGGAGTCGTCTGAAGGGTGGCTGGAGAGGAGTATCTCCTTGATGCGGTCCTTGGCAACCTCCAAGACGGCGCTGACGCGTTGGGGGGCTGTCGGTTGTCTCTGGGAGATAACGAGGTCGGCCAAATGGCATTCGACGAAAAGCGGGCAGGATTTGGAGCGCCGGACACAGACTTTCGCCCAGTGCGGCGCGGAGAAGTTGACCTTGGACCAGAGCGCGGGGGTGGCGAGCGCGACCTGCCGCCAACGAAGGCAGACTTGGCTGCATTCGAAGAACGAGTACTCCCCCCGGGGAAGCGCGGTGACGCAGACTTCCGTGAATATTGTTACCAAGAGCTCCGTTGGAAGGACGTGAATAGGCGCCTGAAATTGGTCGGCGCCTCGCCGGAGCATGGCGAGGTCGTCGGCGGTGTCGGCACGCCCCGCCTTGAGCGAAGCAACTGTGAGCTCGCGGTCGGAGTTTGGAGCGAGTATCGACCATAAACCTGCGGCTGCGTTGAGCTGGGAGCCATCCAAGCAGTTTGCGCACCCCTTTTGACCGCGAAAAGGGCGTTCATGATGGTTGGTGTGAGGTGAATGCGGCTGGCCTAAAAAGGAAATCGTCTTCCTCTTCTTTCCCTCATCTGTGCGCCGCCTGGTCTTTCGATTCCCTCAACTGCGGAGCCGCGACGGTGCACATTGTTTCCTCATGAGGGGCCCGAGTAGCGAAAGACTGTCGCTCTGAGATGTGCTGCGTTTGACGCTCGCGCTTCAGAATCCGAGTGTACGAATGGACCCACTGCGCCATGCTTTCAACAGATGGGGGTTCTCACTTGGTGATCTCGTACTGCGTGCTAGGTCCACCTTCGTGCCTCTTTTTTGACCCTCCCCAACAGAACACGGCTCTACACTCAGGCTCCCGATTTACTATTCGAAAGCAATTGAATACTCCCCTTCCGCCTCCCTTTCCTTACGCGCTTTTTAATACCTCGGCACCGGATGTAGTTGTTGACGACAAGTCTAATGACTAGGACCGGCGCCCTACTCTCCGCAATGCAATGCAGAATCCAGATACTCGACAAATGTGTCAATGATATTCTAAGCGTAAAGGCCTCGCGTATGGTTTCCACCAAGGTCAATCGACATGGTCACCGGCCTTGAGCAGCTCGTATACCGCCTGCCGGGTCATTCCGGGTGTCCCCTCCTCTTCATCTTCCCCTTCCTCCTCGTCTTCCCATTCTTCTTCATCTCCCTCCTCGTCTTCCTCTTCCGCATCCTCTTCCGCATCTTCGCCCTCCGCATCTTCCTCTCCTCCATCCTCCTCTCCATCATCATTCCCCTCATCTTCCTCTCCCTCTGCCTCCGCCTCCGGCTCGTCGCTCGGCGGCGCCGACCGGTACAGCCACGCGCCGTCCTCCTGCTCGCCCGCCTCCTCGTCAATAAAATCCTCGAAATTCATATTCGCCATGTCCAGATTCGAAATCATGCCCCACGCCTTCTCCCACGGGAGCCGGCACGCGCGGAAATCGTCCGTCATCTTCCCCTCCCCCTCCTCCCCGTCCGCCGGCGGCGCGTACGTCTGGTGGCACACGAGACACGTGCCCGTCTCGAGCCCGCGCTGGTCGAGCACGGCCCAGTGGCTGTTCGACAGGTCGATCTTCTCCAGCGCCTTGCCGTTCGCGCGCACGAAGGTGTTGATTTCCGCCAGCGACATGCCCGCGCACTCGCTCGCGGCGATTACCGGGGTGATGGGCAGCCGCGTGGGCTTGCGCGCCTTGGCCTTCGAGGGGAGCTTCTTGGAGCTGAGGAGGATCCAGCCGAACTCCGGGGGGAACTCGGAGTACTCAAAGTCGTGCACATATAGCAGCGCCCGGTTGAGCGTCTAACAAACGTCAGAACGACGGTCAGACAGGGCAGAGGAGAAGACCTTGGGTGGCGCTTGCGGAGCGGTGAGGAAGATAGCCCAGTTCGTCATGGTGGAGGAAAGGGAAAAAAAAAATCAGACGATCGATCGGCGGTGGTGATCCCTATTTGTACCTGCCGTTCCGCGCACCGTATATCAACGGATCGAACACGACACTGCTTGGCGTGGGTCTTCGCCGACATCGTTGTCATCCAAACACCAATATGATTATGATACATTGTGAGTAGTGCTGGCCTATTATGATATTATTATGCCAAATGCATAATAATAATATAATAATATCATAATATGGTTCTCAGCAGCGTAATATATCCATAATATAATATAATAATAATAATTTGAAATATTATATTATAATTTTATTATAATATTTCATAATATATTATCCTGCTGCAACAAACTTTCAATATTTCCAACCTTGGTTTGTACTATAGAGTTTAGTAGTACTATTGTGTAATGCTCTATAGTAGTAGCTTATCTAAATCCCTCTATTAGATTGTGTTTAGAAAAGACCTTTCAGTCACATGTCTGCAGTGAATTGCCTTATTTGGAAACTGTGACTACATTATGATATTTATAGGATGTAGAGATAGTGTTTTTGTTCAGGTTGACCATTCTCTCAACCTAGTTGTTAATAGTCAGATATGCAAGTCTTTCTCAACTGACTATTATCTCCAACAAGTATGAACTAGCCTTATGAATTATCAGCTATGAGACCATTCAAGGTAGACAAATATGACTAGAACAAGAATACAAGTAGTACTAGTCATTGTACAAGCTGGTTTTGTACAATGTTTACCAGTTTGGAGCTGATAGCTGATATCTAAGTCACTTGAATAATATATTATAATTTATTATGCTAGAGGCATAATAATAATATAATAATAACATAATATAATATAATATTGAATAATAATAATATTGATTCCTGCCACCAAGCATAATATAATCGTAATAATAATAATAATATGGCATAATAATAAAGCGTAATATAATAATGGCCAGCACTAATTGTGAGGATACAAATTTGCTCGCGCTACAGGGGGAGATATAAAAACTAACAAACATCCAGCGCAACATCGGCCTGCCAGACATCCTCGAAGGTGTTGACGAGGGCAACGAGGTACATGTGCTTGAACTGCACACAGGCGGGAGAGATCATCCATTCAGGGGAGGTGGGCTGCTCGTATTGCGTTTTCTGAGTTGTTGTCAGCCAAAGTAAATCCGGCCCGGGGCAGGTCGAGGAACAGACCTCGAACCAGCTCGCAAAGCTTGTCGCAATCTGGACAGCAAGTGCGACGCGCGTTATCGGCGCGCCGCTCGGGCTCACAACGGGCATCGTCCGACACCACTCGACGTGTCCGTATCCCGGCCACTGCCTCGGAGTCAGCAACCTAGTTGAAGCGGGGTAGCCTTCTTGAACTCACGATGATGCGAAATACGACCCGCTGCAGGCCACTCGGCGCCAGAACCAGGTCGGCCGCGCCGTGCATCGGGATCGCAGTGCTCTTCAGGCGCAAGTCGCGCATTGACACACCCTGGCCCGCGCGCTGGCCCGCGTAGTCGAATGAAACCGGCGGGAGTTGGCGGTGCGCGGCGCCATTGGTGCGCCGCCAGCCCTGGGCGGGGGTGTAGGGCTGAGGAGGGACGCGGCGCTTGGTCGGGGAGGCGAAAGACATGGTGTTATCGAGAGTAGAGGAGGAGGAGAAGTGCTGGTCGGATTGGCTCGGGCTGGAGGAGTGAAGAGCGGCATAGGCGAGGCCAGGTTATATACGCCGCTTTCGAGGAGCTTTGAAGGTATTGGTGCGCGAGCCCGCCTTTCTATGCGCACCAAGGAGTCAAGGACAATGGGCCGCCAGGGTGGTTGACGACGCGGGCGACATAGGGATCGCATTCGCGTTGGGGCGCTCTTTGTCTGCGGGCCCGGCCATGCCTTGATTGCCGCGCGGTGGAAACGAAGTCCTCGAATACCGGCGTCTTCGACGGTGCATGTAGAGCAGGGCAGACTTCGAGTTTGCGGAGGAAATGCGACGCATTGTTGACGAGAAGTTACTTGCGTGAGCCTAGTAGAAATGCGTCCGGATGGGCGAACTTGAAGCATGCTTTGGCAGCGGAAACAACGCCTCATGCTGAGGATGACGACGAACGACAAAGGACAAAAGGCGCCACGTGTAGCCACGTGTCCGCTTTCACCTCAAGCGGAGGCCCGGGGAGTTGACGAATAGTGACGTCGGTCCACTATCACGGTTAATGAGTAGCTGTCTCAAGACGCAGAGGAGGCTTGGTGGAGGTTGAGGGCAAAGTCGTTCCAGCGATCAAGGCCTGACACCCACGTGACACTAGGGCCTTAGCAAATGCAATCGCTCAGCCCGACCAACGCCGCGGCCGCCGTCGGCCAGATACCTTTCCCACGAACCACGCTTAATCCACGTCCACCACTGGCATGTACCTCCAAATGCTACCCGTCACCGCCGTCGTGGGCGGCGAAGAGTGGGAATGGCTGCACAACATCTGGCTTTCCATCTGGACGTGGCTCCGCAATGCCACATTTCATGTCTGGGCCTGGATGCAGCGCGCTTGGGCCAACAGCCTCGCCTGGCTGAAGGAACATGTGCCGGCGCTGCTCGAGTTGTGGGGCGTCGTTACACAACCACGTAAGTCTGCTCAGATTCATGCACTCCCTTCGCTATACCATAACTCTCCGGGCAGTCAACGACAACCCGGCGGTAACGCTGCTCGTCTCCGGCGCTATATTCCTCGGCCCCCAGGTGCTCCTCTTGCCCATCTTCCTTGTCCAGCTGCTGTTCTACGGTATCCTGACTCTCTTCGGCTTCGGGTTGCACGGCATCGTGAGAGGTTTGTCGCATTTCCGGAATTGCATAACTCCATGACACGCAGTTTTGCAGGCTCTCCGGCTGCAGCATACCAATCCCTCGCGTACGGCGGCAACACCCCCGCTGGGTCCCTCTTTGCCATATTCCAGTCCATCGGCATGAAGTACAATGCGGTCACCTTGAGCAGCTGGGTCTTCGCAAGCGTCCGGCTCCTGGCGGGTGCGGTTTTCGTGTACATGCTGTATGTCGTATTGCATTGAAAGCGCAGAAGGCGGGAGTCCAGAACAAGCACGGAGATGAACGGTATCCAAAACGAGAAATCGAAATAGTGAATATAAAACACTTGAATAAGTCGAAAAGGGCGGGATGGGTATATAGTAGAAGTATGCATATGGCAAATGTATGAAGAGCCAAAGTAAAGTAACGAACGAGGATCTAAACGAAATGTCCATCATGATCAGTTGGTGCAACTTGAAGTCGTCGTATTAGCAGGGAATACACTTGCGAATAGTGGGGAGGGAGATGATCAACTGCAAAGTTGTGGAGAGGTGCATAAACGGCGATGCGAAGATGTTATGCATCACCCCCGAGTGACCTCCAAACATTCAAATTCTTCTCGCAAGGACTTTTGCTGAGCCTGGTATTAACCCATAGAATCCCAGCAGAGTCAATTTCCGCAGACGATGGCCATGTTCGGGACTTGAAGCGGCAGTTCCGATGGCCATTCAACCACTGTACCGAGCAGCGGATATCCTTCTCGTCGAATGATGCACAGCCACCGGAAAAAATGTGGTCGCCACGAAAATGGAAATGGGAAAGGAGGGAAGGGGACAGGGTGAGCGGTGGTAGTGGAGTACATGGTTGGGATGCTGCTTGTCCACCCCCGTCGCGTCTTAGAAGTAATCGAAGACATCCTCCGAGTTGGCAGGGGAGCAAACGTCGATTTTTCAGGTTGTCGGGGTTTATACGGAGCGGGCTTGCAAAGCACAATGATGACGCACTGGAAGTGGCGAGAAGATGGCATTGTCGACGTAGTGCGAGCGTGAACTGGATGATTAGAGAACGAGAGCTTGAGGGTGGTATCTGCAAGAGTCGTTCTCGTTCTCGTGTCGATTGTCGTTGTGGTCAACGAACGATGTGTGCACACGTCCGTGCCATAGATGTAGAGCGCAGTATTGGGGTAGGGAATAGGAGAGATGCATTCGCCGAGAGAAGCAGGAAAGGGAGTCGAGCCAATGACCAACGGCGAAGGGAGTCACCACGGGGAGAGAGTTCCTTCAGGGAGCAAGGGGATCTCTTTTGCCTGCCCGGAAAGCCGAAGGGGCCGAAGAGAAGGGCTCAAGCTAGTCAACTCGTCGACGGTGGTCAACACCAATGCGAAAAAGATGAAGCCGGCACACACACCACAAAATCCCTAACCCAAGCTCAACCGCCGTTCTCGTTGTTGACAGAACACCCACTGGTTTAGACCACAGGGTTCACCCTAGCCCTCGTCCGGGAGTCTGTGAAGCCAACGTCAAAAACAAAAACGAGCACATCTCGGAGTAAATAATTAACACACCCGGAGCATTACGGTTTAGCCGCTTGGCCCCCGTTCGTGTTCAAAGGAACACGGGCTATGGTCATGACTTTGGCATGGAGAGAATCAGGAGACTGGGCTCGGTGAAGGAACATGTAGATGAGGGAAGAGGAAGTGATTTTCCTTATCCAGCCAGCGTCACGGTTATTGGCTTGGCGCTAACCGTCATGAAAGCCGTGTTGGCGGTCAAGAAGGGTATGCAAACAGACATTTGTGGCTTTATACTGAGCATAACTCGAGCTTTTCGTTCAATACTCACTCGTAACTCTCCTCAAGGTCTGCCAACCGAGAGCGAATTCACAGTCGCGATGCTGAAAGCGGGGGTCGCCGACACCACAAGCGACGACGCAATGCTTTCTCGACATGGCGAAAACCAAGCTCAGGCGCCAATTCATGTGCTCCCCACAGAGATTCTGGCCGAGATCTTCTTGGAAGTTTGCGTCAACGACATTCCGCAGGAGCAGTACTCTTTCTTTGAATGCAGCCAGGTTTGCGTTCGTTGGCGCCAAGTCGCACTCGAAACTCCCAATCTCTGGTCCAAGATCAACTTTACCACGTCGAAATTAGTGGCGATATGCGTCCGGCGGTCTAAATCCAGCCCACTATTCGTTGAATGTCGTTTAATCCACTATTTCGTCATCCAACAACCAACCATGCCTCAACGCGTTGGTGCCGTCTTGGAGCTTGCAAGAGACCGCATCAAGGAAATATGTCTCTACAGCCGCACTCAACATAATTCGCTGTTGCAAGCGCTACATGGCGGGTTTCCGATGCTGACCAAAATGTCCATCAGCGGGGGGATCTTCCCAAACTCCTCCTCCGTTGGCACTGAACGCGATTTGCTGTACCCAACTCTTCATTTTCTTGATCTCAATGGTCCGATATACCTTCTTTACCACACGGGCTGCAAGCTGCGCACTTTGAAACTCGTTTGCAATCTCACTTCTGCACTCCTCGATGCTCTATCGACCCTCACCCAGTTGGAAAGTCTTACAATCCGTCTGATACCTATAACCCAATCATCACTCGCCCTTCCGTCAATCCCCCCGCCCCTCCCCAATGTTCATACCATCTTCATCAATGGCCCGGACCATTTCTGCGCTTGGATTGCCTGTGCATTCTCACTTCCCAAACTTGTCAGGTGCACCGTCCAGTACTGGTCGTTGCTACATGCATCTCAAAGTGATCTTGATTTGGTACTCAGAACACACTTTCCCCTACATGCACGAGGAACAGCTCTTCGTTTCCGCCGTACCTTGGCGGCACGCCATACCGGAGAAGACGGTGATATCAGCCTCTACTTCCCGGAGAATAACGCTTCGACGGGCGGACGCGAGCTCATATTGTCTTGGCACGAACACATGTTTCCGCCCTCAATTTCCACATTTTCCCGCATCCTTCCATTGGAATTCACGGAAAATAGTGGAACTATTAACCAGGATGTGTCGCTTTCTCGGGTCTGGCGCTCGGTCGGAACGTTGTACCTCGACAACTGGGTCTTGGCCTCTGAAGCCGATCGCGAAATCTCGCTTTGGATGGATATATTGTGGTCATTGCCGGCGCTGCATTGCATCAAGCTCAGAGGGTATACGGAGGGAGAAGTCGATGACTGGAAGGAGCTCGTGGCTGGCATTCCTGGGGGAGATAATATCACTTGGGAAATAACCACAGCGGAATACCAGTGGGGAGACGAGTACTTAAACGAGACCTTGTGAACTAAGTATACTCTCATGATATCCATCTTGATATTACCTATGAGCAAACATCATCATTCTAAATGCTCAGCCTATTGGTGCAGGATGTGGGCTGCAAAAGTCGGAACTGTTGGAACAGGACGGCTCGGGGGAACTCGCTCGGGACGGGCCACTCGAGGACAAGCAGATGGCGGGAAGAGAACAGGTTTATTAGGAGACTATATGACGCTTATATACCTACACAGGGGCTATGGTCTGGGCAGTAACCGGCGAACAACGCGGTACGCTCCGCATTTCAACACTCCCACTGAGCGTGACGCGCTGTGAGCTCCTTGTATTCCATATGCATACTAAGCTCCCACTGGTGCAAAGCTCCACCACCCAGCACTGCAGCATACCAAGTTGACGGCGGGGGGGAACAGGTCCGGGAGCAAAGCGAGGGTTCGATTCCAGTCCGTCGAGAGATTTATCATATCCGGTGCCATATGCGAACTCCAGTCGCTTTCGAGTCGGTCGGGACGTACGGCATGCTCGGCGCATCCGCAGTGGTCAGTTCGGGTACGGGCCCATCGCAATCCCTCGGCGGGTCGATGGGTACAGGGGGAAACAATTCCAAGACGGGGACTTGCGGCGCTACCGGCGCCGCAGAGGTCCGGCCGAAAGATCCGGGTTCCGGGGGGTGCCTTGCAGCATTACCGGGTTCGAGCGGGGTATCGGGGGTCCAAGAGCGATCAGACGGCGTATGATCGGCGGGTGAAACAATGGCCGGGGATGGGCAGGTCAGGGTCCATTGGCTAGGGACGGCAACAGGGACGGTGAGGCGGCTGCCCGAACGTGGGGTTACGGAGATAGCCAACGAGGCCGGGGGGGAATACAGGGCTTGCGGGCGGCGTGGCAGCACAGTAGGCCGAGACATACTCGGGCCGAGACAGAGGTCATCGAAGCCATTGCCATCAGGGGCTCCAGCAACGGCGGGGTACGAGGGCCGGTGACTAGCGGCGGGGGTTACAGGAGCGGCGCAGGCAGGGCTGTCGAGGCTTTCGGGGCCCATAACCTGTTGGAACAGGACGGCTCGGGGGAACTTGCTCGGGACGGGCCACTCGAGGAGAAGCAGATGGCGGGAAGAGAACAGGTTTATTAGGAGACTATATGATGCTTATATACCTACACAGGGGCTACGGTCTGGGCAGTAACCGGCGAACAACGCGGTACGCTCCGCATTTCAACAGGAACGGCTCGAGGAATATTTCCTTCTTCATTAACAACTCGTTCACATCATGCACTTCCATCTTTAGTTTCTTTCGTTCATGTGCACGCGATGAACTGACAGCAATTAAAGCTACTATAGAACATTGAGACCCGGGCAAAACAGTCTAAGAATACCAACCATTAAAGACTTCGGGTTGCTCGTCGAAGCAAATACTTGGCATAGCGCGGCAGCGGCCACCTGTTCAGCAAAGAGGCGCTGTCTTGCTTGGCACTGCGTCCCCAGCTAGAATAAATTCCGTTCCGCTGTCATGAATTCATCAGTCAAATGCATTGATTGCCGTGATCGTCCTCACTCTGTTCTCGACCCTCATGTCCGTTGTGCCGACGAGCACTGTGGAAGTACTGGCTTGTGCAGTGTTCGCCAGAAGAACGGTCGATATGTCCGGGATTGGGGGAGCACGAATGAAAGGATTTCGGAGGGAAATGAGTGGAAGAATTCGTGTAAGAGTGAAAGTGAAAGTGAATGTAAAATCGCAGAAACTCGCTCCAGTCGTGAAGCTCGGCTCGGGGGCTCGGGGACTCGAAAGGCGCAAGAATCTGGTGGTCGGGGGCTCGATGTTCACTAGCAACTTGCCCTCGGTGGAGCAATCTCGGCACTGGTTGCGAACTCGGTGGTGGTTGAGGTGTGAGGAGTTCTATTAAATGATGATGTAGACTACAAACAAATAGCCACATCAAATATTGATGATGGGCATCCTAAAGTGGAAACTACCTCATATGGAAATTCTACGTAAGAGACATTCCACACTTCCACAGTGGGAGGAACTTGAATCTCGACCTCGAGATCACCGGAATGGAAGTGGGAATGGATCGGAAACCAACAACGAAAGTACTCAGCCAAATGGACACACGGTTGGTTGCGAGAGATGAGCGTGGATGAAACACGGCGGGAGTGTGTGAGTTGCCATCATTTTGTCGGAAAGCGCCGCCAGAGTGTCGGGATCAAGCTTACTCAAGGTGGTGATCATCTCTGTGAAGTGGGCTCGAAGGGCGTTGTCGAACAGCAATCTTTGAATTAACTGCATTGATTTGGCTTGTTGACACTTGACGCACGGCATTAGCATGCGTGGCTGGTTGGTTCGATGCGCGTGACGTCGGCGAGGGGCGTGGGAAATCGGCGGCGCGATCTCGGGATGGGATGAACTCGGATTGAGCGGGCCGGTGTGCTCAGCAGCGCGAATCGGCGGAAATGGAGAAGAAGTCGGCTCGGATGGCGTTGGAAGGCGTGTTGGACGTCGCGCAAGCGGTTGTGGTGGTTCGGGACGCTCAGAAACGCGAAGCGCAGCGTTATGCGCGGAAATGAGGTGTCCAGCGACTCCACCGGCGTGTCGCGTCATCGGCAGCGCAGATCCATCAGGCATCACAAGCATGCCTCGTTCGTCAAGTCGTGCGAGCGCTCGACGCAAGAGCGTGCGCGTGCGCGGGCAGAAACGGAAGCTGAGGGAGTGGGAGTTGCTCCGGCCGCAAACGAAGCAGCGGCGCGATCGTGGCTTGTTCAGGGCGGCAGAACGCGGCGATTCGGGCGTGGGAACAACGCTCGGCGCTCGGGCCTCGCTCGCGGAAGTGCCGTGGACAGTTCTCGGCGAGTTTGGTGAAGCAGAAGGCGCAAAACGCGCAGAATCGAGCGTGGGAATCGCTCCGGGAGCTCCGGCCGTGATCGGGCTCGCTCCTCGGACCGCATTTGGGCGCGCGCGGCCAGTCGCGGGCACGTTGTTGATCGGAACGGCCATATAGAGATGGCCGACGCCACTTGTGAGAACTCTGGTGTTGTTCGCGGGAGATCTCCGCGCCGCGTGTTGTACATGTGTGATGGGGCTCGTTGCAACGCGGGAACGGGCAGGGAAACGCGTGGTGGGCTCGAGAGTGAAGGATTCGTCGTCGGAGTACATGGAAGTGAAGGAAAGAGCTCGAAAGTGGGGGAAGGGAGTGTAGAAGATGCAAAAGACACACGGACAAAGCTTGTCTCGACCAAGGAAAGCCCGGATAGAAGAGCTTTCCCCCTGCGGTGGTCACCACTGTGGAAGTACTGGCTTGTGCAGTGTTCGCCAGAAGAACGGTCGATATGTCCGGGATTGGGGGAGCACGAATGAAAGGATTTCGGAGGGAAATGAGTGGAAGAATTCGTGTAAGAGTGAAAGTGAAAGTGAATGTAAAATCGCAGAAACTCGCTCCAGTCGTGAAGCTCGGCTCGGGGGCTCGGGGACTCGAAAGGCGCAAGAATCTGGTGGTCGGGGGCTCGATGTTCACTAGCAACTTGCCCTCGGTGGAGCAATCTCGGCACTGGTTGCGAACTCGGTGGTGGTTGAGGTGTGAGGAGTTCTATTAAATGATGATGTAGACTACAAACAAATAGCCACATCAAATATTGATGATGGGCATCCTAAAGTGGAAACTACCTCATATGGAAATTCTACGTAAGAGACATTCCACACTTCCACAGCACCAGTCCCGCACCCCCGGCCCCCAATGACGCGTCTCCTCCATGCATTCACTGTGGTCGAACCATGCCATTTTCATATGAGTTCCTGTGCGTCCCTTCCACCCGTGTCTTCGCACCGTTGGTGGTCATCCATACATAGGCTCGAGCGCCATTTAGCGCGGAACGAGCAGTCTCGTCTACGTATGGCCAAGTGCGTGTGTCTGAGGCTAGCCGCTTGAATCTGGCACGTTTTTTGGACGTCTCCACCCAGAAAACGAGCCGCGCTGAAGGACAAGACGGAGGGAGAGCAAGCCATCGTGGCGAAGCGAACCAGAGAGGCACGCGAGCGGTATCGTCAAAAGTGCGCTCTCTTTTTCTCCAGTCTCACATCCGGTTGATTTGTCTGCAGAAATCGCGATGCTGTAGCGGCCAGCGAAGCAAAACGCCGCGCTACTATCTATATCGAACGATATGGGGAGGTGGCATATGGCGAGTACTTGGAGAGGCGAGAGAAACGCCGACTGGCGCAGCAAAGGGATTCCGAGTGCTGAGTATGCATTTTGTAGCAAATGTCTTTGGGAAAGATTCGTGCAAGTGTTTATGCTTGTATTGCACAAGGGCGACAACGCGTGTAAGGGGGGGAAATTCGGAGGAAGATTTGGGAATGTAGATATGATCGTGTCCAAAACAAAACAATTATAACGACCATTGGCCCAAAATATGGACACTTACGGGTGGCCAATATGGAAACCCCGTTTGACCCAAATAGAGCGAGTCCCCACATATTAGGTGTCAATAGAGTAGCAAGCAGCAGCTTTACTATTGATTCGACCACGTCGTTGAGTCGTCGATAGCCTTCTCCTCGAGGGTGCACAGCCACAACTCGAGTCGAGTGGATCAATGGGATGAGAACGCCGCTCGTTTTCCCGCTACATCCTCCAAGTATCGTGCAAGAATACTGAAGGGGCAAAGTAGTTCTTGGGTCCTGTCCTTCGTTAGGACAATGGCTGGATGCATGCGAGGTGGGGGGAAACGAAAGCGAGATATTATTGCCGAAGTGTCGTGACATTGAATGCGCTAGAACTCTGTGTCGGACGAGACCACGAGTTCCAGGTATTCGCAAAGTGGTGGTGGAGAGGGGGTCGTAAAAGCGAGGATTCAAAGACAGCATCAGCGAAATGCACGACAGCGGAGGGCCCGGCGGCACAGATAGATTGAGGGGTTGTGATCCTTGGGAGTAGCAAACCACTCCCTTTCGCCAGCGCTGAAGACGGGAGGGGGAGGGGCTGGACAAGAGTGAGGCCTGTCAAGACGGGGTCAAACAGATGCAAGGAAGCAAAGCAGCACGCGCCTGTAGACCTCAAAAGCATAGCGTTTCCCCGCTTTCGGGTTTGCGAGCATAAGCGCTAGCGCTGACAATATCTGAGACGAACTGGAACCAACAAGTTAGAAGGAATCCGGGGGGAGGAAAGCTATCACACACCGGAAGAGATCAAGATATGGATCCTCCTAATCTAACATTGACCTGGGGGCTGTATTCGAGACAGATTACCAGCCTGCCCGAGTGAAGAGACTGTGAATGTTCAGTTAGGGAAAAACTCAGAAAAGACTGCCAGGTAACCACGCACGGCTATTCATAGGCCGGAAGGCCCAGCACCATTCAAAGTGGGGAGTGTCTTCTGCGCTCAGCTCGTATATCCCGCAAGTTCGTCAGGGGGAGTGCGCTTGATGCACGACTTGACCGCTATAACTTGCCACGTTGGTTGGCCAGGCTGAGCGGGACGGCAAACTTCGATGGTAGCTTTCTGCAACTCCTGTGAGGAGAGAGCGCCACGATGTTGATTCGGAGGGGCAGGACACAGGCAGAGAGCAACGCGGCAACGACGAGGAAAGAGACAAGAGGTGATTGCCTTTTTCGGTCGCCGGTCAGTCTTGGTGCCGACCGTCAATGAAGGCCGTGAAGGCGGCCAAGAAGAGTACGCCAACTGAACCCAAATTCTGAAGCTATCTACTGAATGTAATTCAAGCCCTGCGTGCAATGCTGCCTCACAACTCGTCTCAAAGCGCAAAAGCCAATGGCGAACTCACCGTTTCTATGCTGCAGACGGGAATCACCGACGATGCAGACGACAGAGCCATGCTCAATCGGTGTGGCGAAGAACAATCTCAGGCGCCAATCCACGTTCTCCCTCCAGAGCTTCTGGCGGAAATCTTCATAGAAACGTGCGTCCAACGCCGTTCCACAGGGGGAATATTCCTTCTTCGAATGCAGCCGGGTGTGCGTCCATTGGCGCCAGGTCGCGCTGAACACACCTGCTCTCTGGTCCAAAGTCAACTTTTCCACCCCCAAATGGGTGCAAATATGCGTCCGGCGCTCCAAATCCAGCCCCCTCATCGTGGAATGTCATTTGACCGATTTTATCCTCTCTCGCAAACAGCCAACAACCCCGCAACGAGTCGGCGCCGTTTTGGAGCTCGCGAAGCCGCGTATAAAAGAGATTTTCCTCTACAGCCACGTCTCTGACGATTCCCTATTACGAGCCCTCCGTGGGGGGTTTCCGCTGCTCACGAAGATGTCGATTACCGGGATAACTGCATATTCCACGTCCATTGGCCACAACCGTGAACTGCTGTACCCCAGTCTTCGGTTCCTGCATCTAAATGCGCCCATACCCCTTCTATACCACACAGGCCCGAAGCTCCGCAGTCTGAAAATCGCTTGTTATATCGACATGTTACTACTCAACGCCCTATCTGTCCACACCAACCTCGAAGAGCTCACCATCTATCTCTTCAAAGCCTACCCAGACCCAGTACTCCCCGAGCACCCGACACTCCTTCCAAATCTCTGGTCTATCGCCATTACTGACCACGCGGACGAGCCACACTGTGCCCAGCTCATCTGCGCGCTCTCCCTCCCCAAGCTCACTTGAACGCTGCTTTATGCAGTATTGGCAACAGCCAGCTTCCGCCCAAAGCGACGTCAATGCCGTTCTCCGGACCCACTTTCCGCCCACAGCATCTCAAGTTAGCCTCCGTTTCCACCGCGAGGAGTTTGGCTTGGCCTATACTGCGAAAAATGTCGACATCGGCCTACGCTTCTCCTCCCAGGACGGTTCAGCCAACATCGGCCATCGCGAGCTCGTGTTCGCCTGGCACGAATACCCCCTGGTTCCAACCGCATTTTCCGTCAGCCTTCCCTCTCTGCCAACTACAAGCCGCGATATGCCGTTCGCACGGATAATGACCTCCGTCGAGACAATTGTCCTGGATAACTGGGCCTTGGCATCGGGAGAAGAGACTTTGCTTTGGCAGGATATACTTTCGTCGTTGCCGGCGTTACATTCCATCAAGCTGAGGCGGTATGAGGAGGGACAGATTCAGAAGTGGAATGAGGTTGTAGCCAGCATTCCAGGCAGTGATGCTGTTGCACTCGACATGATTGCTTTGGGAGACACCTTGGACTGGGAGGACTTCAAAGAAACTTCATGAACCATACTTTCATTTGATATCGAAACAAATGGTTGTTATTGTGCGTTGAAAAATAGGAAAACTTGAACGAGATGAAGGGTATTGAGAGAGTAGTCCATGCAATAAGAAGCGATCACATCTGTAGCATCACAGTAAAGCCAATACGGCTAGCCTGACATCCGCATCCGGTTCTAACAACCCGACTTCTTTGAATAGTGCGACCTGCTCAGATCGTGGGAAGAGCATCTCTTGTGGGGGCATCGGAAGGTAGTTTGCGCGACGGAGCTCCTCCATTGGAATAGCTCCCAGCGATCGTCGCTGCAGGCCAAACACGGGCTCGACATAGGGCATGGGTGTGGGTTTGACGGCGGCAGCGACAGAGCTGGCCAACCGTTTTGCGGCATCGACTGATCGTCTGCGAATACGGGATGGGTGTGGTGGTGAAGAAGGCGACGATGGTGGTGAGGACATGTCAGGAACTGATACCCGACGGCCGCCGAATGGTACGAAGCCCGTTGCGGGGAACAACAGCGCGAGTAGAGTACGATGCGAGCATATTTGGGTTAATGTAGCTGTCGTTTGGGATGTGGTAGTGGTTTGGGTTAAGGATATGGCCGACTCTGGGGCAGCTTTTATAGGATTCTTGAGCGGATAGCGGAATTTGGGGAAGATGTCTGCGACCGGTCCGCTGACGTCATGTCTCAGGCAGCAAAATGTGGCGATGCAATCGAGGGAGACTTTTCCGAGACATTCGAGGCTGTGGCGAAAGGTTCTCGTTGGTAAGAAAAGGTCGAGAAGGCGATCTAACCTGGGTGAAAAGATCAATGGAGAGATGCTAGGAATACACACCGGTGTACATCGGCATCTGGAGTGACTGCTGGCCCACGAGTTCCAGCTCTTTAAGCGTTGCTCACAAAAAACGAGAGTCGGCAACCGTGGCATGAAGGACGACACAAGTAGGGCATTGTTGCAGGAACTCGCAAATTGGGGGCGGGAAAGGACGCTCTCGCGGTCGGACTGGTGTTGCCGTTGGTGGTGCCCTTGCAAAAACACGGGGGGGGGGGAGTCTTTGGATACAACGAGTTCTTTTTGTCATGCAGTGGTCCGATATGCTGCGACAGGAAGGACCAACGGCGGTCTTCCAGTTATGTCCGACCACAGCTACATTCGTCTTGTAAAGCTGACGAGTGGATTTGTCAGACAGTACAACTGGAACAAAGCTTAATAACGCACTGAAGCCCGCTATAAAAACACGGTCCATCCACCACCCCTTGAAGCTCGAAGCCCCAACCGTCTCAGCAGTCTCTGCGTGAAGCGCGCTTCATGTCGCTTGACAAGGAGGAGATACTAGTGCGAGACCGGGAGCTGGTCTAGTTAAGATGGATTGGAGGGTTCGGGTGGCTTTGTGCTCCATGAGAACATGGAAGGAGCGCGGTTCGGAGGACATACCGATGCCGCTCAGTAGTCCCAGACTCCCAGCATAACCCAGCGTAAAGCCATCCATCGTTGAGGGCTTCTTGTTACTTGGAGAGACCGCATATGACGAAGACAAAGGAGGAATGAAAACATGCATGGGCTTTCGAGGTGGTGGTTTGGAGGAAAGCCTGGTCACGATGTGATCGACACATCCTCTCTCACACACTCGAGTGTGTGGACTTCAGTAGCCACTCAGTACGCTCTTATTATTGACAAGACACTTCCTTGACTCCCCTTAGAAACTATGCTGATAGCGGCTTCACCCTTTCAAGAAATCCTTCACACCAACACGGTGCCAACTGACGAGCAATGCGACGAGATTCGCGCATATCTGCAGTCCTACAACAGCAGACTTGACGAACTGCACACAGAGGTCGCTAGACTGGAGAAACTACTGAGCGTGGTCATGCACGAACGAGACGAGCTCACCGACTTTCTTGCTTCCCACCAAGCGCTCATTTCGCCGATGCGGAGGATTCCAGACGATGTCCTTTGCTTGATCTTCCTCGAAACCCTCCCCGCTCATCGCAACACCGCCTTGGATGCTAAAGAAGGCCCAATGCTTCTCGCCGGTGTCTGTAGTCATTGGCGGGCACTGGCTTTGAGTACCCCAAAACTATGGTCGAAAATGCATCTCGTTATCCCTCCTCAAACACCGCAAACAATGGACAAACAAGACGTGCTGGTATTGGAGATGCAGCGCTGGCTCAAACGAGGCGCTAATGCTCCCTTGGATGTATCGGCGCAAGTTTCTCATCACTATCACCATCTTGGCGCGCCTCTGGGGAGTCCGACCGATCCATTACCACATCTCTCTCAGTCTGGCTCGGCTTCAATTCCTCGATATCTTGCCCCTCTACTCTCGGTATGTCACCGATGGCGCGACATAAAGTTATCAGAACCTTCTGTGGAGGATACTGTACTATTTAGACCTTAAGTTCAGCCGGTCTTACGCATTACGCGCTGAACTTACAGGGTTAGAAGTTCAGAGGGTCATCTTACACATTACGGATTTGCAGAAGTTCAGTTCAGTCCTCGGGCCAAGTTTGCCGAAGGTTGCGAGGGGGGAACTAAGCATTTAATGGGGGTATTCTGGAGATTTTCACTACTAGCATCTTTGATTGCAGATCTAGTAGCCATACGCGAATCAATGAATAAAATTTTCTGCAGTCCCTACCTTGCCCCCACCTCCACGCCGACCATGTCTGACTCGTCTGACTCCGAGAAGGCGAATCCAGCCAGCATGACATCGAAACCTTTCGTGGATGTGGCAAGACCATGAAGGAAGTGCCGCGACGCGTCCGTCGCGCTGCCAAGGAAGCCTTCTCCATCCCCCTACCCACTGCCACCAATATACTTCCCGCACCTACTCTTCCCATTCCCGAATTCCTACGGTTCCCACTCCCACTAATCACCCCCATCGCCACGGAAAAGAAGCCTACCGATGTGGAAGGGTAGAATAGACTATTCGTCGTTATCCTACATTGATGGCATTGACATGTACAGCTTCTTGAGCCCCTAGTATTTAGTTCCCCTGTAGTATTTACAAATATTACGCCTTCTTACCTCCCACTTCCATCGCGTCTGCACCCAGTGTCTCCAGTGTCCCACAGCGGACAAGGTGCCAGTGAATAACTCCTATTCCCTCATCTCCTTCCACCGACAGCACAAACAACCCACCACTTCTGACGAACTCCCGGTCCCCGCTTGGACCGCTTTCCACTTCTTCAGTGGAGCCCACCGCGAGGGAGGGTTCTTCTATTGAATCCTCTCGGGTTACTATACTGCTGTCACCTTCCGAGCTTGCTTCAATACTATGCGAGCCGCGGCCAATTCTACCACGAGCTTCGAGTTATGGGTACGCTCCCGCGCTGCCAACCACTCTATCTTCCCGCTCGACTACTCCCGCGAGCCCATCGTTGTGCTCTACGATGCTCTCGAGTCCACCCCTGAGCCATTCCGTGCCAATTCCGAGTCTTGCCCCTCTTTGCCGCTAGGGCCGGATCCTCCTGGACGCCAAGCCAACGTGTCAATTAACGGAAATCGGGCCGTGCTTACCGCTTCCGTGTCGATGCCGTTCCGTCCTGAGACGTCAAAACCCCGTTCGCGCCGTTGCTTTGTTTGTGCACGTACCAACGCACACACACTTGGATTTCTGCACTGCCCCCGCACAAACACTCTCTTACACCGGAAACTCGTTCGAATCAATGTCAGCGGCCGTCTTGTGCTATATGACGGCAATCCACTTCCAATGACGCGCCATGCTGGTGGAGTTGCTGGTCATCTTATTTCGCAGTACAACCGAGCATTACGACCTTCCGAGCGTCAACCTGCGCATTCCGAGTGTGTTCCAATACCCTCCGAGCCACACTTTCCCAATCCCTCAACTCGAGTCGACTTTCATTCTTCACCGCCGAGGTTCAATCCCAGTTCTCCCCAGGATGTACCTCCCAAACGAACTCGAGCTCGAACCATTGTTTCTCCATGCGCTCCTTGCCTTTCTTCCAAACTCTTCTCAACTCTCCAAGCTGCACTCCTCCAGTTGAGCTTTCGCAACCTTTTTGCGCAGATCATTCGTGATTTCGAGGCTCTCAACCCTGACGCTCTTCAAACCATACGCCAGCAACTTCTTATCGAGCCTCCATGCTACCAAAATCTCGATCCTCCCGCGGAGAGTTGTCCCTTTGCATGACAGGTTATGTCTATTCTACCTTCTTTCCCTTATGCATCGGATCTTGGGGGCAAGATCTGTAGTTCTCCCCACTGTGGAAGGGTAGAATAGACTATTCGTCGTTATCCTACATTGATGGCATTGACATGTACAGCTTCTTGAGCCCCTAGTATTTAGTTCCCCTGTAGTATTTACAAATATTACGCCTTCTTACCTCCCACTTCCATCGCGTCTGCACCCAGTGTCTCCAGTGTCCCACAGCGGACAAGGTGCCAGTGAATAACTCCTATTCCCTCATCTCCTTCCACCGACAGCACAAACAACCCACCACTTCTGACGAACTCCCGGTCCCCGCTTGGACCGCTTTCCACTTCTTCACCGACTTCTTCAGCCAGTACGAGCCGGACACTTTGGACAGCGGCACACTCCTGCGAATGCGTCATCTGCCAGTGCCCAACGAGAAGCTAGCTCGGCAGATCTTGGAATACAGTCGAGAGGCGTGGCTCGATGGGAATCGTTCTATGGTTTATGCCCATTTGGACGGGACTGCAAAACGCTTTCCGATGTGGGTTATGACATTCTGGATAGAAGTCATTGAGGCGAGGAAGGTGCGGGCTCGTTGGCTAAAGTCGTCCGACTTTATCAAAAGCGAGCGAGAACGGGCAGAACGGAGTGCCCGTGCAGACAGATCTTCTCGAGTCGAGCTTCTCGAGGAGGCAAAACAGTTGATTTCGATGATTCCGTGGTCAGCTGCGAAGCCAGCAGGCTTGTCGGATACGGAGCCTTTTCACAAGCTCTCTCGTCTTGTGGGACCCGCTTGGCTGTCCGATTCGCAGATCAACGATCTGTTGGAGTTGCTGCGGCAGAAGATTGAGGATGAGGTCGACGGAGATGTTGGCGCTCGGTTTCGGGTGAAGAGTACGGCATTCATGGAGACGCTGTTGAGAGCGTACGAGAAGGGCAGCGACAAATACAACTCAGACAGTGGATTTCGTTGGCTAAGGGAGATTGGAGACGAGTTGGCAGAGGACAACGGGACGCTGCTCACGATTGCACATCTGGGGTTTGTTGAGAGCGTACGAGAAGGGCAGCGACAAATACAACTCAGACAGTGGATTTCGTTGGCTAAGGGAGATTGGAGACGAGTTGGCAGAGGACAACGGGACGCTGCTCACGATTGCACATCTGGGCAAAATCGAAAACAATCCGCACTGGATATCGCTCGCCATCGAAGTTCTCCAACGAGCGAGTGCGAGTCTTATATGGGGACTCGTTCAAGCAACCTATACCGGCAAAACTGCGAGAGATTTGTGAGTGGTGGGTGCTGCTGCATTCGGGACGGGACGTACAAGTCGAGAGCTTACCCATTGGCCATCAAGACGATGGATTCTCTTGCGGGCCGCTAGCTATCAACGCCCTACAGCATTATGTTGACCCAGCGGTGTCGTTGACGAGGGTTGGAGAGAAGTGGATCGTAGCGAGGCTGCAGGCTTTCAATGCAGTCGCAAGGTGGACTTTGGAAAGGGTGAGAGGATTTGAATGTCGTTTTTGCCATGCTAACAAGTCCTTTAGCTTCAAGCAGACCAGTTCGAGGCGGAGATGGATGCAGAAGAAGAGCGTGAGAGTCACTCGGGTCACGGTCTGGCTCTTGACGACGACGATGACGATGGCCACTTACCCAGCTTTGGCCGACGTTAAAGCTCCGCACGAGTGTCAACACCCGCGGATGTTTGCACAGGTACCTGCAGGAAAACATCCGCAGGTTTGACATCCGCGGATACAGGTATCCGTTTCCCACGGATGCCAAGAGTACAGGTATGACTCTGGAAGATCTCAATTTTCATTATCTTCCATATATTTCAGTCACTACAGTCTTCTTATGCCCTGTGGTGTCCATATCAGTATATTACTGGATACTATATCCTATATAAGCTCTTAATATTGTCAATATACCTTGGTATCCTAATATTTTATTCAAAATACCTGTGGATAACCTGTGCAGGGACCCGTATCCGTGAGTACAGGTACCCATTTCCCACGGATGCTGCAAATGCAGGTATTGGGTTTGAAGCCTAAATTACCCGCAGGTAGAGTACAGGTATTTATCCGTGACACTCGTGAGAAGCCTTAGCCGACGTGAGGACGGCTCTTCCCATGCCTTCACCTTTCCCTCGACAACCAGATCTCGCCTGAGCCCATCCGTTCGAGTTTGAAACGCCCCAAATGGCATGACGATGCACCCACACCAAACGCGACACCTGAACGGCGTCGAATCTACAAAGACGACAGGGACCAGCTTGACGACAAGGAGGACATACCGGCGCCTCAACTCCTCTTTACGCAGGACTCGCCTTCGTCTACCAACAAGACGGCGGACGTTTTTGGGAGTACGTCACTCTCCGATGTCGATTTGCTCTCCCTTCCATCTTCCCCAAACTCTCTCTCTTTCGACCCCATGCCTCGACCCATTGCTCCCCTTCCTCGACGATCATCCCCAGTACACCAACGACCAACGCTGAACTGCCGAAGCAGAAGACGAATTCCATCTTGTCCTATTTCAGCAAGGAAACACCAGCGGAGAAGGAAGTTCGTCTTGAGCGCGAGCATCGTGAATATGCGGAGAAGTCAGAACGAAAGAAAGGGGAGATACAAAATCGAGAGCGGGTTGTGCTTGAGGAAAAGCGGGCAAAGAATGCAGCGTACATGAAGGCTTATCGTGCTAAGCTTCGAAACGAGCGAATTGCAAGGGGAGATATACCAAAACGTGGACGGAAACGGGTATGTGCTGGTGATTTCAACGTGCTTTCGTTCTCACTTCAGAACAGAAGTCAACTGAGGCCGATCTTGAGGACAACGGGGTAGACGAGCCCAACAAACGATTGGCCGAACACTCTCGACCCTTCCGCCAATTCACTGAGGAAGCTCGAGCAGACAACAAGCCATCTGGACGTAAACGCTTACCCAAGAATGTCCCTACCGATGCAGTACGAATTCGTTGGCACAACCCACTCATCTGGAAGCAAGTCCTGGTGGCGGTGGATAAGGTGCGGTGGCCGTGGCGCCCTTGCGACATCGTTCGAGAAGCACGCAAGGTCAACGGGCCTCTCTTTGGCCGACTTCGCGAACAAGTGGTTGGGCGATGGATTGACCGGAAACGAACGACGCAGAAGGGTGGTATTGTGTGGACAGAGGCCGTTGAAAAGGCATTGGCGCTGCAAAGCCGCAGCGCTAATCAAACGACGCGAGTCGGGATCCTGGTATGTGTCACTCGCTCCATTTAAATGAATGTTAACAACATTTAGACCCCATTTCCCAAAACACGACGCAAAATCAACACTCAGCTCACCTCTCTTCGCGCCGCTGGCATTCCCATCAATCTCCTTACTGCCCGCGGTCTCATGGTGGCTCATATCGAGCATGACGCACCCCACCTGTTTGAGAAGAAGGTTGGCTCGGGCAACACTGCTTTCCGTTGCTCTGAAAGCTTTGTTCGCCGTTACCTTCGAGAGGAGCTGGGATGGAGCGAGGCGACGAGCGACGAAAGCAGCGCAAAAGCTACCCGACAACCACGAAGCGATTCTCGAGCAAGCCTTTCTGCGAGAGGCTTGGCTCATTCGACAATACAACATTCCAGCTGCGTTGCGAGTCAACACCGACCAAACCCAGGTCATCTACACCCAGGGAAATGCGTCAACATGGAATACCCGTGGAGCAAAGCAGGTTGCTGCTGTAGGGCTCGAAGAGAAGCGTGCTTTCACGCTTGTTCCATCCGTCGCTGCAAATGGGAACGTTCTCGCGGCCCAGGTTATCTACGGTGGGAAGACCAAGCTATCAGCACCATCGGTCTTCTCCCGTGGGTATGCAGAAGCGACCCGTGCTGGTCATGTTTTCACCAATTCCGGCAACGACTCGTATTGGTCCAACCATGAGACCATGCACGCCCTCGTCGATAATATCATCGCTCCGTGCCCGAGCGCCAAAAGGCCGAGCACAATCTCCCTTCTTCCCAAGTCTCAATCTGGAAGATTGACTGCTGGTCAGTGCATCGCTCAGCGGATTTCATCAGCTGGATGCGCTCCAACCACCCAACGATTGCGCTTGTTTTCGTGCCTGGTGGATGTACAGGCATCTGGCAGCCACTCGACGTTGGGATTCAGCGCCCATTGAAGCTGAAGTTTAGAAAAATTTTGATTTTTTTGCACAAAAATTTCCTTTTTTGGAACAAATATGTAAGAGGTTCAGCCGCACTTTTTACGCATTACGCATTTGGGGGAGTTCAGTTCAGATGGTGCTCTTACGCATTACCTGAACTTAGGGTCTAAATAGTACAGTATGGAAGCACTTTCTCAGCTCACAGCAAGTGATGTGCCACAACTGCAGAATTTTCGCGTCGAATCGAATTCAGTTGGGGCTGGGCGGCAGTGCAATCTCGAATTGCTATCAACTCCTAGTCTGCGGGCATTGGACTTCATCGGCCTCTTCAGCGGTGTTCCTGACACGGTCCATTGGCGGAATATGGTCAAGCTGTCTTTGTATCTTCACGACACCGTGAATAACGTCCTCATTCCGTTCCCCTTTCCTTTCCTCGCCGGATGCGTCTCACTAGAACGACTTTCTATCACTTCATTCAGTCATGTCAACCACACACAATCAACTTTAGAGTCGACAACTCTCCCGAAATTGACGACTCTCGTTCTTCGAACAGCAGATAGATATGGCATGGACACAACCTTGACACCCCGGATGTTTGTGGATATGTCCCTGTTGCGGCTACCCCTCCTTCATACGCTTGACGCATCCGGCTTGAACCATGAAATGTCCCTCACTCCCATTAAGGCCATGGGGGGAATGCTGAAGAGAATGGCGTTCTCCCACGAGAATCTCACATCCGAGGGGGTGCTTGCTCGACTGAGGCATGCCCCGCTTCTCGAAGACCTGCATCTTGTCAACAATAGTTCTGCCGGGTGGTACCCCGACCCGAGCCCACCCGAACCCAACGGCGACCTTCTTGCACACCTTATTCCGGACTCTGAAACTCCTCCCATCTGCCCTCTCCTTGGTCATATCGTAATAATGGGGGCATGTTCCCTGCCCGATGAGCTACTTTTGCGCTTCATCCTGTCTCGGACCCTCCCGGACATTGCCCGGCATCCCGAGTATGCCCAACTCACCGCGATCAGCGTCACCTTCACGCGGCGAGCGCCAAATCGACATCCGCGCCAACGCCTTGCTGCGGGACGCGGTACAGTCCGACAGCCTGAAGCTTTTCTTGGGATACTGTATGCGGCACCAGCGCTGAAGCACATGGGGTACTCTGCTCTTCAAGGCACCGAGCGCAGTCCAGACACCTTCTGGAGAACGGTACAGCGTCACGGTCAACCGGATTGGGTGACGGACTTCGCAGCAAGTCGATGGTAAACACTTGTGTATCATGTCATCCCAGGCTTGAAGGGAAGACAGAAATCTCCCACCAACGCGAAGAAAGGGGAACATGCATTTCGATTTTCGCCCCACCAAAAAAAGCTCACCAATGGGATTTATTATGTATAGTAGGTACTTACCATAGTAGTGTGAGCAATACATATTTCATGAATATAGAAGGCTATGAACCAGCTACTGCCATGGTTATTGAACCAGGCGTATACGGGGTTTTTTTTAAAAAGATCCCTTGTAATTAGAATATTAACATTTTTAAAAAACATCAGTGATTTACAAGTCTTCCCCTCATTTTAATAAAATCCACACTGTCAAACTCCATATCTTTCTTGGCACCTTGGCATCAACAATTTTTTTCATCTTTTTTAGCCTTTCCCCTACTCAGTATTTTCCCCATACTTAAGGAATTTTCCACACGTCAGGTCTGGGGCCTTATAGCTACCACACTGCCCACCCTGACAAGGCTTTTCAACCTTTTAAACCTTTTTTTGATCTCTCATTTCCCTATGTAAAACCTGCCTTTTGGCAGGGGCATAAATTAGAGGCATTTTTTAAAAACATTAACACTGGTAATGAGAAGGCTTTTTTAAAAAAAAACCCGTGTACAGGTGATTGAACCTCGACCGCCTGCATCACCAGCCCGCCTGCGACGTATACCATCGCGATGCCAGCAGCAGCGGCCAGGAACCCAAGCCGCCAGCGCGCGGCGGGGAACTTGCCGTCCACGAGCGCGGCCTGCACCTCAAAGTATCTCCACAATCCTGTCGCAATATTCAGCATCCTCCGGCTAGACACTCGACGGGGCGGCCGGGAAACGAGTGCGGGAGCGCACCTAACGCCAGCGTGTAGAGCGAAAGCACAATCGCGCCCGCCGCCATCACCCGCCCGTGTGCTCCGATCCCGCTAGCACCCGCACTCTGGGTATCAGACAGCCGGGCAAGCTGCGTCAGCACTGTAATGACGGTTATATGAGGTCCAATTTAATAACTGATTGAAGCGCACCGACACCGGCAGCTGCGAGCGCCAGACTCGTGCGGACATATGCAAGAAATGTGCGCTCCAGCGCAAGGTGGTCGCGCGCGACGCTTCCGCGGTTTTCCAGGACCAGCGCTACGCGCGACGATGAGCTGCCGAGGGTAGGGACTGGGGGGCTAGGAGGTGCTATCGATCGATAGGACGCGTGCTGGCCCAGGCGCGGTTTGCCAGCAGAGTCAAAGTCGAAGTCGACGTCACGGTCGGGAGGGGCGAAGTCTGCGTGCAGGAGCGGCGCTTGTTCATCGAATGCGGGCGGAGGATGCGAGACGGTGTTGAACGGAGTGGGTGGAGGAGCCATCCTTCAGCCGCCTGCCCCACCCGCCCGCTCGCGCCATCCCAGATGAAAACGCGCAATAGCCAGCGTTTAGGGCTCCAACCATTTCCGTGTACAAACGTTTGTACACGGTTATAACCGTTTTTATTTTCATTTAGTTTACCATGGTATGTAAATGGTAAATAAATGAAAACAAATGGTTTAAATGGTTATTCCCTGATAACAATAGCAGACATGCTCATAAATATTTTACTACTAGGTATATATCTGGCTACCAAATACATACTAGTGTAGGACAGACCTTCCACATAAATATAAATAGTTGTTGCGATTGTAGGCTTCTTCTTGAAGGAGTTGATCACATGATCTGGCATCAAATAAGCCAAAGGCAATGAATCTTGCCCTACATGCCCATCTAGAACAGTATTACAAGTGAGAAAATGTCATCTCTCAGTTGAATAAACCTAATAAACTCAAGTATGTATCATAAAATTGTTGATCATTTTATATTATTATATTACCATTTTTAACTGTTTTTAAATGGTAATAAACATTTACTAAACGTTTTCTTACCATTTCTGTTTAGTTTACCTGGAGGTGTAAATGAAAACTAAATAGTTGGAGCCCTACCAGCGTTCCCACGCCCGGATCGCGCCGGCGGCTTGCAGTAGACGCCCAAAAGCGCTGGTTCCGTCCACGGACGCGCAAGAGGTGGAGGGGAGATGGGATAGAGTGGGACTATGCTAATTTCACGCGCTTTGGAGGGAAGCAAGGAGCCTTCACGTGACCGCGTCTTGGCCGAGGGGCCCGAAATTCTCGAGATCTCGTTATCGTTCTTGAATCGCGTGGGGAAAAGGGTCGAAAACAAGTTAGTGAAGCAGATGGTAAGTATGAGTAGTAAAGAAGCCGATGCTAGCGATGCAAGGGAATGTATGCGGTGAAGTCAGAGAGAGATTGAAACGTCGCTGGCGGGTAGGAGGATAAATCATGTGTAAAGGCAGGCGTGCCGCGTAAGGATACATGTTTGTGATCTATCTGGCCATTCGTTGTCAGCTTCGGAATCCTTGGAGAGCAAAACCCAGTACATACCGGAGTTCTCCGCGTCTTTCCTTCCCGTGCCCTATAACCACATCATGCGCTGTCTTTGCGACGACCGCGCCATATCCTGGGCAGGCACCACTGGCAGCCGCTTCCACGCAATCTACCGCAAGGCTATCGGCCGTTTCCATCTTCGCAACTGGCGATGATTGACCCCGAGGGAGAAGTCACGACAAGGTCGGCCCGGGCGTGAACCGCGCGGATGGAAGCGAGGTACGAGTGCCGGAAGATGTGCTGTCGTGTCGACTTCCTCGTCGCTCTATAGTCCCTGCACGGTATGACCGGACCGCGTCAGGAAAGGAGAGTGGAGATTGAATCCTAAGGTTGCATTGCGACATTCGAAACGCAAGAAAAAAAATCCCGGCCAGCGCACCATGGCCAGCGCTTGCGATCCGCCATGACCCAGTTCTCTTCCCCGTCCAGCCGCGGCCGACCTCTCCCTTTCCATCCTCTTCTGCTGCAGCAGCGTTGCCTTCGTCTCCGTCGCCGCGGGTTTGTGGCTGGAGACCCAGAAGGCGTCGGGATATGCCAGTGTGGGCGGGGTTGACGATGACCGTGCACTGGCAAAAGAGAAGAAGGATGGTGAATCGTGATGTCACACCGGCGCCAACTTCGTTCATGAATCAAAGCACACGCTCGACTTACCCTCTTGGCACCGGCAGCACGTCTAATCTAACTGAAAAGTAGCGCTGCAGCCTGCGCTAGCGTGTCGTCGAAATCTGGCCCTTCCAACTGGATGCTGTTCTTTGACAGGCGGTCGTCAGCAACAGACTAGTCAACCACCATACGGGGGAGCACAGCCAGCCTGAGCCAATCGTAGTATGTGGCTCGAGCTCGCAGGCCCGCGCAGGCTTCAAACCGGCAATGATGTTTTGTTCTTGTCGTACAACTTGAATATCGAACACAGGAGTGCCCCTTCTCTGACCGTTCCCCTCAATCCAACGCCTGCATCCCAATCAAGGAGCATGGCGGCTGCGAGGCTGTCTTCACAACAGTGAACGCGGAGGTGTCCTCGCTTTGTATCATCGCCTCGTACTGGGCAACCAGCGCCGCCGCCCGGGTGTCGTCTACACACAACGCGTCAGCACTGGCACAGATACACTCCCGCAGTTACAGAGCGACATACTGTTCAGGATCGGGTTCACCAGGCGGGTGTCCACGCCGCTCTGCGCCAAGAACGACTCCAGGAACAGGAAGCGGTTGTCGCCGTTCGTCGTGTTGCCGCTGAGGAAGGACTGGACGCCGCCGAAGAGGACGACGGTCTGCGGGTTGTTGACCGAGACCATGTGCCATTGGACGAACACTTTGGAGCTGACGTCGACGCGGTCGCTCCGGAGCACGTCCCCGCGCGGTATGTAGCTGTAGCCGTCGTCGATAGACGCTGCGCCGATTATGTTGGCACTAAAATCCATGTGAGCACGCTGTCTTGGAAGTGAAAGAAGAAGGGCTACAGTAGGTTTCCTGGGTTCGTGGCATCTGGGGTCAGCCCGAATGTTTCCGAGGCGGTATCAGAGTCGATGATAACGACAGTGTCTGTGCCCAGGCTGCTGTTTGTCGAGGGGATGGCGGCGACGACGCCCTATGGGCAATGAGAAGCGAGGAAACGAGGTGCGGTAAATGCCTTACCGGCGCGCCGGGGGCAAGTGCCAACACAGTCGAAGCCATCGGCGGGGTGGTGCTGAATTTGACCCAGACATCGACCTGGAACTGGTTGACGGGCCCGTCGTTCATGATCGAGATGTACGACCCCATGGTGCGTGCTGGTGGCAGACAGCACTGTTGTGTCGATTGCTTTAAGGCGCAGCCGACTCGGTCTAATTTTGGCGGCGCCATCATGATAATTAAAGCCAGGGCCAGAATTTGGATGTAGCTCCAGCCTTCTGGCCACGCAAGAGCAGATGCGTCCCTGGAAAATGATCAGTCCCACTCGTTGCAGGTAGGTGCGTGCCAAAAGCCTTGGCCAATGCCGCTATTCTGGAGTCGTCGCTATTTAGTACTTAGTAGCAAGGTTTCCGCGTGACCCGTTTGCACCACTACGTCCTCGGGTCGCTTCTTTTCTTCTGTCCCTCGCATCAAGTTGCGTGGATTGCCGGCGAGGGGCAGCCATCGCGGAGGCGTAGTATAAGTAAAAACAACCATCTTCGCCAGCAACGCACCTACCATGGGTTCCTACACCTCCACCCTCAACGACACCAACAACATCCTCTACATCAAATATGCGGCCAACAGCGTTGGGCTCGGGATTGCCGCCATCGTCACTGGCCTGCTCGGCGTCGTCGCCCTCGTCTCAACGGGTGGTCTGATCGGTGTCGCATTTGCGCCGCTGATTCCATTGCTTGCGTTGGGCGGCACGGGAATCACGCTGACGATAAGTGGTATCGCGTAAGGCGCCCTCTCCCGTTTGTGTGCGGGCTGCTGAGCAAGGGAACAGCTTAGGCGCCATCGATCTCGCAGCCAAGGATTCAGGCTACCACGCCGTCGCGCCCGGGAACTCGTACAAGTCAGGCAAGCTCAGCTTGAGCCTCCTGCACCAGGCGGACGTCACCATGGTCCAGAAGGTCAACGACAACACACTCACCATGTGGTCCGGGAGCTTCACGGTGTTCAGCGGTGCGTCGGCCAAGTAAGCAGCCTACAGACACGAGTGGCGGAATCCGTCCGCTCACGGTTGCGCCAGCTCGGTGAAGACGTACAAGATGTCGCAGCAGCTCGGGAAGCTCGAGATGAAGCAGCTCATGTTCACGGACGTGAGCGACCAGACTGCCAGGCTTGCGCTCGCCGGACAGTTCGCCAACTTTTCGCTGGTGCAGTTTCCCCGACCAGAGTTCGGTGCGGCGGACTTGGGATTGCGCTCGACATGTGCCTCATCAAAGCTGGCGGATTTGGATTGACGACACGTTCAATGGAGGGTATCTGGTGTTGGAACCAAGACCCGAGTATCGTTGACAGTGTAATTGTGAAATTGTGACTTGTCCCAGAAACCGACGAGTACTTGAAGGCCAGTGATTTGAGAGAGCTGCGGCGCCTTCATCTTGCCAGTGAATCAGTCATGATCTAGGCTGTAATCTTGGCCCCGAGTTAGTCGCCTTCGGAGCGTCTTGAGAGATTGCAAATGCGGGTGTCAAGACAGTAAGAGAATGTGGTGGTCTGTGGCCAGAGGTCGTTGATAGGGAGAATTGGTGCGTTCTCGCACGCCTTCGGATGGCATTGAACGTGGTAACGACGATAGGAGCATTCAGAATAACATATCAAGAAGATATATTTAGCATGGAGTGTCGTCTACGCATACCACAATTGGAACTTCATGGGGAGTTAGACATCTGTAGAGGCAAGGAGCAGAGTGACATACGTGAAGTTCACCAGGCGTTGTGGCTATACATCTTCCGACTTCCTTCCCAAACCTCCATCCCTCAACGCAAAACGTCCATAGCGCAATGAGGCCAGGCCATAATCCTGCCAAACAGTTCGGAAAGCGGAAGAGCATATGCCCGCGCATGACGGGATACAGTTTGGCTGCCGCATATCACTTTGAAGCTGGCGGTCAAGTCGATTCCAGCCCCAGTGGCATCATCGTCGAAAACGGTGCCCAGAAGGGCATTGTCGTGAATATCGTTACCCAAAAAGAATTGGGCGGCACAAGGTCATGGTGCCACACGACAGGATACACTCGATAGATGTGTATAGGGTGTAAGGGGCAAAACTGGAAGTCGTTTGCGTGACAGTCGGGGAAGAAGGGGATTCGCGTTGCTCGTGTGAGCGCTGCATACGCATAATTTGCTACGATGGATGGCGTTGTTGTGTATGGAAGCGGGGAATGATGCATCGATGATGTGCCAGAAGGGTTGTAGGGCTCTCGAAGACACACACTCGTATGGGCGGCGTAAAGACAAGCTTTGTCGGCGCGTTACTGAGACGGTACGATTCCCCATCACGAGGAGTCTTTGCCGGTCGTAGTCGTTGCTGCCCGGACATACTAGCCCAGGCGGTGTCTCCCTCGTGCTTCGCTATGGCCTGGGCAATGACATGTCGGTCGGGTCTGGAGTAAGTCCTGCAACGCCCGTATTGGTGAGTGTAGTCGATAGACAGTAAGAACACGCACCGTTTGACCAGTCTTCGACGACGCTTCCCTCTACCATCGCTCGGACTCCTTTTCAGCCGTCTGGGAGGTCGACCGTGGATGAACAGGTCGTTGTTCTCCAGCAAATGGCGGCGGGGGAGCAGAATATGCTCGGCGACAAGCGAAGGGCCTGATACTGTGATTAGACCTCGAGAAACCAGAAAAGCCCAGGCAAACGCACCATGACCTATTCGTCTCCCCTCCTGATCCTCCGGACCCTCATTTCCCGCGGTGGTACCGTGGCCTTCGTCCCTCTCGCGGCAATGTTTTGAGCCAGATGTGGGTGTGTTGAGATAGGCGGGGCTGGTCGACGACATGACCGTCGAAGAGAAAGACTGATTTGGGTGTGACACCCACTGGCTTGCTGGTATTTTCGTCAATGCAAGAGGCTCGTGGTACTATCAGCCACAGCTATGCCCCCGCCTCCGCGCATGTCCACTGCAGGAGCACTTAGCCCTCAAGAACTACTTCGTCTGCGGCAGGAGGATGAATCAATTCGCCAAATGATTCGCTCTCTCACAACACAGCTAGTCCAGCTCGAAGACCGCCATAGAGTCATCCAGGAGCAGTTGTCGAGCGCCAATTTCCACGTGCACACGCTTCCCGCCGAGATCTTCTGCCACATTTTCCGGCAAACGGTGTCGTTAACTGTCCCTGAAAGTGTCGCCGCTATGCTGCTGACTCCATCACTGCTGTCTGTCAGCAATGGCGCGCTATCGCAATCGCGGATGCTCACCTTTGGACCACGGCATGCTACGTCCTGCGGGACTCTGATCAACCCGATCTTCTGTTCCGCCATTTCTTGGAACGAACCCAAGGGCTCCCAATAACGGTGCATATAGACGAGGGTGACCCAGACACTGGCAGGGGATCAAAGCGGCTTCCTCAGCAGCTCTTTGACTCTTGCCGTCAGTGGAAGGAGGCCAACCTGTTCATCTATGGTGGCAGGAGCTTCACACTGGAACTTAAGTCGCTTGCGCTTGCATTGGACCTCCCGCATTTGACGAAGCTTACACTCGACATTGAAGATCCCTGGCGCGGCAGTCCAAACGAAAATCACCAGACATTTGCCAACACTCCACGTCTTCAAGACCTCGCAGTTGTCCACCCACTACTGATATCACGACTCGGATTTCCGGCACACCAGCTGCGCAGGTTTGCGGTCTTCGGTCATGACATGGCACTTCGCGACCTCCTTCCCATACTCCCCCAACTTGTGGTGCTCAAAGAGCTCGCCATCGGCGATGGTTTCATTGATCTCCGAGTCAGGTCGGATGGCCCTAAAACATTGATAGAAATGCCCTTGCTGACGACAGTGCGTCTTCTTGGAGAAGATAGTTGTGCGCTCCTAGACCACCTGGTCCTCCCATGCCTCAAAACCCTCCATCTCTCGGATTTCTACCACGACGATGCAGCGTACTACATTCCGGAATGCCTCCAGCGCTCCTCAGCATCTGTGTCCTCCTTGACTCTTGCCAAGACCAATTATGATACGTTGACCACACTCCTGGAAGCCCACTCATTAATTCTGCGCTAAAAGATCTCACCCTCACACACCTGCACACCCTACTTTCCTCACGCCATGAGCGCACAGCGCTGACTGCTCTCCTTTCCCGCGCCGATTTTCTCCCGACTCTGGAATGTTTGACTCTTGTCGCGCCTGCTGCTGATACCGGCCTGAGTGAGCACTGTCCTCCATCCCCCTTCGGCCCCTTCTTCGATGGCCTGCGTCGTCGTGTGGCTGACGCGACTGCGCGTGGTCCTGGGCACGGAATGAAACTTCGACAGTTGCATGTTCAGCACGGAATGCATCAGGAGGACATCCGCATGTTGCACAAGCTGCAGCAGACCCTCGATATCCATGGCTCTGACTTGCTTGTTTCCGAGCGATCAGGCTATCGAATAGAGTGTCGATGGAGGACGTATATCCGAGTCGGCTAGGGTTGATTCTTATGATCGAAGAACATATGAAGAGTCCTGTTCCTGTTTGTACAACTTGAAGTATTTACGCCAAGCATTGACCATCATCCCTCCAACCCAAGAGTGTTCCAAAGTGACTAGTGTTGACGACGTCGTGTCGCAAGAGCCTGGATTGCGTTAGAGCATATGCAGACGACAATCGGAAATGTACCTCGTCGCCAAGCTTGACAAAACTCTTGCAGCCCCAGATTCTCAATCCATCGAGGTCAGCACAAGTTCCATGCTTGGTATAAGTCAGACGGATATATCGCCGATAGATGACTGCGACAACGATGTGATCAACTCGGCGCTACGAACGACTTAGAAATCAGGGAGAGGCTGAAGAATTGGTGTTTGTCGATGGTGAAGACGAGAACTGGACGAGGAATTCGCCCAAGAAAAGTGGGATTGAGGGAGAAGCATAGGGCAAGCACAGCATCTTCGTTCATGCAATGCAGACAAGATGCAGGAAAGCCAATGTAGAGGTTCTGATGCTCTCCTCGTCGAAAATGCCATGAAGCGCATAATCCATGCGGCGGCAACTTGAATGCAAAGAGGGGAAAAGAAGATCTTTTCGCTCTTCAACCACCATTAAAAAAAACCCCGTATACGCCTGCAACCACAATATATATAATTGTACATATTATGTATGATCACATGGTGTATTGTGTTGTGTATCTTCGACTCCGTCGCCTCTAGACATGGGTCCGGCCCGCCAGCTGGGCTTAGCTCCTTCCGACAGAATGTTAGTGAAATGATAAGCATGAGCTGTAAGGACTCACAGGTCCTGTCCACAAGCATCACTCTCAGCTCACTGGCATGGTTGGCTGCGCGAAACGCGCCTGCTCGCTGACCAGTTTCGGCCCACGAAAAACAATTTCCAGCCTCAAACGACCCCGGAGGAGCGACGCAGGACCAAAAAGCTTCTGAAACACGTCGTAAAGTGGAAGGTGGATGGTCGAGCAGAACTAGAGACAAGTTATCGAGGCCGTTTCGCTGTCGGGATAGCAATGTACTTGACGCAAGAACTTGAAGCGAAGATTGGGGGAAGGTAATAAGTATTTCGAGGCCCGTGGACAGTGTTTTGAAGGACGGAGGAATAAGAGGTCGTGGAACGTTTTAGAGTAGACAAAAAGGAAGTCGGAGGCCGAAGCATATCAGGAAGATAAGTTATCGGTACGCGAAAGCGATTATTTCCCTCACCGAGTGAGTTGTATACAGCAGAGGAGGAGGTGTTCGGTCTGCAAGGATTGGTAGGCAAGACGGAGGCGGGAAAGCTGGGCCCACGGGAAGTGTGGCGCGTAACTCGAAATGGGTTCTGGGGGCGGGTGCAGTGAGAGTCGTAGATCCAGGTTCCTCAGTTGTGGGGCATTGCGGAACGTGTCGAGAATCGTACTTGAATGGCCCTCCTAGAGTGGATGGATATTGAGCGTTGTGAGCTGCGTGAAGTGTGGTGGCGATGTGTCAAGAAACAGCCTCGCAGACAAGACCGATATGGACAGTGTTTGGACGCGCGTAGTGAATCCTTCCGCGCCAAAAAGCAGTTGAATGATATGCTGCAAATTTGGGGTGAGCATCAGTGCTGGCGAATCTAAAACTGCGATTGGTACCTTGGTGTCATGGCCGCCTTGCCATCCCGCGCAATCATGAGGTTTCACTAGCACATCGAGAGGAAGGACACCAGACCGCGCCAGCAGCTCACTGGGGCTGGGTGCGGATGCATAATCCCTCTTGCGGAGGACGAGCCGGCGCCAAAGCCGAGGCGCATCTAAGACTGTCTTTCGCCACAGCGAGCACTGGCAGACATGCATCAGCACAAGCGGCGCCGTCGTCGGGTCGTTCGTAAACTTCTCGAAGGGGGCTTGATCACGATGGCTGGCGAGGATACAGTATTCGAATATGTCGACCAGGAGTTCAGCCGGAACGGCGCGAATTGGTGCGAGGAAGGCGCTGAGGACGAAGTTGTCGTGCTGCCTTTTCACCAGCAGCGCTTCAGCCTCCCGAAGGCGTGCGCGGACCGCGACAATGTCATTCTCCAGGGCCACCTCCTCATTGTGGCCGTGTAGAAGCAACGCTTCTATTTGTTGTTTTTGCACCGGAGTTAGTGGAGCGTCCATAGAACGTAGACCCAAAGGCAGGACTAGAAAGAGAATGGTCAATCATGTCGCTGGTGTTGTAGGTAAAATGCCAGTGGCCAACCAAGGTGGGTATCCGATTCTGACTCCTTTTGCATGATAGTGAGAACCAAGAGAGACGGCGGGTCACGTGGACGACCCGGACTGCCGGACAAATCATTCTTCTTCTCCGTCCCGCAATTCAATCCTCCTCTCCACCGGCGCCGGTACCCGCACCCTGCAAACCACACGCAAGGAGTGACGACGGCGCCACCGCTGCCTTGTACCATCTCCATGGCCCTCCAATGCCTCCAGTATCCATGCCGCAGCCTCCAAACCTCCAGGTCGTGCCGTTGTTTTTGGATACTAGTATCACTGGTGTGTATACTGTACAGTGGTTATAACAAAGTGAGAGCCAACACTCTAGTAGGTACACAACGTCAATCGTGAAACGCAACCATTTCGACAGTCCCTTTCAACTTGAAGCATCACCACAAGACGGACTTGTTCCTTCTCGGCCCATTCGACACCCTCTCTGTCATCTTCCATCATAAGCAGGACCATCGACAGGCGCGGAAGGTGATTGAAAGGTTTTGCAAAGATACAGAATGATCATATTTGGTGAGCGATGAGCGAACGTGGCTCCCAGAGGTTGACCACGATATTCTGGAGACGACGACGGGTTCGCTCTAAGATCGAAGGAGGACCATAATCGCGGCTCGAAGGGGTTGAAGGGTACGGGACTGGACCGAGCAGATTGCGGTAAAATCCAGCGCGCAGTCGTTCTACGCTCGATATGACGAGAAAGCTTGCGCAGGATAGAGACCCTCCGAAAGTGGACACAATATACCAAGCGCTAATAACGCGCTTCGAGAGCCTGTGGTGGATTATGCCGCAAATCGGGGAAACGTGCTCGACGCGGGCCTGAACGGCCAAGGTGTGGCGGGAAAAGAAATGGGGATGACGAAGACAGCGTCCTCGGTAAGATGATACGGTTTGTCGAGCCCGGTTTTGTGCGCGGAGATACAAAATCGCATGCTCAGGCGGTGACAGGTGTGCCGAGCGCGAAAAAGGTGACGCAAAGAGACCTCCTCGAGCTCGTCTGTGTCCGACTTTGAAGCAAATCGGAGACGGTTGGTTAGAACGAATAGCAACTTTCGCCAATCGTTTGTGAGTGAGGGGAAGTGAGGTATGAGTTTACAATGATGCTTGCAAAAGATATGCCTGTACATTCGTTGTCAAGTACCAGAAGATAGGCGCAAGGCAATACTTACGAACCATAGTACATTATGTCATACTCCGACTGGAGAAATTCTTCCCAACAGCCTGTCGCTTCGCGAAAGTCACCAGCAAAGCCTTGCCCAATACCCTTGTCTGTGTCTTGGTCTTCGGCCGCGAGCAGCCGTCCTCCAAGTTAATATCGAGCGCGTCGTGGCGATAGCTGGGACATTCCACAGAAAGAGCCCGTGAAACGGGAAAAGGCCAAAGCCATGTCGTTTGGGTTGCACACAAATGAGAAGAATTTGGGTGCGCGGAGCGTATGGTAGACTGTGTCGCGATAGGATCGATTGGCGCATGAGTGTATGGCGAAGGCGATGACGATGCTAGCAACATGGAATAGGGAGATTTTGAAGAGATGCGGTTCTCGGGCTGCCCTGCTTGAGCCAGCGATGGTAAGACTGACCCTGAGTGAAGAATGAGGATAGTGAACGCCGAAGCAAACGAGGACAACACACCAGTGCCCACTTCAAGGCCGCCCTCCTTCAGCCCTTCCCTCCACTAAACATCCCCTTCCGGCGGAGGCTTCCGCACCAGAACACCGTTCTTAAGCTCCATTGCCATTCGCAGCCGTGTCTTGAGCAGAAGTGGTGTCGGAACACGCAAGCCTGGCCAACATGACAGTGCAGAAGAACGAGGATCGTGTGATGTGATGTCACACATATTGCTCATCTCTTGTTGCACCAAAGGACACCGTCCAACGCTAAGTTGTATCTTGGGCCGTGCCAGACCCTTCTCAAGCACCCACTGATCCAAAACTGGGTCGACTCTTGGAGTATATTGACTGATTCAAGCTCCAACACGGACTTCAAGTTTACTAGTAATATTTACAACGCTGATACTGGTGTGCCAAGATTCGAAGGCTTTCCCGTCCTTCTAGTATCGTGTCAACGGATCTCTCAAGTTCGACCCAATGCCTACTTCGCTTGCATCGACCTCAAGCTCTTTTGCAAGTATACCAGGTCACGCATGTCCTCGGCCGCGATCATGTCGGGCTTGGTGGAGTCGAGAACAAGACGAGTGAGCTTCATCTTGTGCGAGACACCGCTAAACAGCGTGTTTGCGATCCTCATGGCAATTCCCTCGAGGAACGGCTGGACATTGCCGCCGCCGCCGCGCGGATTGTCAACGTCAGCAACCAACGTGATCGACTCGAGGTTGGGGAGGTAATCGAGGCGCGCGAGGTCTGCCGAACATCGCATTGCCTCATCAGGATCCATGTGGAACAGCTTTACAGTCAGGTGTTTGACTGAATTGAGAACAGGAGACAGGGAGGTGCGGTAAGCGCCATAGCTCATTGGCTCCGGCGCTAAGGACAGAGAGGTTATGTTCGCAGATGATCGGATAACGCAGGGTTCCAAGAGCTGTGAATCCCCTTCATAGCAGGGAGAGAGATGCAGTGTTGTCAGTGCAGGCAAGTCAAGAAATTGCAAGATGAAATCCCAGGCCACGCCCAGCGACAATATCGACAAGCGGGGCAATCGTATGGGCGGCTTCGAGCCCCAGTCCTCGTCGTCCACGAAATCATCATCGAATAGTATGTCCATCGAGAGTTCTTCCAATCCCTCCAGTTGCGTTAGCAGGCGGAGAATAGTATCTGAATCCTCGGTCGGAGCCTGAGCTTGAAGCAGGGTCAATTTCCTCAATTGATGTGTAGGAAACGACAGGCGAGAGAGCAAGCCAGGTAAAGCACCGATAGACAGCTCGCGCAGACGGGGAAGGTTCATCAACAAGTCGGTGGACTCAATCTCCGACTCTGTAAACTCTACATTCATAGTAAGTTTTGTCAGGTGAGGGCAGTCAATTCTTTCATCCAATAGAGCACCTGGCCAACCCTCGCTTGTCAGCGAGGCTTCCTCCCACTGATCAACGGAATCAAATGCGTCAGCGGGTGCCAATTCCCCGGGCCAGAGGTCGGTTAAAGTCACAGTGTATTTGATTGGTAGGCCGAGTGTACGTGACAGGAAGTGCTCGAATAGCAGGTCATCGGCGCGTGTGTGATGGACCAAGTAGTATGTCTGTGTCCACAAGTGCGGGTCTGCAATGGCGACGCTGCGCCAATGCTGACAAACGGCGGTAATCCGCAAGCGCGTGCGATTGATTTCAGCGCGACTCGGAGGCGAGGCCGACACGGCCGCGGCGAAAATGTGGCATAGAATCTCGTTGGGCAGAGTGTTGACGGGGTAAACGAGGCTGGACAAATCATACTGGACCGCGTTTAGACGATCTTCAAGGCTTTCGAGCTTTGTCTTCAGCTCGCCAATCGCTTGCTTGAGGTGCTCTGCCTCTTCTCTAAGCCGAGACTTGGTCGGAGGATCAAGGAGGTCGAGGGTAAGCCGACGCAGTCCCTGAAGAAACGCAGCCGCTTCAACGGCACCCTGGTAGCGCGCGTTAAGCATTCGATTTGCTGTTCTAGAGAACGTGAGGTTGTATGGAGCCTGCAGGTGCAAGCATACGGTACTTTCGTCCTTGTTGGGGGTGGTAACTTGAAATTGGGTCAATGTCGGAGTTTGGGTCAACGTCAAAGACGGATCGTCACACGTTGCCGCTCTTGCCCTTTTCCACCATACACGCCAGTTCCGAGTCCAAGCAAGCACCCGGTGGTTCCAACTTGGTTCCAACCTCCACAACCACCATGCGCCACGGCAAACGAACGTTTGAGTGGGCGGACGATTGAACGCACAGCGGGGGCGGGTGAAAGGAAGGTTTTGAAGCAGAAGAGGAGTTCAGCGGACGCCGAGGTGCGCCTTTTCCGCTTATCGTTTCCAGTCCTCTCCTCAGTGTTTTTCACAGATATCTGAGCACCTCCTAGCTCGTTCTCCGATCCAGCTACTTCGGGCTTGCATCCTTGTCTTGCCGATGAGCAGCATACTCTGGCCACCGTCTGCCATGTCGCTGCAATAGTGCGCTACCTAAGCCCCAAGCGGAAAGAGAGGACGGGTCGAATTCAAGACGTCGATCGGAAGAGCCATTAAAGTCGTGCGGTACAAGTGTTTCCCTGTCTTCTTTTACCTGACGTTTCGCTCTTAGTACTTACCACACCTTCTCATGCATTTCGTGTAACTCGTGCGACGAGTCCGAGTCTACAACGGAATTCATTTTCTGCGACATGAAAAGGAGCCAGGATGAGGTTGATATACTGCTTTGACATCTGCTGTTGTTTATCCACATGTTTACCATCCGCTTTCGCCTGCTTGTACCCTGCCCCACTTTTCTTGCCCGCGCTCATAACACCGCCCCCGCTTGTACGTCTACGAATATCTTGCCATCCGCGTAAAAGGCCTTTTTTTCCTCGTTGCGCATATTACTGGAGTGTGCATACTGTACAATCACTCTAGGCACTCGGAGTTGAGCGCCAACACGGACCTACACTACATCGACGTCAATTGTGAACCGCAAACCATCTCGATAGCCCTGCTCGAGTGTCTCCGCAAGTCGGCGTCTCCCTTCATCCGCCCGTGCGCCATACTCCGCTTCAGCCTTCGTCATCGCCAGCACTACAGCACGGAAGACAAAATTCCCACCACTGGCAGTGCCAGTCCGCTGCGCGTGGAGCCTGAGAACTTGGAGCAGGAGATCATGGTCGAATTGGACGAAAGACCTAATTTCTAGGCGGCAAAGGTTCCGCGCCAAACTGGGCTCGAGCAGCTCGCGCAGGACCTCATCGGTTACCGCAAAATGGTACGACTCCTTCTGGTGCAGGTCTTCGACAGCAAGGTCCTCCAATAACGGCACTTGGCGGAGCGCCTGGAGGAGCGCGGGAGAAGATATATAGGTCTGCCGTAGATGCAAGACGGTGATATTTGGCGAGCGACGAGTGAACGTGGCGAAAGCGGCTGGGTCCCAGAAGTTGGCCGCGGGACACGTCGACTGGAGCTTTAGCTCGGTAAGATTCGGGAGGCTCAGCAGGCGGAGGATGCGCCCTGCCAACTGGACTTGCTCGTCGTCGCTGGAGAAACTTGAAGGCGCCAGAGTAAATGACCTGATTGGTGATTTGAATAGCGGCTGGGTAGGCCAGTCGGCAAGTTTCTGCTGGTCCCGGTGGTAAGGAGGGTTGATGTCCCAGACCATAACGCTGCATGAAGCGGAACAGTGCTCGACAAACGCGAGCGCATTATAAACAGCCTTATGGAAATGGCCATAGAATCCAAAGGTGATGTTCAGGCGCACTTCTGTGAGCTGGTGCCACGCAACGCGAGGAGGGAAGTCTTCAAATGTAAGACTTCGCAAGGCAGGGGCGATTTCGAAGAGATTGCAGGCTGCGAAGAATTGTCTGTCGTTGGCATTGTTACTGCGGGACAGCTCTAGCCGCTCAAGAAGAGGCAGTTTCCCGCGCATAGGCGCGAGGTCCAGGAGTTGACAAGGGTCAACACGCAGCGAGAGCGATTGCCAACGCTCTGAAGTCGCGCGCAAGACAGCGAGGATTTGGCGTCGGATGGGCTGGCCCGTTTGGGCGTGATAGGTTTGTACCACATCAAGATTGAGGCGGAGCGGGGCATTCTCGGCGCGCAGCAGAGCGCGCTGGACCAGCTCAACGGCACGAGCGTCTTGTTGTGTGGGTATCGACCAGGCATTGATGTCTGCCCAAATCATCGGTGTCCCTATGATAACACCGTGCCAGTGGGAGCAGACGGTAGAAAGACTCAACCACTGGTCCTTAGCCAGAACGGAAAGCGGTTCATCGTCTTCTCCTGGGTTGTCATCGACACAGCGCTCGAGAATCGAGAGGAGCAGTTCTGTTGGCAGGCAGAGAATGGGGGCGGAGGCAGGCGTATTTTGAGGCGGATTGGGCCCGGAATGAAGGTGGTTGTCGTGCGGTAGGGTGGAAGAGGGCATCTCGAGTGAGGTGGCGACAAGAGGCACGACGTGAGAAACGTCAAGATCAGTTATAGATACTAGTATTAATAGGGTATGCGACACTGAATGAGGTAGGAGGCGCCGAGTTGGAGGACGAGAGACACAGACAAATGCAATGTGTCGGCCCGTCCACCTCCTCCAATTGCGCGGGACTTGTTAGATGGTGGTTTGAGCAAGGTCAAGCGGGGTGAGTCAGCACCACGTGGGCATGACGTGACCGCGACTCTCTTCTTTCGCTGAACCATGCCGCCTCCGAGCCAAGGTCGAGCCTATGCTCAGAGAACCCGGGCCCTTTTACACCCATGGGAGCGACCCCTGCCGCGGCCATACAGCATCAGTCCGCCTTCTCCTTCTCGACATCTCAGCACCCGCCACTTGTCGGCAGCGTCTTCACCTACAGCAGGCTCCGCCCCCGCTTCTCCCCAACGGAGGCACGATTTCTCGCTGGTGTGGGTCGTGTAGCAATGCTTTCCGCGGAACTTTACCTCCACAAACAGAAAAGCAAGCGGCGCATTGGCGGTGTTTCTTGGGAGCTTGGGTCGACAGGGACAAGCAATCAGGGAGCTGGAGCTGGCCGGATAAACGAGACCATTCTGCGGGATGAAGGTCCGTCCTTCAACCCACTTTTCCTTGCCCCAGACTTATCGTTCCTCAGGTCCTGGCTGTCTTTGCCCACGCATGTCGACAGTCCGAGTCACGGTGAAAACTCCTTCGAACTTATGGCCATCCGCAAAGACCCATGCTCGCGGTCACCACCGCCGCCTACGAAACCACTTTTAGTCAGCGTCTCCTCCGGCTCCTTCCTCCAAGCCCAACTCGGCCTATCTCTTATTGCCTCTCGTATTGCCTCGCATATCAGGGAACCCGGGAAGCTGCTCCATAGGTCTGAGGTATGTTTCCGCTCATCCTTCCAAGTTGCTACTTCTGACGAAATTATATTCTCGGAGTATAATAACCCTTCCTCAAAAGAAAAGCAGCCAAACATCTGCAAGCGATGAACACATAAGGGGACCTGCCATGTAGGCTAGTGGTGCAAGTACCTACTCTGAATCGGAACTACATGTGCGTATTCAGTCGACTACACCCGCATCGGCGTCTGAATGGTTTTCAGGATTCGTGCATTATCCTGACGTCAGCACATGCAATCTTAGGAAGCTGCGCTACGCACTCGTAAATTTGCTCCGTTCCTTGTAGGGACCACTGCGGAATACACTTTCCTTTCCTTTCCTTTCCTGGCTCTTCTTTAATCCTTCCCGCTCTTCATTCCTCCATTATCGGACACTCCATCTCGGATTCGATAACTCAGTCAAGTTGGCGGAAACCACCCAAGGCATTAGCCCCTTCAAGAACATCCGCACCTGCTCCAACCCTCCGCAATCAGGGAGCCCACGCGCTCATCCTCACCAGCCGTTCCACTCGCCCTTTCCCAGCTTCCTTGCCATGTGATCACGTGATCACATCACACTCGTCAGAGACTTCAAGAAATCTCCTCCATATGACGGTCTGCGGCTCTATCGACCGTCCCTCAAGCTGTACAAGCATCCAACTATGGCATATATTTAGTTTGTCCTGGGCTTGATGAGCAAAAGCCCTTAATTGGGCCCACTTTCGCTCGCAGCACGACTTGGGCGTGGGGTTGGCACGGGGTTCGAAATAGGCAATGATATAAGAAGAGATCGTGTCCGGCTTTGAAGACCGTCGGAAGAGGCTTATTGTGAACGGGGACGAGGTACAAGTGCTTTCCATGATGGTTGTTTACATGTACAGGGCATGTTGTTTAGTACTATATGGGTTGATATAAGCGTCGAATACGCTTTCCGAGTTAAAGCAAGTGGTTAAAGACCAATAATCAGGGCTCACACACCATTGTTCAAGAACACGAACAGGGCTGCTGGGCCCAAGAGGTGGTGGGATGAGCAGGGATGATTGACGACATGACCGTCACCAAAGGAAAGGGAGAATAATCATAATATCTCTCGGCCACACTCTTGTTTCGCCAAATGACAAACGTGTCTGTGCTAGCCATTCAGCATTTAGTATTTACTCGTACGCTTGACGGGCTTGATTAGTCCCTTGGAATTCTCAAGTCCTCGTCATATAGTTCGATGCCCACAAATCCGACGACCACACCCAAACGTCTAAGAACTGAAGTATCACTCGTTTCGAGGCTTCTCAGGTTGTCTGCCTCTACAAAATGAGTGGCATAGATTGCAAAAACGGTGCGATTAAATCGAATGTGCCGCTTGATTAGACGCTTTATAGTTCCACTATCATAAACCAAACGCCGCCTCTTCCAACCCACTAACATTGTCGAGATACGAGCTCCACTGCTCCCAACTAACACACATCAGTCTCTTGTCTTGAACGAGGAAAAGAGACCTACTAAGGATTCATTGGCACATCGAAAGCGCTTGTGTCTGGAGGCAGCACCGGCCAACCGGGCTCAGGCACCAGCGGCTCATTGAGTGCAGCTGCTCCCGAAGTCAGCGAGAGTAAAACAGACGAGAAACAACACACCTTCCGCCATGTAAACGAGCTCCGGGGGCAGCATCCCCGGCACCTCGTCGAATTGAGCTTCCAGATGAGACGGTGGCTGATAGAGCGCTGGCGCCACCATGTGCCGGTGCATGTCCATGAACGGGAAGGAGGCGTTATCGCTCCCCTTGTCGAATGATGCGTAAACCGGAAGACTACCGAGCTCCGTCGCGTAGATCGGCATACGACCAATGAGCGTATTGGCAAAGTCCAGCGACACATCTTGGTTGGCAGGTTGCGCTATCGCTGGGGCAAACAGGTGGGTCGTTTCCGCAAGAGACCGCTCCAGTGCTTCCAACTGCGCATCCGCGGTACGCGGCGAGTCGATCGTAGACCCGGTTTGAGAGTCAGAAAGAAGAGTTTGTGCTGGGCTCGCCGTCTGCTCTTCATCTTCCTCCGTTTCTCGTGGCCTCTTCATCGCCGACTTGTGCTTGCTGAAGTTGAGCATGGCGGTGATGATATCACACGAGCGACCAGCAATCCTCCATCTGTGGTATCAGGATGAGTAACGCAATGCCAGACAATGTTACTTCGCATACCGTCGCTCGTACAACCGCAACACCTTCAAACAATTCCTCACATCCGCCGTTGCTCGATCAAAGTCGTCGTCGGATCCTGTCCTGGACCGGCCCGAATCACCCAGCCGCCAGACGTTGATGAGCAGAATGATCGCGGCGTCAAAAAGCAGGCTCTAAGTCTATGATCAAAGCTCCCATTCCACACCGATGAGAACCCCTTACAATCATTGCTGGCGCATAAATGACACCTCTGCCTCTCCGTGCTTGGACCTCGAGCACATGGCCAATCGAGCGGGCCGCATTGGCGCATATGGCCATCGAAGGGAACGAAGTCTGTCTTCCGTTTGAACTCGGAATATGGAAGATACAAGTGACGCACGTTAACTGTGGACTGCTTGCCAGGTCCAGCCACAAACGGTCGATGAATCAGAATTTGACCTGTTCATGGTGAATACGACGTGCTAACACATAGTAGGGACTTACAGTGGTAGTAGGTTGCATATCTTAGAGTAAGGTCAAGTATACTGTAGCGGGGAATGGGAAACACGAACAGCAAAGCTGACTGGTCCAAAAACACCTGCGAAAAGTAAGTGCGCAAAGTGGCCAGACTCGAGATCGTCACCTGATTCTCTTGCTGGGGATTCCACCTCACTACAAATAAGAGCCTATTCCGGAACATAGTAAAGTAACTTACAATGGGCCGGAATCCCGTCAATCCATTCGTTGACCGCCGAACTACCAAGATGTTAAACCAGTGCTGTCGAAGGTGACCTGATACATACTCCAAAGCGACTATATCGTCGTGGCTTGGTTCGTGCCGGTCCAGCGGGTACTCCAAGAAGTTAGAAGGCTATTTGCGAAATGATAGTAACAACACACCACTCGAGCTTGAATTTTGGTATAAAGGTCGATCAATCTAAAATACGGCGCGAAAAACGCATGAATCGATGGCTGGGCAAGCGGAAAATTATGTTGCTGTGCTTCAAGGGCTGCAGATTCAGCCAACGGTAAGCTCCAGTACTCATCGTCGAGCGATATCGGAAGTGGGGCAGTGAATCTTTTGTTCTTGATGAGCAATAGAAAGCAAGAGAAGGGTTGGCATACGTGCGGATGGTGGAAGCCCGGCCCTTGAATGTCGACATCAACGTCTCCCAAAGAACGAGGGTCCAGAAGGCGCGCTTGTAGAGCTCGACATCAACCGGTTCCAGGTTTGTCTTGTGATACCACGCCTCATGTTGCCCTCCGACTGCTTGTAGAAATCGAAGGCCGACACCAACGTGGAACCAGCATTCGTCGGGCGTTGAAGAGGCACAGAAGTAGAAGACGCCAAGCTATAACCAGTAAGCTGAGTATAACTGTAAAACGTAGTCGCACTATAAGTCTTTGTAGTTGCAACAACGACTTGGTCGAGTCAAGAGACGCGCTCATTGGCCGAATCTGTGCAAACCACTTCCAACCCGCGCTGTGTTCCGAGTCTCGCGGCGCCTCGTCAAGGAAAACACGCGGGTCGTCGCTGTACTTGCTGGCGACAGCACAGACACCAAGAACCACCTCACCAAATGCCCGCTCTGTCAAATGCCGATTGGATTCGAGTGACCCTTCGAACGATATGCGATGAAGGACGCCCATGATGGGATTGATTTGTTCAAAGTAGATGTGGACCAGGGTTTCGAGCAGATCAGGGTCGGGAAACTCCAGCGGTGGATACATGACGGTGAATCTTTCCCACTGCATACCCATTAACGAAATACTGGACAAAAAGGACAATGCGCACTAAAGGTGGGGTCCAGAACTCGGCTCGTTGCACCCCCAAGATGTAGACTTGGCCGTGGTGGATATGCTTGATGGCCGCCTTCATGAAATTTGAAGTGCTAGACGTTCCATAGTCTCTGTCGTTCTTCTTGTAGCCGGTATAAGGGTCGAAGACGTCGCTGACACAACCAGCAACAAGCGGGTTGTGGTACTCGACGACCATGCCCGTGGGAGGAGGAGGGTCCGGTGTTTTAGGGTCGGGCTGGCTTCGTAACTTGGTTTCGGCCTCCGCCAACTTTTCTTCCAGGTAGCGCGCGTAATGACAGACCTCCACAAGCATATGGTTGGATGTCGTCAGGTCTGTTGGTCGAGAGTACTCTGAGGACACAGCACCAGCAACATAGCTCTGTGCCGACTTAAGTCGGTCGGCTGACAACCCTCCCTCGTTTCCCTGCAGAAAATATCAGCAATAGACCAGCCAGCACACTTCATAGCGCACTTTCGCCCTCGTATGCATGCAAGCTATCCCAGCGGTGATGCAGTTCGTGCACCTGTTGTTCGGCATTTCTGCGCTGTCGCCTGGGGTTGGTGAGTGCCGATTTTGAGCTTAAAAAGAGGCGGGTACATCGAACTGAAGCATTTCTTAGTATGAAGAAGACGGAAAGGGCAAGTTACGCACTTTTCCTCCGTCTACAGGCGTCGCAGCTCCCCTGCAGCCTCCTTCGTTTGTTCGCGCCATTTTCATCTCCAGCGGAGCCGGCCATGACTGCGTAATCGAAGCGGCGATCAGAAATGTCACACTCGTCACTCACTGATCGGAGTATAGATTAGAACAACAACGTTAACTACAGAACCGAGATTTACGCGTCCTTCTTGGCCATGATCCAGTGGAACTTTTCCTCAAAGCCACCAACTACTTCGGTATCAACTTTATCAACAATCAACTTGAATCCAGCCAACTGCTCCTGCTTGAAGACCGCTCGGGTGCCTTCGACACCCAAACCGCTGGAAAATATAGTAGCCCCTGGCTTAATCCACTCGTCGCGTCGCACATCTCCGCTATCAAAGTGGAAGTTGGCCAAAAACCAGCCGCCAGGCTTCAACCACCCGTAAATCTTCTCGATCATCTCGCCCTGCTCCTCCTTGGGAAGGTGGAAGATCGAATAGAACGCGAGAACGGCATCAAGAGACCCAGCAGGAAAGTCCAACGTGAGCATATCGCCCTGAATAAATGCCTTCGCACCAGGAACGTGCTGCTTTGCGAGTGCGATTTGCGCAGCGGAGATGTCGTTGCCGGTGACGACGAATGCTTTCTCGTGCGAGACCAGGACCTGCGTCGCTGGGACGCCCGCTCCACAGCCAAGCTCGAGTATCTCAGCTTTGGCTGGCAGATCCTTCAACAAGTCGTCAATTAGCCCCATCCGAGTTGGTGTAGGGCGAGGGCCAGTCCTATTCCGCGGCATTGAAAACACAGGAATGTCTTCAAGAAGATGACCTACCAGGCTAAATACTCGTTCGCGACAGCATCGTAGCACTTTTCGTTTGTGGCTTTCTGTTCGAGGAACGTCGACATGGTGGTCAAGAGGAAGAAATGACTCGACCTGTCACGCGAGGACGATCTCTTGAAGAATCAAGATTTCCTCCAGCCGCCGCTGTGTTCCGAGTCTAGCGTTAGCATTGCATCGTTTGGCTACTCTCAAAATCTTCCCACGGCCCGTTCTCTCCGTCGGATCCGCCGCAATCCGAAATAGATTCACGTTTAGTAGGAATCAGGATAACCCCCAAAGTCCAACGCGAGTGAGCTAAGTCTATGGCTTCGTAAATGCAGTAGCCTCAACTGCGGTTATGATTAGAGCATGTAAGTATGAGCTCTGAGTCTCCATCTATCGACCTCTTCCTGTGGCCTTGCGGATTTGAAGGGGGAATCGGGCATTGATGCGACGCTGACAGAGCCTTAACGCGAACCCTAGTCTCTGAAAATACCCTTATTTGCATCACCAGATACCGCACCCACCACAAGAACTCCTTATTTCCGCCCCATACCGCCTTTTCGACCTCGCGACCACGCTCACGCCCAAGTCCCGTTGCGCGAAAAGTGCGCTCAACGGAAGCCTTCTACCCATCTTCCGCGGACCACACGAGATATATGCGATGGTATGATAGACAGGCAGCTTGAGACGCGGTCGATAGAGCCACAAGACGCGTGGTGGAGAAGTTTCGTGTCACCGGTCACGTGCAAGAATAGCTTTGGGAGAGCGGAAAAGGGCTGATGTAGGTGTGGGGATGAGTTGAGATAGGTGCAGGGGATAGAAAGGTTTCGGATTGTGCTGTAGATGCTGCACTAAATCGAGGATTCGACATGGGTTTGGGAAAGAAAAGATAGATCGATACTATCGAAGGACCTTGAGGTGGGTATTTGCGCGCGGACTACTTCAGTCCGGCTCGAAAGAGCCTTCCCAATCACGCGCCTTCGGGTCGCACTTGCATTTTCGCAGCGGAACAGTGGCGAGAGCGGAGACCCCCAATTTCGAGTAAAATCTGGATGATCACTGGAAGAGGCATTGTCGTCGAAACAACAGAAGGTTTCTGAGCCAAGATTAAAACACGTTGAAGGAGTCTGGGACCAGCAGATCCAGGATCTGAAAAACAGTCAGTAGCTATAGATATGGTAGAAGCACAGACACGCACCTTCACAGCCAGTTGTTTGCGCATGAAGCTCCGATTTCTTCTCTCTCATACTGGATTTGCGGCATGTCGTGAGCGAAGTTGACGGGTAGGGCATCTTCAACGGGTTCCAATGAAATGGATGAAGTAGACGAAGGAGTAGAGTACAAAGGCTTCGGCGAGTAAAAGTTCTTCTGACTGACGGCAATACCCAAATAATATCAGCAAGTTTCAGACTAAAATGGTCGTTGACGCAACTGGTGGCCCATGGTGTATCGGTCGCGCCAGTCAAGAATTTCTTCCAGATCCTACAGACAGATCCGCAAGTTTGCACTGGCGCTTGCTAGGGAATGATCTGCCGCGGAAGACGTCGACAAGATACTCTGAACCATCGATTGCGTTAACACACCTTCAGACACGCAGACCTCCGCCGGCCCAGCACAAACTCCTTCCTCAGCGTTTCTCTGCCATCCTTTGCGTACTTGTTCGCGCCAGCTTTGCGATTCAGAAACGGTTCTGAGTAAAACAAGCTCGTAGTCGTAAGGCAAAAGCAGATGCGCAAGAAGTATCAAACCTACTTGTAGCTGGCTTTCTCGTGGCATTGAGGCGCTAGTGGGTGGCGTAGGAAGCTGCGCCGTAGTTGGGGACGTGTTCGAGCATGACGCTGGTGGTCGTTGAAAGCGAAAGAATCGTCGGGTCACATGGCTCGGCCCGCTTTCTCCACAACGACGACCTTCAAGTTGGCCCGTACGCCTTCCTCCCGCTCGACGTCTGGCAATGGGCAACCCGTCCCTACTATCGGAAGTGAAGGCAATTGACACAAGTTCGTTCTTTGAAAGCTTCACTGGCCACATCGCTCATTCCTTTTCAGCGTTGTAGACGGTCTTCGCTTGGTCTCTGCCACAGTAACAGTTGTAGCGGCTCTCGCTCTAGTCTTGGATCAAAGCATGGGCGGACAAGCTTCAGCGCGGAGAGGTATATGTGTAGCAGGGAAAAGAAGGTGAGCGAAATCTCCCTGTCTTTGAACTTTTCAAACTAAACAGCCGCATCCTCTTCGTCATACGAAGTAATTCATCCAAAATCGGCTCCTAATCTCGCACGACCGCAACTCGGAGAGTTTGTGCGTCTTCGAATTGTGCTGCGACAGAGTCTTCAACGAAGCAAATTATATACCATCTACAAAGCTTTGCGGCTTCGGATGTAGCGCTATCGAGTGCGTGTGTGCTTCTTTATGTGCGGGGCTTGTATTCACTAACGGTATTTCCAGCTTTGTCATCTATTGCACGACATCCTTGGGTCCTTATTCGTCTTTCGCAATCGACTTCGCTCTCGAGGAATCATAAGCGAGTTTCAAAGACAATAGTCAGCGTACTCATCGCTGGTGCAACACTCAACACGACCCCTTGTCGCCCCACCTTTTTGTTTCCCAGTCGCGGATGTCTTGCAGACTTCAACGATGGCCTTGGCGGACACCTTTGCCCGAGCTCCTCGATCGTCAAAAATATCATGGTTACCAACGAGTTCGGGGTGTGTATGAGAACTTGGATGTAGACTTGGGACATGGGTCATCGAAACTGTCTCTGAGTATCCTCTAATAATCCCTAATCCGCCCTCTTTTCGTCAATTCATCGCCCCCCCTCCCACCTTATCCGACTTCTTTGCTCATTTTTTCCACACAAATAGTGAAGGTTCTCCAAGCTCCATGGTCAGCTTTTCTCACTTGCTTCTCCCCGCGTAGACCACTTCAAATGTCTCGGATGCCTTGTCCGCAATGGCATCGCCACTTTCTGCTGCCTGAAACATGACGAAGTCTCAGACTTCCCCGCATTCCGCTATCCGCCTGGCATATTGTGCTCGAGGTTAGATTGCCTCCACTGAATTTCTTACCCACTGAAACCTTTCGCCACAGGAAAAACTCCACGTCAATCGCATCGCCACATTCTGCTGCCTGAGACATGACGTCAGAGGACCGGTCTCAGACATCTTCCCCAAATTCCGCTATCCGCTGGAGAATCCCATAAAAGCCGCCCCCAGAGTCGACCATATCCTCAGCTCAAACCACCAGCGCATCTTAAACACCATCCACATTGACCAAAAACATGATTGCCTCATACTCCACCCGCGCTGTTGTTCCCCGCAACGGCTTCTTGCCATTAGGCGGCCGTCGTGTCTCTCTCCCCGAGACATTTTCACCATCATCATCATCCTCTTCATCGAGCCCATCTCGTCTCCGGAAACGATCAGTCGATATTGCGAAACGACTGGCTAGCTCTGTCGCTGCCGTCGTCCAACCCACACCCATGCCGCATGTCGAGCCCGTGTTTGGCCTGCAACGACGATCGCTGGGAGCCATCCCCATGGAGGACCTTCGCCCTCCAAACTACCTTCCTATGCCCCCACAAGAGATGCTCTTCCCGCGATTCGAGCAGGTTGCCCTGTTCAAAGCGGTGGGGCTATTGAGCCCAGAAGCGGATGTCAGACATGAAGTACTAGCGATGGAACCTTATGTCGTTTGACTGCTTGACGTTCACAACTACCCCATCTATCACTTGCTACTGAACATGTTACCATTGTATTTCTATTCAAGCATGAAGCATGTGCAATAACATTTCTCATTGGTTCCATGATTCAAATGTCGATGTCGAAGGGGTATATAATTCGAATGTGTGCTGGACTGGACCAGAACTTGTCACAACTTGAAGTTTCTCCTCGGGGCAGTTGGGGAGGCCCTTCGATCCAAATGTACTCAGAATATTCCCAGCGTTGACAACACCAGATGAGGAAAGGGCAGTCACGCGACACACTTTCCTTCCTAAACCACCACTCGACTCACCAACCACTCTTCCGACACTATAACCAATGCCCAATACAGGCTCACAAGACTTCGTTCTCGCGGCATAACGCCCGCGGCCTGTGCTGTTGTTGAGGGGCGATACCAAGCACCGTTCTTCAAGCTACTGCTAGCTGCGAGCCTGAGCTCGCCGGCGGCCAGGTGCGTTTTCCTGTCCCTAATCCTCTCCGATCCCTCACGCCTTTGATAGCACTAGAAAATCTGGATGATTTTACCTGCTTGCTAATGCTCGACAGAGTTCTATCGCTCACGAATTCTTGACACGCCAAAGTCCAAAACTCTTCAAACTCGATCTCGGGGCGGCAGTGGACAACTCGAAGCCCCACTCCGTGAACTCGAATTCCTCGATTAGAAGGACACGATGTATGGAGAGACGACGGTGCGCGGCATTCTGTCCGCTCTGTTTTTGCTTACTTGCTGACCCTCTCTGCAAAGCTGTCTATCTTCTATTCGCGAAGGCCTGCATAGCCCACGCATCAACCCCAATCGGCGCACGAGCTATTCAAGACGTGTCAGCAGGTAGGCAATGAGCAACTTGAATAACAAGTACGGAAATTCACCCATCGTCGTTATAGCAAACGTCGGTCTTCAAGTTGGTCGGACACTACCCCCACAAGCGGCTGCTTCCTAGTGCCACGCTTCGTTCACCACTTTATCCACTATGAAACATCCTGTACTCGAAAACTATCTACATACTCCCAACCAACTCGGTCGCTTTTTGCGACTTCTCCAATGCCGACAAGAATTTCAATCCAACAGTGTCGCACCAGACATCGCGGTTTGGCGGAGGTGGAAACCGAGTCTCTTAGACTCCGTTGTCTTGAACTCGCCGTCCACCATTCTGATTCGAGTGGACAAGATGGGCCGCCGAAATAGCGACAAGGAATCTCCTTAGACTCTTCAGACCCTTCCGTTTTTCAAAGGGAATCTCCCACCATCCCCATTTGTCACGGTCTCGGAACCGGCCATTATATTCCAAACAAGCAATACGACACTCACAAAACCGGCTCGGGACCCATTCTAGGTCTCATTCGCATTTTTCGGTCATACCGTTCTCGAACGAGCTTAGCAGAGTCTGAATCGCCACCTGCAGACCGAGGGCTGCTCGTTGGGTCGGTGGCTGGCTGTGCAACGACAAGCAGAAGATGAAAGTGTTGTTTGGGTCCTTGGGGCTTGGGAAGTTGGGAACATCTCAGCGCGCCATTGGAGCTGTCGCTACACACACTTTTACTTCTGTCTCGGTCATGGCGTAGGCTTGCTAATGCAGCTCTGTCTGCGAGCACTTGTAGACCGGCGTTCTTCAAGGTCGATACTTATACTCTCTCAGTGAAGGTCATGTCGGCAGCCGGCTTCCCCACGTTTATCATTCTTGAAACTTTGAGTACTATTCGAGTTCTAGTCTATATCGTGCAATTGTATCCGAATAGCAAACTATTCTATCGCAATACAGACAGTCTCTCACCACATTGCTTTCATACCTGAAATTTCCTTGAAACCCTCCCATTCTGTTGCGGCCTCTGATGTCGTCGTGTCCAGAGCAACACCGTCGCCACCCGGAATACTTGTTACGAGCTCTCTCCATCTGTCGACTCCTTCCTGTGTTTGCCGTCTGAGCTTGATGCTATGGAGTGCGGGCAACGACGAGAGTATATTCATCCAAACACGAGTTTCTCCCTCGGATGATGGGGTCCAGCTGTCCAAGTACATCGTCCCAACTGAGCGCCAGACCCGATTTAGTGTCCTTTTCGAGTTGCCGTTTGCGATGTTGTCGTCCCCATGATGAGATGGGAGAATCGATGAAAAGGCTGTCAGTGCCAGGGGATATTCACTAGCATGCCAGGCGAAGATTACCTCGCGATCATTCAGTGAATTGTCGGTATCCTGGGAAGGGAAACGGAAGCTGATATCGACGTTTTTGCCACCGAGGCCCGGACCAGAGGCAAACCGTTCACCGTGGAAGCGGAGGTGTGTTCCAGCCGCTGGAGCGGAGAAGTGTGACCTGAGGACAATATCAAGGCGGCTACCGATTGAGTCAGGAGGATCCCAGTACTCGATGCTGCAGCGAACGAGCTTGGGGAGGGTAAGCAAGGGAAGGAGCTCGGCCGCGACGGGATTCACGGCAGGGTGGCTAGCACGGATCGCAAGGTAGCGGAGATGGGGGAGGATTATGGGCTGCGCTACTAGTAGAAGCTCATCCTGCGAGTAGGGATTTGACAGTCTGCTAATGATGAGAGTCTCGAGCTGGGTGGTGGCTGACAGAGCGTAGAAAAGCGCGTTCTCGAGGTAGCAGTCGAGGATCAAATTGCGTAGTCTCGGGCCAGTGTGATAGAGAAGAGACAGTGGAGAGTCAAGCTCCAAAAACTGGAGACTGGGGTACAGCGGTTCTCTTTCGCTTCCCGTCGGCGTTGAGTAGGCTTCATTGATTATTTGCGTTATCGACATCTTCGCTAGGACGGGGAACCTGCCGCGGAGCGCTCGGGTTAAGGATTCGTGAGGAAAGTGCCCATAAAGAAAGACCTCCTTTATGCGCTCTGGTGCAAACTCCAACACGGCGGCGATTCGTTGGTGAATGGTCATTTGTCGCCGAGAAATGATGAAATGGCTCAAATGACATTCCACAATCAGCGGGCTGGATTTCGAGCGGCGCAGGCAAGTCTGCACCCATGTCGGCGAGCAAAAGTTGACTTTAGACCAGAGTAGTGGCATTCCGAGCGCGATTTGGCGCCAGTGAACACAGACCTCGCTGCATTCGAAGAACGAATACTCCAGCGGCTGAACTGCTTTCACGCACACCTCCATGAAGATGTCGGCCAGGACTTCCGCGGGGAGCACGTGGATTGGCGCCTGAGACTGGTCTCTGCCGCATCGACTGAGCATTTTGGTGTCGTGGACATCGTCTTGCACAGCGGCATGCAGCATAGACACTGTAAGCTCCGGCCCGGGCACCACACGAGCCGTAGCTTTCAGGTTGTTTGGCGGGAGTATCGCATGTAGGCCTTGAACGGTAGTCAGTTCTATGGGCTCGAAAGGATACTTGCATACTCTTCTTGACCTTCTTCAAGGCCTTCATGGCGGTTGGTGCAAGACAAATCAAGACCGGCGCCGACGACCAAAAAAGGAAATGGCCTCAGCCGCCGAAAAACGATGGCTATTTCTAAACGGCATGCAAGTATTTACAAAGCGATGCTACAAGTATACGGGAGAGGAAGCAACTTTTCAAAGCAAACGAAGGAGAAAGAAATGCGTATCGTATGTCTGGATTTGTGGGGCTTTATATCGGTCGTCCAAAGCGGACGCTTTTAAGGGCATGCTATTCAAGTACGGCGAGCACGCTTTGTCTCGCCAGACCCGTCGCTCCATGTCCGCGGGTCACTCTCCTCATCTAGCTCCAATTCCTCCGAACAGCGTTTGACTGGGCTAGCGCCGGGCGGAATCTTGATGACAGGAGGCTCTTTTGTGCGAGCGCGCTTGGGAGCAGTTGTAGCTTCCTCCTCAAAAGAGCGTTTGCGTGAGACAGAGCGGAGCATCAGCCGCGGCTTGGTTTGCGCAGCGTAATCTTCATACTCGTAGTCGGTGAATGAATCCAAACTGGACCGCTCCTCGTCCTCCGAAAGCTCCGCTGCATACTGCAACGCCTCGTCCCATAACGGCGCATCGCGATCCAGAAACTCTCCGTCTTGCTGCTCATTATCCTCGTAGACATTGTCATCCGAAACAACAGAGATCACAGTCTCAACCCCATGCTCCTGCTCTTCTTCGGGGATTTGGACCACGAAAGGCCCGTTTTCGGTGTCGTTATTAGCATGCTCGCGGTCGACCCATTCACGTCGTTCTTTGGCGGTAGCGTTGTCAGAAGTAGGGGCCGTGACTTCCTGAGTAGGCTGAACAATAAGCGCATCAGCCGCGCGAGCCTGTTCTTGAGCAGCGCGAACACAAATCGTGTAGCGGCAATGGTAGAGAGGAGCACAGGCTTCTCGCCAGACCTGTTGGTAATGTTAACGTTGGCAGGTTCAAAGCGAAGAGCACATACAGATCGCAAAATGTCCTGGCTATAAGGCAGAAGATGCTCAATTCTCTCCGGCACGTCAGGAATTGAGTGGAAAAGCTTGGTTCCGGACCGGGTCGACAGCGATAGTTATCGACGACTTTTCCAAGTCTGTTGTCGCCAATGTAGATGTCGATAGCGTTGGACTCCTGTCTTCGAGTCCTTCCTCTGCTCGCAGATTTCGTCTCTGTTCGCTCCAATCGACCCCGTCAAACCATACCCCCTCTTCCTCCCTCAACTTTTCAATCACATCCTCCAGCGTTATGCGGGTAGCGCGAATAGCGGGGTCTGGTATAACCTTCTTCTCGTTTTCGGCATCCGCTTCACATGCATCCAAAGCACATTCCATAACAAGCCTTCGAACGACATTCTTCATCGGCGGGAGGAGCAGTATGCGGAGTTGGCGGACATGAGCGGCATGGGCAAGGTCCGCAAGAACAAGATTGGGATGAACCGGGTAGGCCAGGATGTACCTCATGCACCGGGTTGAGTGTAGAAAATCATTCGATGAATATTCAGATGGTGAGGAAGTTATCGACCACGGTACTGAATGAGTTGCGCGAATACTCGTATCGGGATGTTCTGTTAAGGAAAGAGGTTAACCATACCGCTCGATTCCAGCGAGAAAACTTGACGAACCTGTCCTTTTCACTCGAACGGGGTCGTCAACATCGATAGCCGCCGCCCAACTCCCATCCAGTATTTTCCCTCTGACCCAATCGCCCGGAGCAAGATCTATGACATTCAATTCTTCCTCTCACTCCGAATCCATATCTTCGTCGGAAAAGTCGTCGCCCTCAGCGAAAGCGACCTGTCGAAATGGGGGAGTTAGCCCATGCATAGGCAGCAAACACAGCGGTGGTAGGGTGTCTGAATCTGTGGAAGGGAGTTGCCGGCAACAAGAGCCTCGTCGAGAGGGCGAACGACGTTGAGGGAGGTCATGAAATTAGTCGGAAAACAGCTAAGTGCCTGTTAGCAACGCGAGAAACATGCTTCAAGTCAGTTTCGGCTCACGAAAAAAAAGTCCATCCCAAATAGGCAAGTAGCGACGACACTGAATACACCCCCATATTCCACGTTCAAGATTTTGCTTGCGTGCATTACAGAAGGTTAAAGTGACCCGCTGTAGACGACAAGAAGGTGGTTTGCGGTTGATATGACCGATATGTCGCTGCAGCAAAGGTCTATGGTTCCACAAAGAGAAGCGATCCTTAGAGTTGGTAAGTATGCAGCTAGCAACAAGTATAACAAGGTCGACGCACATATATCATGGGAGGCCCGAAGTCTGCTACCAGCACATATGCCTGCAGCCGAATAGTGTTGACGGCGTTTTGCCCGCGACCGCCAGGCCCTTCTCCATCCCTTCAGCCTCTGCATTAGATGTGTCGTGAGCAACAGCACGTAGTTGTCCGCCGTCGGCGTATCTCGTTGCAGATAGGTTGCGGAGTAGAGGAAAGACAGCCGAATAACGATGGTGGTGGTTGCGCAAGATCCGATAGCTGGCTCAGAGCTTTGAAGTAGAAGATTTGCTTTGGCTGAAGACGGGATTTGAGGTTGAGGGACGTGCAACGATGAAGTAGGGAGCAAACACACTTTCGAGCCTAAAGTCTTGACTCGTGCTTCAGTCCTCCGCCTAGAGGCTGTAGCAGACCGTTCCTATCCCTATGTGGGACCCACTGCAGCGCTGGGTGGTGTCCTTGTCGTCATAGAGTTGCCACAGTTGTCGAGTTTGGTGTACTTGGGCTCCCTGGTCGAATACATCGATGCCGGCGATAACTAGAAAAGCTTGAGCTGAGTGATAGAGTGAAGTAGGTCGTTAGGACGCTACCACAAGGGTGCTGAGGAGTCTGCAGACTGGGCACGCTCCAGGTGGTCGTCGTGGTCGAGAAGAAAATTTGGCAGCATCACATGACACGGCTTGGGCTCAAAGCAAGGCACGTCGCGACTCGCCTTACGCTCCCAGCTGTAATTACCACATCGAAGCTCCTGGGCCTTTCGCGCCAGACATGTGCTCCCAATACGTTGTCTACCTGAAAAAAATACGAACCCTTTGATTCTAGAATCTAGATCTATGCTCCCACTATAAGTAGCCTTGGTTATAATGCATTACTTCTAGCCAGCTCCATCACCACCGCATGCAGCCCCATCTCCTCCTCAAGCTGCGAAGGACCCATATCAGCCTCGGTCAAGCCGTAAAACAACAACCTACCTCTCTCCGCCTGACCCGGTCCTCTCTTCCCGCGTCCCCGCCAAACACACGGTCCATATCTTCGAGTGTCACGCCCGCTGTTTCGGGCACCGTATATGTGGCCCACAGATAGGCCGCGAAGCAGGCTGTGGCGAAGGTGAGGAACGTCCCGCTGGAGAAGTTGTTAGCGAACGCTGTCGGCAGAAGAAAGGGCATACGCAGGTGAGTATTCCATCATAATTGGTGTTATGAGCCCGATGAAGACTGTAGCTGGTTATGAGACGCAAAACAGTAGACGGAATGACGGACAGTTGTTGCTCCAGTTGGAGGCGGTCGATAGAGCCACGCCACGGCCGCGCATCGACAACGGGGAGACCTCGCTCGGGAGGACCCATCCAATGGGTCCAAACGAGACGCCGTATGCAAACGTAAATGTATAGATTGCACTGTGAAAGTTTTCAGAGGGGCTCAGGCGGAAACGAAAGAAAGCCATACGCAACAGCGGTCCATGCGGCTATTGCATGCGAGCTCCAGTCTGATTGGAATTGCATTACCTGGTCGGCAGTCAGTATTATATGAAAGAAAGGACGGTAAGCACTGACGAGGACAGCAATGATGAGATGAGAAGCCGCCATAAACGAGCTACCACCTTTTTCGCGTTAACAGCACAGATAGTAGACGATGCAAAAGCAACCTCTTAACAAAGGCTTGCGTCCTGATTGCAGTGTTAACAGAATATATAAACGGAGTCAAAGAGACAATCACCAACTCGGTCGATGTAGATGACAGCGGGTCCAACAGCAATGAACTGGACAATTCCAATTCCGCCAGAAACAATCAACGAGATAGTTTCGCCTTTGAGCCCGATACTCTTCACAAGGGTAGGACCGTAATAGAGTAGTGCATTGATTCCGCTCCATTCTAAGAGTCATATCAGTCAAGAAACACTAGATAAACTGTGACTTGCGTTGGAAAAACATCATAAGAACCCCCACCAGCGTGCGCGGGCGGTATTTCTTGGAGAACAACTGCCGCCACGCTGAAAGCTCGTTCTGGGTACCGGGTTTAGGCGAATCCGAGTCAGATTGAGAAATCAATGCTGCTTCGACACGCATTTCGAGAAGCTCGATCTAAAGCCAGGTTAGCGACAGACCTCGAGAAGCAAGATGAAACCTTTGTAAGCGCGTCATCGCGACCGCGCAGCTTGAGCAAACTAGCTTCTGCTTCATCGTATTTGCCTTTCAGCACAAGCAATCTGGGCGAAGCGGGAAGAAGGAATAACGCTCCGCAAGCTAGAAGGACTCCGGGGCCGATCTGGACACCAAGCGGAATCCTCCATGACGCCGAACCTGGGACTGGAGGAGAAATTGAGTATGGAGTCAAATGAAACGACCACCACATACTATTTCGCGTGAAGAACCCAATCCAGAATCCGACAACAACTCCAAGGACAATCGAAAATTGTTCGAGCGCAATGAGCGAGCCGCGTACTTCGGGCGGACTGATTTCCGATATATAAAGTGGTGAAAGCATGCTTAGAGCGCCGACACCAATGCCGCCAACAGCGCGACCAATAAAAAGGTCTACGAGTGTTCGCGCGAATGTTTGGAAGAGCGCGCCGATGTTGAATATGACTAGCAACGATATGAAGCTAGACGGACGGAGGTACTGTGGACATACCACAGGCGATGAAGATGGAATGTCGGCGGGAGTATCTGTCGGCCAAAACTCCGAACGTGAGAGCGCCAACAAGGGCGCCCAATTCAAGAACAGCAGCTGAAACCAGTAAGGGCTAGCTATGAGCGAAAGGTAAAGCACGCACTGAGCGCGCCTTTCTGCAGCGGTGTTATTGGCCATCGGCCCACAAAGTCCTCCATTACAAGTACATTGGCAATCTAGAGAGAAGAAGAGTTAAGAAAGGTATATAAAGCGGAACGTTGGGACACACCACACCCTGGTCATACCCAAAGCTCAGCCCGCCTATGGACGCGAAGACCGCACACAAGAACGCGTAGTAGTTGTGCCACAGTCCGGCCAGGCCGGGAGGGCCATAACTGTAAGTGTACGATGAGTCTTCAGCGACTTTCAATCCAGAATCCGCGTTCGTTTGAAGGGAAGGGAGCAGGCGGCTATGTGCTGTGATGTCCTCGTCGGATTCGGGGGGGAGGAGAACAGGGTCGTCGTTGGGAAGGGGTGCATAGTTGCTTGGCTGGAAAGAGTCAATGTAGGTTGACATAACGGAGCTGTTGCTCACCATAGAGCTGGGATTATAAGATCGTAGCGTTGCTTAAGTTGTCGAGGAAACGGAACGGGTTGCTGGCCGCGGTATTACGGAGTACTGAGTACAATGTTAGGCAGGTCCGTTGTGAATGAAGGGAGAGAGGGAGACACACGATAGAGAAGAGAGATATGTATAAGATAGCGAGTCGTGAAAGCAGCGGGAAGACAGTGTATCGCGGTGTGACCACTTGTGACACGAAAATATCAGGGGTTCTTTCTCCAGCCACGACACATATCCATCTCGACATCAAGATGGCCCAGATGCTCATAAATCCCTCGTTTCTCACTCATAATCATCCCCCTGCTATTGCCTCACATGTCCGCTACCCGTCCGACTCTTTTCGCTTTGCTTTGCCTACTTGGCGTCGGTTGGCACTGAACCGCTGGTCCTACCTTGGACTTCGAGCGTAAAACGCGTATTGCGGGACCGGGAAGGGCTGGAACGAGGCTATTACCTGTGCAGGATATTGTTCGGTTGGCCACAAGGTGTGTAACTTTGATCTCCCCCCCCCACTCATTTGCTAACTTTTCTGTAGCGGCAAGCTTTCTCAGATATGCCTCCAGACTAGAAAGCGAACCTAAGAAGACCTCTTTCCACAACATCGTCGCCGCCATTGGCCATGAACTACTACGATATAGCCCTTCCTCACCATTTCGCTAGCTTGCTGGTTGCTGCGTTGGAGCTATACCTGTATCCATCGTCGACGGGTTTTTGGTATGTTTTCCAGTCGCTGGCCGTATACACAGACTGACTAGTGACTCTCAGCTGATTTTCCGAGCCGGTACTGTTAACGACGACGGTTCGCGGGCGGAAATTCCTTCTTCGTGCTCACGACCATCCTCAACTTTATGCCTAGTTCGCTAATGGCCAGACTAAGCCATACCTAGGTAACGAAGCCGATTAGGTAGCAACGACAAGTTCTAATAAGTCATACAGTGTTTTCCTTCCGAATACCGCCTTTCATGCGGCTCTCACTCGTCTGTGGGCAAATTTGTGCCCTGTCTGGTGCTGGACGTGCATCTTGAACGCGACAGCATCTCTTCCTCGCGGTTAGCTCCTTCGCTTCTACGCATTACCGTCTCCATCTGTTCACACTTTGGCATCGTGCTTTTCCGGTCTGCATTTCGATCGCTCGATGGACTGAACTATATCCGCGCATGGTCGTGTTTCTCGGATGATACCAACATTTCTTTTGGTCGTTTTTTCTGGTCGTCGGGATATCTTCGTAGCCACGTAAGCTCTCGTTTCCCACATACCCACAGCGTCTAACAACGAATAGGGAGAGTTGCAAGCTCCTTATTTGTGGACGACGTTTCGCATGCGGAACCAAGTCTGACAACGGAAGCAAGCACATATTTGAAGCCGACTCAATTCTTCCCCTTTTCTCGCACCTGCCTCTTCCCAACATCATCTTCACACTTCCCAGTCACAACACAAACCCTGCAAATCACCCAAATCACCATCATCATGGCTGCCCAACCACGATGCCCTTCCCAGTACCTACCCGACTTTACGGGCCAGGTTTTTGACCACCGCTACACACTCACCGCTCTCCTCGGCACCGGCTCGTATGGCAAAGTGTACAAAGCCGTCGACAGGCTGCGCCTGCGCCACGAGCCTGAGTTTCTCGCCATCAAGTGTATGGAGCGGTGGTCGGACGTTTCGCCTCAACGTCAACTACAAGAACAGGAAGTCCGCCTCCACAAACTCGCCGGCTACCATCACAGGACCGTCTCGCTCCACCACCACTTCGTCTGTGGAGAGTATCTGTTCATGGTAATGGAGTTCGCTGAGACCAACCTGTTCGCTGCTATGGTCGACCTCGACCTCTTTCGTCATAACGTGCCGCTCATCAAGGAGTCGATGAATCATATCCTCGACGGCCTCGCGGATATGCATGGCATCAATATCTTTCACCGAGACATCAAGCCCGACAACTTGCTCTGTAATGCGGACGGCACAAATATTCGCTTCACTGACTTCGGGCTGTCTACTCGACGGGCTGTTTCAAAGCAGTTCGGTTGTGGGTCGAAGGGTTACATGCCTCCAGGTATGCATACCATCCGCGTCTTAGTCATATGTCTCCTCTTATTCTGTTGCAGAAGCGCTTGATCCGGACCACCCTGACGCATTGGCCGGCTACTCGCCTAAAGCGAACGACCTATGGGCCGTCAGCATGGTCCTCGTCAACTTTATCTCTTGTCGCCTACCGTGGGTGGCTGCTGAGTACCACGATCCCGCTTATAGACGCTTTATCGACAACCGGGACCGTCTCCTCCGCACTCTCCGTCTCACCAACGAGGCGAACGACCTGCTCAAGCGCTGTTTCGATCCAAATCCACAAGTTCGGCCGACGTTGGAAGAGTTTCGAATAGCGCTCAACAACATTGAGCAATTTACTGTCGACCCGCCGGAGACCGTCTGCGACCCCGGTGCAACGCCTCGGCCTAGGCAATCTCACATCATGCCCGACATGTTGCCTCTCCCAGCTTCCCAACTGGCCGAGCTCATTGCGGAGCCGGTGTCCACCAGCCCTGACGAGTCCTCGTCTTCAGTTCCGCGGCCATGCGACTCAACTCCACCAACGTCGTTCGTACCGTCGTCGTTGCCGTCAAATCCTGCTCCAACCATCCCTCCTCGGGAAACTTCCAAACGCCCTCTTGGGCGTCTTGAGAGTAAACCTCGACCCACATATTACTCGCCTCCACCGAATCCTGCTGGTTGTGCTGTCGAGGTCCCCGTTCAGCATCTCGGTCGCCAACCGCCGCCGCGACCGCGCCAGCGTCGGTCTTTCCTCAAGTCGCTCGCTCGCAACTTGGGTTTACGCCGGGTGCGTGGCGAATGAATGGCCACTTGGTTTTCGTGTTGCTTTCGTCGTTCTGCTTCTTCGTTTTAGACTGCTTTGTTGGTTTTTTTGTTTTCGTTGGGCCCTTTTTAACAGTTTACACATTTATAATGCTTCACAATTACCCTTACTTCTTTACTTCTCACTGGAACTGTTTACACTTTCACAACTTTCCAAACTTTATTGTACTTTGCATTCACAATTCTCGCTATTGTACTATCCATTGACGGACGACCTAACCATGGAACACTTTTTACATACACACCTAACTTCGTCATTCCACTTCTTCGTGTCCCTTTGGACTATTTGCTTCACTTGATTGGACTATTTTGACTATTACCTTGTACTATTTTTGATAGGATACCATAAAAATCTACCACCCCAAAGTTGCGGCTAGTTATCCTTGGCGCCAGCCCCTACGCACATCCCCTCTTCCTCTGTCTGCTCCTGTTTGCCTCTCTTGTTCAAGTTTCCGACCGGTATTCTTACCATTCTTGTTCTGGACCTTGCTTCGACTCAGATGCATTTATAGCGCTTTCTCTTTTCTCGAGATACCGGTGAGTGGAAGTTGGTGTTCCGTTCCGCTTAAGCCTCTCGTGCTCATTGTTATCCAGATGTGTTTCATGTGCCTTACTTCTTCTCTTCCAAGATTAATTAGCTGACAGATTCCAGAAGAAGGCATCAAAAAGCTCAACTGCACAGATGACATCGCAGGCTTCGCACCAACGCGAGGCAGCGGAGTCTTTAGCGCTTTGTGACTTATCTGGGTCACAGTTCTGCCTCTCTTTTGTTCCACCACATTCTATCTCGCGAATGGCTCTCTATGGTCTGTCGCCGCTGGGTCGCGTCAATTCTGAGGGAAGAGGCGCCGATGACCAGTGGTATGTGGGTAAGTCGACGCGCGATCTTGCTCCCAGCCACTTTTGTTATTCGACAAGGTTCAATGTTAATCCTGCTGGTTCCAGAATGCATCTTGCGGGCACGCCGAAGATGCTCTCCGGTCACTGCACCAGGAGGATTCAGACCTCTGCGGGACCCGCGTTGGGTGCGTGCTTCCCGCTAAATGATTGTCGTGCTGAATAGCTGAGCGGAGTTTGCAGGAGTATGAGCTCAAGGTCTGGCGATCAACTCCCCAAGTGATATATCATACTTGCTGAAGCTATCCAGTGGGCGGGCTACGACGACAGCGAGAATAGGCAAGTTTTCTTAAGACTGATTTTGGATAGGGCATCTGTGACCGACTGTTTAGCTGGGAGCCTGCTAGCAGCTTGCGGGCAGGCTCCAAGGACCTCCTCCGCCGTTTCTGGAATAGCGTCGCCAGCAATACACGGCCCGGGCACTCGCCGTACTTCACCCTCACAGCAGGTACTATCGTGGCCGCGAGCGCTGAATGGATCGGTGGGTCGTCCATGTTGGCAGTCACCTCGGACTGATACTTGTCACTGTGTAGCGGAAGAGAAACGAAGATTCGCAAGTTTGATAACGAAGAGGGAGGTCGAATTGCAGAAAGCAGAGCCCAAGGTGTGCTGCTTACTCCCTGTTGTCGCACTGAGGTTCATATGCATTCTTTCGTAGAGAACTTGGCGCTACGAACGTGGGGGCTGGCGACTGTACTCGGTGAGTTCGATCATGTTCGCGCGGTTGATTTTTATGGGCGACAGCCTGGACCAGATGATCACTTAGGCAGCGGCAAGATCCTTCAGCCTGAGGATGATTTGAACGTTCCCGATGACGCGACGCTGTCCTCGGTAAGCCACTGGCAGCATATCTGTTTATTTGAGCCACGACAATCCACAGGTCACGAACAGCCGCTCTTCCACCCCCATCTCGAACGCCAGCTGTGGGTCGTTACTTCCCTCGCGGGAGTTCCCCAGAGGGAAATGAACTCGCAACGAGAGGCTATCGGAAACGCGCCGGCTCGTTATACCAACCGAGTGAGAGGAACCTTGAAGTTCCCTCCCTGAAAGACTTCCCCGAATTACTGTATTTCACCGCTTTGCTCTGCTGTCTCACTATCTCGCTACTCGCTACTCGCTACTCGCTCTGTTTGATGTACTCCAAATCTCTGTTACTCCTCCCCCCCCCTGGTATTTGTACTGCGTTTCACACCAAAAATGTAACATATTTCCTCACTGTAGAGGTGACCAGCCTGAGAAGAACCAAATCGAGAGTCGAAATTAATGAAAAATGTACGTACATGCATATTTGTAAAACTAGGAGTATATATGCGGAAAGTACCTATTCCAATTTACTTCAAGATACGCGGCATCCGGTGCATGGCGCAATGCCAGCAATGGGAGCAGAACCAGAATAATGCGGGTGGGAACATAATAAGCCGCACCCACGACATAGAGTGGCAGGACCCTATGAGATAGTGGCCCCGTACCCCCGAGCGTCGCCCACAAATGAGCAAATAATGGCGGGATTGGCACAACACACAGGACAAGCGTGGCGCCGCGCCAAAGCCACAACTCCTCGACGGTCAGGAAATGCGAGCGCCAGGCTGCACAATGGACGGCGCCGAATATCAGCGCGACCAGCAACGATATGGCCGGTGTGTATCGTTCATGGTCGTCCCAACCACTCGCAAAATAGAAAGTGGGAACCGCGTCCTCGTAGAAGTAGTTCTGGGAACTAAGCGAATTGCCGAAGAGAGAATAGAATCTCTCGCGAAGAGGACGATGGCGGCGCAGGTGCTGCTCATTGCCAGCAGGTTGGATCTGTTCTAGGGCAGGATCGCGAGCCACTTTCCCCACTGTGAGTCCGAGAACAATTGGCGCACGAACATCCAGAGGCTTCTTCCACCAAAGAAGCCAGCTGAATGCATTGACGACAGCAAAGGCGAGGGTGGCTACCTCAAGCTCGGTTACCGTGAGATTCTGCTGGAATCGTGCCAGGCATTGCACGACAAACCAGCTCGTTTGCAGTAATGCGACAGTTTTCGAGAACGCGTCCCCTTGGCTCCTGTTGCAAATATCTTGCTCAGATATTTCGCGGATTTGCAGGATGTGTTGTTCCACATGCCTGCTGTCGACGATAGGGTGTTTTTCTGCGTCGATGAAACCGCCCATGGAAATGAAGAAGCCATGGGTGAGCGAAATGTCGAATGCTTGAGCTGCGCATTAGTTCGGGATTGTACAATAACGAGACGGAACATACTCGTGGAAAAGTACCGCGCAGTTTCGAACTGCCTCCCCGCAAATCCTACAATCAATTCTGGAGCGATGAACGCGACAAGAACAAGTTTGAGGCGGCGCCATAGTCCGATTGTTCCATCAATCAAGTATGATTTCAAATGGGCCCCCAGCGTGGCATCCTTGCGAGGCGAAGGAGGGGCGGGCGGAGGAACGTTTGGATGCGCTGAAACCCAGATGCAAGCGAAGAGTGTTGTAAAGCAGCCCCATACAATGGTGTAGAGACTACGGTGATTGTCGCAGGCAAGATCGCTTCCGGAAGTCGCTGGTGAGCTGCTTGGGAGTGCGGGTTGGGGGATCATGGCGAGCATCGTCAGGAAGAGAAGCATGGACGGTGTTGACTCGGACTGAGCGCTTAGGCGTCACAGCCACAGGCTGTAGTATAAGTGTCTTCCCACTACCTGCATCGCCTTCAGCACTAGCTCTCCGATATAATTGGCCAGTGGCGCTTGGGACCCTAGGTATAATTGAATGATTGATAGCGAGGAAACAGGTACTTATTGCTTATTGAAGGATTAGATCGATTAGAGGCAAGCCCGCGTAAAGAGGGCGATTTGTGCCGGAAATTTTGTCCGTTGCCGGTGCCAAAGTACTGCAGTGCCGAGTATTCAAGTTTCAAGCCTAAGATTTGAAGGTTACCCGCAGACAATGGGGTGGTTGTCGTTCGTGAGCTCTTGCGCCAGTATTCCTTGCAGGCATACGCCGCTCAGCCCTGACATCAGCGATTGTGGTAGCCGTAGACTTTAGACTTTGGTCAACATTGGGAAGATCGTCACACACCGTCACTCTTGCTTTGCTTCCTTCGTCCACATCCGTTCGAATTCCTTATGCAAGGCACACACTCCTCCTCTTGTTACCTGCCGGTGCACATGTGCGACCGTCAACGACTGTCATAAATCATGGGCGACGACTGGGACGACCAAGAAGCGAAGCGGGGATGGTGTCGAATCTTGAGGTGCACCATTTCGCACTTGTTTATCGACGTATTCTCATGCGCCTTCCACAGCCTTGCGGACTCTAGTCCACAAATTTTTGCTCTATAGACGTGCCACGTTGACTGCGCACACTATTGGCAACCTTACCCGGCTTAACCACTCGCCATTTCCGCGTCATTCTTACTGTCAGTATCCGGGCGGAGGGCTCGTTTAATGCAGATGCAGATGCAGATCGGCGTAGACTCCGCTGGATTCAGGTGCATGAGTGAAGTGGGAAACCAAGAAGGTGTGTTATTCAGCTCGCGATTCGCCTTGGTACTAACAGCATTTGCAGCTCCTCTCCTCCACGCGTCTTCTCTCCTCTGATTTGCCGCCCTCCATTGATGCATCTAATAGCCAACTATTCCACAACTCGTTGAAGGCGTCTCTCATGTACGCTTTCTCCAACGTTAGACCAGGCTTGCTCTGGGTAACGATACATGGGCATCATCGACAGAACCAGACGCAAGAGCATGAGGGAACGATCTGTAGGCTTGTGTGCCAATCCAGTCTCGCCATAGGTGCGTGGATGTTACAGTTTTAGACGTAACTAAGTCTCATTGCGCGTGAAGTCATAAATATGCCTTTTCTTCCGCCAGGCGTGCGTGTCAGGACTTCGACCTCTCTTCAGTGCGCTGACGCTCACAAAGATATAGGACATTCCTGTAGCCGTCGGCTTCTTTCACAACTTCCATGAAGACGCGGATCGACAGCTCTCAATTCACAAAGTGGGAGTAATAAAGGAAAGGACGCTGTATCAAGGTGCGGAGACAGTGACTCTTTCTAGTGCTGCAATGGTGCTGAGCTTGTTTAGAATTGGCTTCATCGGCATTACCCCTCATAATCCGACATTCAATTGATCTCCCCTGCGCTTTCCATCGGTCTCTATGGACCTGAAATCCCTCGCCAAACATATCTTCGCTGTCCACTTCGTGCCACACTCGACAAAGCTACTTCCTTCCATGCTTCCCTGCCGATAGGACGATCTATCATGCTGTATGACGTTCTTCTTGTGGTACCTGGGGTAATTTTGGAGGCGAAGGCAAAGGACGGCAATAATATCATCTCGCAAACTCTCATGGGAGCTTGATATTTCGTCAGACCATGGAGGCTGTGGAGTGTGTAGTTTTGGTTTTTGGTCTTCAGTCGGCGTTAACTGATGACTTTCCTTTCAAGACTGGTTACAATTGCTTAGTATTTACTTTGTGGAATGCCTTATACGCCTACTCCATAACCACATTTGGACTTCAATATCGAAAACGTCCCGTTGTCGCGCCGGCCAGCAGGCTGGTCAAGCGGATGAACCACGAGAGGTCAGGCACGATGAGATGAGACGTAATTTATTCATGCATTTGGATGGACTGGCCATATAGTTGATTGACTTGGTACTGACTACGGAGGCGAATCAGGAGATTGCCACAAACTCGATGGGAATCGGGTGAGTGGTAGCTGCGAGTTTCATCCATTACTTTTACTCTTCGGTTCATGCTGCTTTTGAGCGGTCGTGTTCTTCAAAGTGTTTCCCAGAGAATGTGACGTGACACTCGTGACTCATGCTGATGTCATCCCCCTTCACCTCCAAATTCGGCACGAACTATGCGGCAGAAGGCCCGGAGGTCGAGCAAATCCAGCTTTTACTCGCGGAGCCTACCACAAAGCTACATGCGCTGGAGGCAGAAATCACTCAATACAAGCAGAAGATTCGAGCGCTAAAGCTGGAGCGCGCAGAACTCATAACCTTCATCAACGGCCACAAAGCCCTGCTGTCGCCCATTCGACGCATGCCACGCGACGTCATGGAGGAAATCTTCCTTGCGTGCCTGCCTACCCTCCGCAATAGCGCTATGAGCGCGAAAGACGCGCCACTCCTTCTTGGACGCGTTTGCAGTAGCTGGCGGACGATTTCGTTGTCCACACCACGATTGTGGGCTGGAATTCACATCAGCCAGCCCAGCATGATTGTCGACATCCTGCCTCCGGAGGATAGAACACGCATTTGGTGCGAGCAGGCCCTCGTAACCCTCCGGGACGCGGTTTTACAATGGCTTTCGCGGTCGGGTGAATGCCCACTGTCTATCTCAGTCCAGAGCAGCGTTTACCCCGTCACGACGGACGTCTTCGGGCCCAACAAAGCAGGGATTCTTCATATGCTTCTTCCTTTTGCTCCGCGCTGGGAACACCTTGAAGTATCTGGCTGCTCGCCAGCGGACTTGCTCAGTCTGCCTTCCTTCACGCCGGGAGATCTCCAATGCCTCAAGTCGATCGATATTGACGAGGGCTTCCTTAGAAGCAACGACGACGATATCCCGCTTTGGCACACACTCAGCATCCTTGGAGCAGAAAACCTCACTTCAGCGATACTTTCCGGAAACCAGTTTGATCCGCTGCTCCTCCCCCTTCCGTGGGGCAATCTCGTCCATTTGACGATTCACAAGAACGCAGCGCCTCCGATACCGCCGTTCACAATGCTGACTACGAAAGCTATACTGACTCGATGCAACTCTCTGCGCACGCTTCGACTGTGGATCAACACCGCCGCAAACGACATGGATGCAGCCGCACCCCTGGTGCATGACAGCCTAGAACTGCTCGAGCTCGACTGCGTGGGTCATGTGTGGACGATTGCGCGGGAGCTCTGCTGCCATCTCCGACTGCCCAATCTCCGCGCCTTTATCGCGAAGGGCCAGGCAACCTTGGGGGAGCCTGTGGACGACACGTATGTCAATCTCCAGCCCTTCATTGAGGCCGCCCCCTTGCTGGAGCATGTCGAGCTCTTTATGGACATGTTTACCAAGCGGTCGCTGAGGGAGCTACTCCTTGCCTTGCCCGCCTCCGTCCGTCTCCTTCACCTTAACCGCGGCGGCTACATAACCGGCACCGCGCTGGTCGACAACGATATACTGTCGCTCTTCTCTGCACCGTTGGACGGGTCCACAAGCGTGGCCTGTCCCGGCCTGGAGATCTTTGGAATCTTCCACGCCGGCTCGTTCTCAGACGAAGATCTGGCAGTGTTTGTCGGACAACGCACGGAGAACACAAATTGTCGGAAACTGAAGGATCTGGCGGTCAGATTCGAGCGCGTTCGACGGGTTGATATCATTCCCGAAATCCAGTCGTATATCGACGACGGGCTCCATGTGGACTTGGGGTACTACCAGGAGAGCCAGCTGAGCTTGCTACCCTTCAGCGGGTTGCGCATCGAATTGCCGTAGTCTTCCAGCACAGATCGTGCTAGTTTTACACACGTTGCTATTTACTCTTCACTCCCAGTCAGAGTCCATTGAGACTTGCTGTCCAGCAAAAATACTCATGTCATTACACATGCTCTCCTCGTCGAGCTCTTCGACGCGCTACAGTAGTACATAACTAAACAAGAGGAGACAGGAAGCTTGTACTATCGTGTACATAAAGACAAGAATCCGGCACGTACTCGTATCTCGGAAGGAAGAAAGAAAGAGTAGGTATCAAGAATGAAAGCCATTTACGAGCGCTCGCCACGGAGACGGCGGGCAAGCGCGAGATCTTGGTGTGGGGTCAGACAACGAATGCACAATGAGGGCAGGCATGACGCACCCTTAGGCTGGATGGTGACACGCTTAGCGTGGATGGCTGCGAGATTGGTGTCTTCGAAGAGCGAGACGAGGTACTGAAGTCACATTAATACCAAGCAATAGGATGAACGCATGACGACGCACCGCCTCGGCAGCCTCCTGGAGAGCCATGACGGCACTCGACTGGAAGCGAAGGTCGGTCTTGAAGTCCTGGGCAATCTCACGGACGAGACGCTGGAAGGGGAGCTTGCGGATAAGCAGCTCAGTCGACTTCTGGTAGCGACGAATTTCACGGAGCGCGACAGTACCAGGCCGGAAACGATGAGGCTTCTTGACACCGCCAGTCGGGCCCTAAGGAGAGAAGATGACGTCAGCACCGAGTCATGTGTCACACCAGTCACACGGCGGCGTGGCTGTGCGGCGACGACCGACGCCCGACAGCGTTGATGAGGAAGGGTCGGGTGGTGATGGGAGTGGAGAGAGAAGGGCTTACGGGGGCGGTCTTGCGCGCGGCCTTGGTGGCAAGTTGTTTACGGGGGGCCTTGCCTATGGAAAAGAGTCAGAAAAGATGCCACGGTGACGACAAGCACAACGGCGGACCTCCAGTGGACTTGCGAGCGGTTTGCTGCACGATAAGGGTGAGTACGTGGCCTGTGTGGGCGCTGCTGGGCGCTACGGACCTTGGTGCGGGCCATTGAGTGTTGTCTTGAAGGGAGGGAGTGGTGGGGGAAAGAGAAAAGCGACGATTCGCAAAGTCGCTCAGACCCCCAAAAACACAGTGCATTGGCCGGAATCTTTGCACGTGACGCCACACAAGTCAAGTGGAAACGCCATTTGAAAATTGGAAGATAGCATGATCGCTTTCCCCTCCTCGCTGCACGACATGTCGCCCTATGAAAACTTGCGGGAATCGTGCCCAAGACGTCTCTCTATCGTTTCCGGAATGCTAGCACGGCCTGCAGTGAGTTAAGTGAGCGAAATTCGTCTTCCATTGCTAACTTTTGGCAATTGACTCCGCTGCACAGCCACACCGTATTTTCTCCAGCCGCTTTCTCGAGCTCGGCTTGGGCATCTAGAGACTGTTCGCGGCCGGAGCATGTACTGCTTATGGATCCTCATGCGCTCTGTTGGCTCCTTGAATCGACAAACCGCCTGTGATACCTTTCTGCTGTGCCAACGCTGCGACATCGCTTGATTCATGTGGGCATCTACGAGGCGTCTGCCAGGACATCGACAGAACGGCGTGTCAGCTATCCTGGCTCGTATCTATCGCATCCCGTGGTGAAATACAACCTCTTTGCGCTAGTCTTCTGAACGAATCGCCTTGACCGTGGTCCGTCCATACTCTGTACCATCACAGTCCCTCGACAACCTTTGCCTCCTCATGTGCGGGCATCTACTCTTAGTTTTTCTGCCACATCTCGCGAGATATGTTCCAACGTTGTTTCGCAACTTCAAAACGGTCCTCGACCCTTTTCGACACCGCTATCCGTCTGGTTCAACAATCACCAGCCCGCGGGACACTTTTGTCGCCGTTCATTGCCGAATATTGTGCTACTCAACCCCCACCATGCACTCCTTTCGCCTTCTGTATTTTGCAAGCTCATTGGCCCAATTATCTTCCTCTCCTCAAGCTATTTGAGTATTGTCAACGACTCCAATTCTCATATATGCGTGTGCGAAGGTATCTCTGTTTTCGTCCCTTGAAGTTTTCCGACACCACTTGTGACACATTTCTTTCAATCTTCCATGGGCAATTATTACACTGAATACATCATAAACCAGTCCCAATACAGCAATACCACTTGAAGTTGGCCGAACCCCAGACGATTTAAACACCTTACACATATTGTACCCACCCCAAATGTGGATTTACGTCTCGAGAAAATGGTCGGCAAGGGTACGATCCATTTCCCTGTGGAGCTCCCTCAGCCGCTCCCCGAACTCGCGGGACTTCGATGAACAGCAAACTTCTTCTGCTTGCTTCGGGTTTCCCGCCCACTCGAAGAACCGCCGGAGATCGGGGCTGTGGTGGTGCACCCCCGATGTCATGCGCTGCCGCTTTCTGAGACACTGGCTGGATCCGTCCGCGGTTAGTTTGTTGCAGTCGCACAGGCTGGCCGCGCGCAACTCATTTGCCACGCGCTGACCACAGGTGGCTAGAGACGCAAACCCCTTCAGGATACGGCGCTCGTGTTTCTCGTGCAGCATCTCTGCTGTCAAGTCGAAGATAGTGGGGGCCATGACGATCTCGGTGGGAGCAGGGACGACACCGCTTGCCCGGTCTGCGCGGGATTTCTTGCGGAGGGCGAGATAGTAAAGCTCCCCCAGCAGACGGCGGAAGCCATGTTCCTCGGCGATATCCAGTGCTTCCTGCAAAGGAATGGCGCGGTCCCTGGTGAATTGCAACAGGGTTGCCTCGAGACCACGCTTCAGACGGTTCAGACGATGGTGATGGCGCACGGGGCCACCGTACATCGTCAGGAACTCCGAAATACTAGTAGGGGGGGTCTTGTCAAGGAAGCAAAGGAGGTTCACGCAGCGCGCCGGAGGAAAGTGGTGCGATGGAAGGGGCTCGCTAACGCCACTCTCGCTGGGGACAAACTCGCACAGGATTTCACCGATGGTTTTCAGCGTCTCTCGCGCCTCCTGGCGTAGTCCATATTTATCAGAAAACTTGTGCGCTGCCACCAAGGTGTCGAGGTCGGCGCTGGTAACTTCCTGGGGACGGCTGCAACTACGTCTCAGACTTGGATCCAGGTAGTAGCAATTTAACATGCCTTAAATATGCCCTGTCGAGAAAAGCATCGAAGTCGTGGCCGTCATCAACGTCCAACACAAACGGGTTGTCTTCAGTGGCGGGTTGTTCGTTGAGTCGGTTCGTGAAGACCGAATTTTCGTTGTCGGGCGCAAGATAATGTCTGTGGACCTAAGTATGCATCCGATCAACGATTGGAACAAGCGGAATGTGAGAGACCAACATTATAGAGCGTGGATTGGACGCAGAGCACGATATTTCCGTCCGTCCGGAAGAATCGTGGGTGACGCTTACGCTGCGTTTGCGGGGGACTCGGGTCTGCAACAACTTAGTAACTCGAATACCGGGCTGTTACTACTCACTGCGACGACAGCAAATGCTCAAAAGGAGCTCAACACGCCAACGAACCCATTGAATCACAGTTGTCAGGAGAACGGCTATGATATTGCGCGATTCCTTCTGCTTTTTCTCGTCGTCGGCAGTAACGGCCGCCACCTTGTCGTCAAGATCGCTGCGCTTGCCCGTGGCCAACGAGTGGTTAGTCGAGCCATCCACGAAAGTACGAGTGCTCATGGGTGGTAAAGCGAAATCCGGTGTGTCTGCCTTAGACTCGTGGGACGGCGGGCGTTTGTCGTGGCGGATTGGCAAGTCTGCATCAAGGTGCCCCTCTTCGACAAGATCGTCATCTAAGTATTTTTTTTCAGTATGAGACAGAGAGAGAAATTTAAAGATGCACCCACAGATATCTTCGCTTTGCGCGCCAGAAGCCTGGGGGCCCACCTCCTCCGCTGCCTCACTCCCAGTGGAAGACACAGTATCCTCTGCAGAACTATCGTGGCCAGCTTCAAGCAGATGGTCGGACTTGCTACTAGTAGCACGCTTGGAGAAGCGGACTCTCTGGCGTTCATGGAGGTCCTTCATAGATGAGGTGAGAATAGTGGGCTTGAGTGGAGCAGGTAGCTAAGCTAAATAGCCTCTCAGAGATACGCTTCATCAAAGAACAACGAACGTACCTTTCAGTCCGCGAGTCAGGGTAGACAAAGGCAACTGCGCAACCTGCATTGTTTCCAAAGGGCCACCTTCAAGTGCTACTTACTTCACAAAGGGACACAGAATGGCGCGTTGTAGTGAGTGCCCAAAGCAAAACGGTGTGCAAATGACAACAACAGTCCGCATTGAAGCGCGTCGCAGTGACCAAGAGCTTAGAGATGGAGAAGTTTAGAATTGATGGTCACGTGTTGACTTTTCTTCCCAAACGACGATGTACCCGGCCACATAATCGGTTCTCTGTCGCCTGGATCATGTGGATGTTGTGTGGATGACGCACCGGACCCAACTTAAATGCGCGCCGCTCGATGTGGGCGCCATGGCCGGCGCCGAAGATCGCTCAAGATCACGAAGCATTCGTCGATCTTGGCCACGCTGGCCACAAGTGTTGAGTTAAAGGGGTCGACCCGGTGCGTTGTAGGATGGCTTCTTCGTCCCATGCTTACATCCTCGTACAGCAAACACCGCTATGATCTTGAGTGGTGGCTTATTTTCCGTTCGGCTGCTACTTAGTAACGCAGTCATTCTGCCGCATTCACCAGGAAGACGGTCTCTCATGACCGGCGAATACCCCGGACGGCGACCCATAGCCCTAATACGACCTTTCATAATCAGCCGAGCGAAAATCTCCCCATATATCCACTCTCTTAAAGGGTCTCCAAACGTCCACACTCATCCTCCTTCAACCCTACATGCACTTCTCGTATTGGTTCTACTTCTCCACCCACTTTCCATTCTGAACCTCTAAGTAAGGCAACAATGACATTGTTGCGTCTGGCCAACGTGTACCAAAACCACCTTTCGCCCACCTCTCAAACCACATTTCCGCGACCCCCGAGAGCCCAACGCAAAGCTTAGCTGGAGATCGACCGCGTTTATGACGGATACCGGAGCTCGAGATGTCTCACGATGTGCAGTTATTCGAGAGTTTTTGGTAGCTTGGTATGTCGCTCGCTCCCCTTGCGAGTATAAACGATTCACAGTTCACTAGCACCCCATTTTCCGGAGACGGATACCGCGGGTTCCGAATCCCTGCGCAGTCAATTGTTGTCGCGAATATTGCGGCAAGTCAAATCTTCATGCGTCTCTCTGATATCACCCAGGGAGATTCTTCATGACGAGGTAATTTCCCACTTCAGATAACTTTGTAGCTTGACTTTCGCGCAGTTTACCCTTATCCAGAATTGTTCATACCGCGTCTCCTGACCGGGCGCCGGCGCTCAATCATGCGATGAAAGGCTGGGAGCTTGCTTCTGGCTTCGGCCGGAGAGCAAAAGCTCTCGGCGAGCGTGGGGAGGGGGTCTTTATCGAGCCCTCAGCCCTCGAATGGATATATTTCAAATTTGCGACCTTGTGGGTTTTCCTACTCTGTCGTGTTGTTCCGCGTTCTCCCAGAGCAGCGAGTCTGATAAGGGAGACAGCGCGCTAGAAGACAAAACGATGCTCAATTATCATACAGTATAACTACATATTATCTATCCTCACTCTTGCTCAATGCACTTTGCTACATACTGTACCTGGTAACCGTGACCGTGACTTGTCTTTTTTTGCCTTTCGCCACAAGCAACGAGGTACCAACCTACGAAGCCAAGTCCACGAATCAAAGTTTCAGCGCGCGTTTCCATGCCTAGCCATGCCTCTTGGCCGGTTTCTAGGCCCGGCAAGCGAGCATCGGACCTTTTGTCGTCATCTCTGCCCCCTGACTTTCTCGAGGATCCTCTGGTTCCTCGCGAGAACGCTAAAAAGCCATGGTATCCATGTGCTTCCGCCCCCTTTACGCCCATGTTTTTTCTCCTCGCCCTCGTCGTGCTCGGTGGCTTGCTCGCGCGGTTCTGGCGGGCCAGACGCAATAATGCCGTCCTCTCACTCAGAGGGCCCGAAGCCCCGTCCTTCGTTTTTGGTGAGTGCTCTCATTTGGCGCGTTACCGTGGCTTTATGCGTTCCAGGTAACATGCTGCAGCTTCAAGGCTCAGCAACATACGGAGAGCACGAATACAAGTGGTTGGAGGAGTTTGGAACCGTATACCCTGTCAAGGGCTGTCTGGGAGTGCGTTGGCAACTCTTTGTCCTTATTTCCCCATTGCTAAATCTTTCCAGCAAACTCGACTTATGATATCCGACCCTGAAGCCCTCAAATACCTTCTCCACAACCAGAGTGTCAGCTGGGCCTCCACACAACAAAAGTCGGTTAAGATGCTTTTCGGCTACGACTCTTTGTTTATCTCTCGTGGTGAGTCGCCTTTTTTGCAAGTATTCTGTGATTCAACCCCCGCATAACAGGCACGCGCCATGCCCACCTTCGTCGCATCATGAATCCCTGGTTCTCGGCGAGTAGCGTTCGGACCATGCTGCCCATAATGCGAGATGCGGCTCAACGGGTGAGCATAGGCTTTCCATTTGATGTGACTCTGCTTATCGCATTAGCTCGTCGAAAATTGGGAGTCGCAGGGGTTCTTCGGCAAGACGGTCGACATTTCTCCTACCTTGCATACAGCTTCGATGGATGTGATCTCAGAAAGTAAGTCTCGCTGGTTTATTTTCTGACCCTTCTACTGACGAGATTCAGCTCTATTGGAGACGCCGATGCATGGCCTCGAAGGGAAGACCTCACTGTCACAAATCCAGAACGTTCTCATGTAGGTGTCCCAGCGATGGCAATGACCAACCACTGACGGTTTTTAAAGCGATAACCTCTCGGGTGCGGGCAACGTTGGGCAGCTTATGGAGGCCGTGATACCATATATACCCGACTGGCTATTCAAGATTCTACTTCGCCTTCCGATCCCAGGGCTTGGTACTCTCAAAGACTATCACCGCGTCACGGATGATCTCACCATGAAACTTCTCGCGGCGAAGAGGGCCGCCGGTGAGACGAGCGACCGCAGTTTCGTCGGCAAACTAGGTGCATCTTTTAATTGCTGTGACTAATTCAAAAAACTAACTATGCATAGCTTCAGCCAATGACTTTTCTCGTCCTTGGACTGGCATCAAGGAGAAAGACATCCCCGTTCACGTCCGCTCAATGCTTATGGCTGGAGATAGGACCACGGTATTGCTGAGCCAAGGTCGCAGAATACTGGCTAAATGCGCAACAGGGAGACACTCTTTCCTGGGCCATGTACCAGATTGCGCGACTGCCTGAATTCCAGGCCTCCCTTCGCAAAGAGGCCAGAGCCGCTCAGATGAGCGGAGAAGAAATCGATTACGACAAACTTCCCCTGCTCAACGCGTTTCTCTATGTGTGTGGTCTCCTCTCGCATCCTGTATTAATGCTCACAGTAAAGCAGGAGATCCTTCGTTACTACCCGGCCCTTCCGCTGGCTGACCGTATCGCCGTTGAGGACTTTGTCCTCCCGCTATCGAAGCCGGTCATCACCAAGTCAGGCGCCAGCATCACACAATTGCCGATTCAAAAGGGGCAGGACATCTATTTGGCGCTCGCATCTTATCATCGGTCAGTATATTCATCTCCTGCCTTACAACTTTTTGTCAACTTGCATGAAGAATGAAGTCGATTTGGGGCGAGGATGCCCACGAGTTCCGTCCATCACGCTGGATGGAAGCGGAACCGCCAGGCAATGGTCTAGGTATGGGGCAGCATGGAGCTTTGTAAGTTGTCCCTCACCAATCAAATTCTTCGTCCTCTGATATAAATGGCAGACTTGCCTTTTTGGCCGGCCATGGAATTTGCATCGGCTATCGTCTGGCGTACGTGTGCTTCTCGGATTTGTCCCCGTCTTGAAGTTTTCTCCCCAGCATGCTCAACATCCAAGTGCTTGTCTCAACCCTGGTCGCTAAGTTTGCATTCGCGCTGCCCGAGGATGACTCTGTTCGGCCCAGCTTTGTCATCACGCTGGTGCCCAAGACTGGGGACGGAAAATCAGCGCTGCCTGTCGTTGTGTCGATGGCAGACTAGGAGCAGTAAGTATACCGACGCTAAACTTCTTGTCATTCATTTTATTTCACTGTTAATTATCAATATTCCTGTCGTTTCTGATATCTAAAACTGATCGAGGCCACTACGTATACGCAAGTAAACTCGACATCCACATATGCATGTCTTGGTTTCTCGCTGGACAGTATTTCCTATTCCAAAATTGGTAGCGGCGGCAAGGTGCCAGTCCCTGATCATGACTCTGACTCTTGCTGGTTGCCCCAAGTTGTCTCTGATGACAGTTGGACGACAAACCACAAAAACCCAAACACAATGAAGCAGTGATGCGAAACCTGGAGGTCATGGGAGAGCTCACCGATGGAAACGAGTTTGGCGGGGTACTTATGTTTGTAATCCAGACAAAACCTTTCTCTCTCAGAGTTGGGGATGTTTTCATGTGACTGAAATGAATTCTGGGGATCTCGATGAATTTGGACGATTCTGAGTACTAGTATTTCAAGTCCGCTCAGTTTCAAGTCGGGAATGCTCTCGTGGAACATAGCACCAAGTAACAATAATAATGAATCGTTGGCATACATAAACTACTAAGTTAAACGTAGTAGACTAAAGTCGAGTCGATTGTTTCAAAGACTCTTACTAGCGATATTTACTGGGTGCCAAGGGTCTGAACCTCTCTCGTGGCTGCGCGGAGATCCAAATAGCCTCCGGATCGTGCTCTGTGCCCTGCAGCGGAGAATATTTCAGCGACCGAGGCGGTCCGGACGAAAGCAGATACGTCAGGTCGAGTTGGAATCCACGGGAAATGGCGTCTGCAAGCTGATCGCTGACGTCGAGCAGTTGTTCGCGGTTGAAGTGGGCACTGAATGAAGCAAGCTGCGCGGTCCCTGGGTAGGACGCAACAAGGGGAAGCGTGCGAGAGCGGATGAATTGAAGTAGGAGGTCGTCAGACAACGCATTTATGGATGTCCACTCGAGATGCTGGAGGAGCGGGCAAATGACCTCTGAGCCGCGGAGCAGAATGAGATGTCGGAGGAGCCTTCCGTCGCGATGATGCTCGTATGCATATTCTTGATCATCCGGCGTAGGTTCTTCGACAAGTCTCAGACGCTCAAGCAGCGGCACCATTCTCAGGAAGGCAACGACTTCATCAGAAGTGAGGGCCAGAGTAGGTATTGAAAGGCACTTTATGTGTCCCATAGCTCCCAGAAGAGCCGTGATCGTGTCGTCGTCGAAGCTGCCGACGAGGTCGAGTGTGTGGAGACGAGGAAGTCATAGTCCGCTCATATTTTCAAACAGATTTGGCCGCGTAATGCCGTTGGCTTGCCAGTGTGGTCCGAGACATAGGACGAGTGCCGTCAGACTCGGTAGCACAACGTCTTCGAAAGTTGATTGTGGGTGCATGCCAGTGGGTGTGCTGGGAAGCACGATAGACAACCTTTCCAGCGATGTGCATTGGGAAAGGAACGAGAGGGGACCATCATCAAATAGGTGGTCGAGCTGCAAGTGAAGCTCCACAAGGTTCTGCCATTGGACCGTCCGAGGTATATCCGCAAACAAGCCATAGAATGCGATCGACCGAAGACTAGGTGTTGATAGAAGTTTGAGTTGTAAGTCTCGATTTCCACCCGATGGAACACTGAATGAGCTCAGCTCAAAATGCTCCAGCTGCGGGACGTCGTTCGCCGTCAGTTTGAGAAGCGCCTCTATGTCTGCTAGAGAGAGGTGGCAGGAGAAGCGAACATTGCGCCATCGGTTAGACACTGCGAGAAGTGCGGATAGGTAGGAGGAGGTCGCATTTTCAGCAATAACTGGGGCGATAACCTCGTCTGGATGCACGAAAAGAATGCGTTCGTGGTATTTGTGGGTGTCGATATTCAATGGGACGATTGCTCCCCGTTCGAGCCAGCATTGTAACTCTGAGACGAAGGCGGCCTTCAAGTCAAGTTTTTCAATGGCGGGATTTACCGCAGTAGATGCCAAAGGCACTATGAGGTGCATTCTTGACCATAACTGTGGCGTGCTGAACGCAAGCACCCGCCAATGATGACAGACGCTAGCCAGCAGCAACGGTCCCTCCCTCGCGTCCAGAGCGGTATTGCGATGTTCAGGTAAGGTCTCGAGGAAGATAAGCTGAAGAATGTCGTCCGGGATTCTGCGCATCGGCGAAAGGAGAGCCGTATGCGAGGCAATGAATTGGTCCAACTCGTCTCGCTTCTGTACCGTAGTATCGAGTAGTTCTCGTATTCTTTCGATTTCAACGTCCAATTTGGCAAGTATGGAGCAAGGGCGTGCTAGAAACACGCGGATGTTGTCGCATTGCTCTTCGGATGGTACGATATTGGTGTTGATAATCTCTTGAAATGGAGTCTCCATACCAAGTACTACTAGTAGTCACTGAGAACGTGGCACGAAAAGTCTAGTTGGAGGTACCGACTTGAAGTTGACAGCAGCAAATGGGGACCAGTTTCAATAGTAATGGAGTCGCTGAGGTTGCGCTATGGATGTTTGAGCGTCTAGAGCAAATGGTGTCACGTCAAATCGGCTTTCGTTCCGCACCACCACCAGCGCAATGACAACAGCAACAACGTGCCCGGGCCTTCCCTTCGACACGCGACCATAAGCTCTGGACCATGTCGGGTTGACCGCTGCCACAGAATGGATCTTTGGAACAAATCTCGTTTGGAGAGGGTAGTTATCGAATGAGCACAAAGGGTAAGCCCGCATAGTTGTAACATTCCCGATTATCTCTTACACAACCTGCAGCGAGGGCTGTGGAGCTCTCCTTCTGTCTCTTGGCAGTGCGTCAGCCATTCTCTTCTACCAACTTAACCAACAACTCGCAGCGAAGACGCAAATACCCGCAACCTATTCTACACACGATACTCACACCGCTGCTCCATGTTGACCGTCACCGTCCATAATTCTCTGGATGGCCTACTGTGCCGAACAATGGCGAGACCCACTGGCACCGGCAAGAAAGCAATCAGTCAGCCGCCGCGAGACAAACCTCTGCAATTTCGACACATTTCCCTTGCCCGAATACCGGTGTGCTTCAAAAGAGAACCCGGTGCGCCATACCTTTCCATTAATATGCGGACCTGATTATAGAGCCTAGAGACCATTACAGGAACATTCAAGTTTGCGACCCGCATCTCTCCAAATATCTCCGCAGCCACCTTTCTGCGTTGCCAAGAGCGCCTTCCGCGATCTCGTCGAACAATACCCACTAACGCCCAAATATCCTGGGCTGTTGTCAACTACTACCCGCCACCTTCAAGTTGGTTATAATGCACGACAGCCCTTAGTGTAGCCCTTTTAGTCTGGTGGCTGCGACAATCCAAGACTAACCAACCATCTCGACTCAAAATATCCAACCCCAAAGCCTTCCGATTCAGCACCTTTTCCACCACTTCCTTTCTGAATATGTCACATTGTCACGTCACGTATTTTTATCCTCAACTTGGCCACTTTACTGCTCTACCACCCGCGCGTTTCCGCCTCTCTAACCCGTATCTCACTGTCTATGACAATGCTCCCCTATGCAATCAATTCTTCTTGCCCGTGTATATGACGCAGAAGATACTTGTTGGAGCCGTTCTTGCACGGAACTCTTTTCTTCTCGAAATCGCCATTCCCGTGGCGATACGTCCTATACGTGTCGGTGGAAGAACATCCAGCACGCATAACGATGTCTGTCCTCAACTCATACTCTTTCGACGCCGTAAAGTCGCAGAATTGTGCTATTTCGCCCGACGTCTCTTGGTTGACGGTTTGACCGTAACTGATCTTGTCATCGATAGATCGGCAAGTATGCATGGTGTTTCTGGCTACATGTTCTTGTCACTCAATGGCATTGACAAGCACCAGGTCTTCGCTGGCTGGAAGGAATTCTGCATGAGATTGGTGGCTACAGATTATCCGCTCAGGGGAGCGGACTGTGACGAACAGGTTCTAACGGTAGGATGAGGCAAGTCTGCGGTACTTTTCACAACGTGTAAGTGGTTTTGTTTGCTCGGTTTTCAATCCTGCTGACTAGTAGCAGTCGCGGACAAGTTAGTGTTCTTCACACGATTTCGTTTGTGCTACTTGCCCAAGCCAAGGCTTTCTTCGACGACTTCCTCCGCCTCGCCGCTCGTACTCGATCCTTAAGTAGTGTCCTTTCCAATCATCTCATTCTCTCGGGAAGGTTTATCGGGAGCAATTTGCTATTTGTACCGTAAATATCTAGATAGAAAGAGTAAACTGCGAAGTAATTGATAAATAGATGAAGTCGAAGCTTGACCTGAACTTGCAGTAATATTTCGCGTACCCTCTAGGGCCTCTACAAGCATTTACCATCTCGTCCAATCTGGCGGACGGTCAAGTGTCGTTCCAAACATATGCGGAGCGCGCTCCGTTCCTTGTAATGGAGAGTATTGGGTCCAAAGGCCCTTCCCCCCTGGTGCTGCGTATGTCAAGAACAGCTTCAGTTTATCGGATTGAATCGCGTCGAGCAGCAGCTCGCGGAGGTCCAATTGACGCTCACGAAAGAAATTAACATTGACCGCGGCGAGTTGGGTGAATTGGGGATGTAGAGCAACCGCAGGCAGGGTCCGAGATTGTATGAACTGCAAGAGCAGCTCATCTGTCAACGCAGAGGGGCCCGTCATTTCGAAATGACGAAGAGTATGGCAAATGGGAGGAGTATGAGACGAGTTGGCAACCAGTCGAGCGAGAAGTTGGCTGTCCCTCGGCGCGTTAAATCCACTCCAATCGGCGGATTTCTGAGGCTCTTTGACAAGACGCAGACGTTCGACCAACGGGGTAAGTCTCAGGCGGGAAACTACCTCATCAGACGTGAGGTCCCCGCAAGATATTGCCAGGGATTTAAGCATTCTGCCGGTGGCCTCGATTAGAGCGAATGACGTTTCGGGGTCCAGACCGGATGAGATGTCGAGAGTCTGAAGGAGGGGCATCCGGAGTTGGCTCATTTCGAGGTACAGCCTCGGTGTGGTGTGCATGTGAGCTACATTCATTGGCCGAAGAGAAAGGGTCGTCAGTCTCGGAAGGATCGTCTTCACGTTCAGATTTGCCAAAGCTGATGGTGTATGGGTGGCATAGCCGGGAGCGGTTATGGCAAGCCGTTCGAGGGATGTACAGTCAGGGAAGAACACAAATGGAAATGGAATGGGAACGTCGCTATCGTTATCATACAACAGCAAGGAAAGCTCGACGATGGTGTGCCAATTGATTGTTGTGGGAACAGCAGCGAAGAGGCCGATATAGTGTAATGCACGGAGACTCGGTGCTGACAGGAATTCAAGATTATACACTGGAAGCGAGTCGACCTTGACTTCAAAGCTTTCCAAGCGAGGCACATCGCAGGCTTTGATCTGAGAAAGCGCGTCCATGTCTTGTGGTGAAGGCTCTGGAAGTTGCATGTCCCGCCAGCGGTGAGAGACTGAAAGTAGGATGGCCAGAAACGGCGAAACCCCGATACCCTGGGAAGCAGACTCCGACCGTGACGGCGAGATCGGTGGAGGGCTTTGATGCTCCGCCGAATCGTAATAGTGGTAGTAGGTCTGTGCTGATACATCTAAAGCGGCAGTAGCGCCTCGTTCCAGCCAGCGCTTCATTTCCGCCACCAATGCTGCTTGATTCTCCATCGTTCGAGGGGTCAGAGGATAGACAACCAGATGCATTTTCGACCAGAGTTTCGGCATGCTCAAGGCCAGTGCCCGCCAATGGCTGCAGATGCTAGCGAGCAGCTTCGGGCCTTCACTGGCGTCCAAGGCCGCGTTGCGATGTGTGGGAAGAGTTTCGAGGAAGATAAGACGCAGGACATCGTCTGGAACCCTTCGCATTGGCGAAATGAGAGCTTGGTGTGAGGCGACAGAGTCTATGAGCTCGTCTCTTGCTTGAGTAGCGCCACGAAGAAGTGTCTGGAGCCTGTCCACCTCCACATTGGTTTCGTCCACTTTTCTGCTGAGAAGGTCTAGATGTGCGCGAATCTCGCGACATTGCAGATCAGTCGGAACAGTATTCGTGTGGAGAATGTCGAGAAAGGGGGAACTAGGTGTGGGCATTTTCTACAAGAGCGAAGGCCCGCGTGTTCGACGCGTAAATCGAGGTATGTATGTAGCGGAGAGCAACAGCAATTCAGGCGGGTCACTATAAGTCACGATGTTTTTGGCTTCCTTCGCAACTACATGTACTGCAACCGCAACCACGAATACTCTCATTTCCTTTTGACCCTCAGAATGTCGGCCCTCTATATAAAGAGAAGCGGTTGGAAATGACCGGCCTCAGGGTTGATTTGGGAGTGCGTCTTCCTGAATGCGTCTTCTGCATGCTCAACCTAATACCGTTCAATGACAGTCCTTCGTCTTTGCCGCATGTACCGGCTTCGTCGTAACACATCTTACTGAGGCTGCCGGCGCCAGTGCGATGGGTGCGCTCACCGCGAGTAGAAGCATTTAGTGCCCGGACAACTTCAAGTTGAAGGCTATTCTTGATGGTTTTCGGGTGGACGTGCCTTTGTCCCGCATGGCTCGGCTGGAATAGCAGGCTCTGCAGTATGTGGTCACTCTTCTCTTGTGTATACTTTCTGTCTGACGAATACTTGGCAGGACTACAAACCATGCTTGGACATCCCTTACTCCACAGACTGCTGCTCGCGCGAAACGTCCTTCATCACATCGGGCTGCTACACGACTATGACATCCCCTATATTTGAAGGAACATCTACACGCTTCCAAACAACCCCGTTGCTTTTTGAAGAGCTGCAATGCCGACCAAAACTTCAATCCAGAAGTGTTCCAAACGGGTCGCGCTCGGAAATCGGTTTGACGGCGGGGATGGAGACTCAATCTGCTTTATCGAACACCATCCAAATTCGGGCTGAAAGGAGTCGGGAGGCAGACAAGAGCGAAGGCAGATTGGAAGTGGAAGATTCTCAACGGCACTCAGAAGTAGCTGTCGGAAATGCATGAGGAAGCGCGCCGCGCTGCCCTCCGTCGCAGTCTTTGTGGTTGACATGTCTGGACGCTGGTCGAAGAAAATCACTATATAACATTAAGCTTGAAGACGGGTAGGCGAGTAGTTTCGCGACAGGTGCGTATTTCCGCCCATATTCGCTTTCAAAGTAGCTGAAAATACTGATAAGCCCCACCCACCTTCTTGTGATTCCGTCCTATTCTCGCTCCCACTCTCCCGCCCCGAAAGTAATATCTCCACTTCGAGACGCACTACTTATATCGCCGCAAATAACGCTATCGAACACGCCCACACAGCTTTGCGAACGAACGATAGAGTCTGTTGAGGACATGCCTCTGGTGTGCGCGAATCGATGCTGTGTCGAGTTCTCTGTAGTTTTCAGCTCTTCTTCTTCTCTTGAGCACAAACTCCACCGCTTTCCGTCTCAGAGGCCATACCTGCAATATCCGACCCACACATCGAAAAACACGCTCCAGTCATCATATCGTCCACAACGCATCTTCGACCTCTCTCATATCATCCGCGATACTTACGTCTATTGCAACCAGCCTGCTCTCCGTTGTGCTGGACACGTCATCGTTACGCAGCGAGGAGAGGTTGGCCTGCTTGTTGTCCATCTAGGGGTGCTGCTTCGGGAAGGATTCCTGGCAAGAACCGAATCGTGGACGGAATCCTTTCGCAGGACTTGGGTAAATTATGGGGTGGCGGAGTTGGTTTGGGAGCTGTTATGGATATGATGGAAGAGAGAGTCGAGTTGGTGGAATTCTTCGATGGAAAGGGAGAGTAAAGTGAAGACCGCGACGAACAACGATGGATGGGCTTCCGATTATGATGGTGCTTTCTACTGTTCTTTGTCTCTTCTTCTGCTGATCCGCCTATTCTCTCATATGGATGATCGTACATAATCACATACTGCGCTAGTATACTAGTACTTACTCTCGGGGTTGTCTTCGACTCTTGTGTTTGCTAGATCAGTCTTCGGCTCGAAGAGCAACATCCCATGAATAGAATCGAGATCTGTAAATATACTACTTGGAAAGATTTGTGAAGGTCCTTCAAGTTTTCTTCCGAACCTAACCAACCCTAACCAGACCTAACCAACCCTAACCGAACCTAACCAACCCTAACTGAACCCTAACTAACTGAACCTAACCAACTTAATAAATACTAACAAGATAAAATACCAACTGTTGCCATCTCCTTTATCATCATATTATGATTGTATCATCGAAATTTGCTGTATCAAATGTTTGATTTTGATGCTTAGATAGGACACGTGTCGCATCTAACTACAAGGTGTCGCATCTGTTTGTGCGTGCGCTTGCTTCATCTGGTATGTCCCGCGGCGTAATTGCTCCAGCGATTGCGCATGCGAGTCCGGAATTTCAGGCGGCGTCGCCCCCAATACCGATGACATCGCAGGAAGGTGGAGGTCGAAGACATGTAAGACTACTTGGCCACGCCTGAACGCCACGTGAATTCCCGCCGATTCATTATAGACAAGTCCCAAGTTATCGCGCCCGTTTGTCACGATGGGCCGGTACATAGAGCCGCCCATCACGGAGGTATCGAGGAGATCAGTGTCCGTATCAAGAGTGGCATTGAGCCAGATCCAAGTTACAATCGGCTCTGCTTGCGGATCCCGACAGAAGAGTTGGAAAATCTCGTCGGCAATGTTCTCTCGATTGGCAAGGTATTCTTTGAAGAGGATCCCGCACACAAAGGACTGATTGCGGAAGTTAGAAAGGGCACCACGCGCTCCAGGGGGGTTAGTAACTTGCTGGAAAGAAAGAAGGAACGAACCATAACTCGCATTATGCTGCCGACACCGGGCACGATGGCCACCCATCTTCCAGTCAAACTTCTGGCATGTCCTAGAGCAGTATGATCGTGATGTACAACAAGCACATCGCTTCAGTTCATGGCGGTCGAGAACTCTCAAGCACTGCCAGCTCTCTTCAGCACATGTAGGGTCAAGAAGAACACAAACTACTCGCCGCAAGGTTTGAGCATGCTTGAAACGCAATCCTCGAGGAAGGTATTTTATATTCGGCAAGGACTTGAGAGCGGAGTTGCCCAATCTTGACCAATGCTGTCCATAGTCGTGCTAGTCCTGCGTTCGCATCGGGACTCTGATTTGGAAATTCTTGTGAAATTTGCGTCAGAGCATCTCCCAGCGCAGTTGCGACGGTGGGAAAGACAGAGAATGCGGATAGAACCGCGCTTATGAAGAATGTTAGATGTCCGACGATACCCTCATCCATGCTGGTAGCGAGGAAAACAAGTGACAGAAGACCCGCGCGAAGTGCTTCGCCAATGTAAATTTCTGGTTGAGAAACCGCAAAGCATTGCCAAGTTGCATGCATGAAAGAATTCAGGTATTGCGTACGAGCCTCCCTCTCGGCACGCGCGGCCGGCCGAGTTTTCACGAGGCACAAACAGGCTTTGCACAACTGTGTGACAACACCCACTTCGTTGAGCTCCGTTCGTAGATTCAGAGCAGCAGACACCATCATCAAGGCAATACAACAGTCTCGTCTCAAATCTGACTGTGGTTGAAACGGACTTGCGCTGTTGAAGGTAAGCCGGAGGTGTTTTACAAAGAGATTGGCAAGGCTTCTCCGACCTCCGGCACCTTCGATGAGTTGCGGATACACTGCAGGACCGGGGGCGTTCCAGTCGGCGAGAACAAACATTACCGATGGCACGAGACTGAGCATAACACTCTGGCTAGGCCTAGGCTGAGTTGCCGCATCGGTCCCAAGAAAGTATTCCCAGAATTCTGCAAGTATGGTCAGAATACCAGGAGTCTCGGCGATAATGTTGGCCTTGGCGCCATAGTATTTGGTGGCCAGTTGGCGGATGAGGGAAAACCACGCGCCCATCATGAGTGGGGATTTTGGTGACCCCGGCCCCAGCTCAAGACCCCACGTCTGGTTGAAAGTATCAAGGAACCGAATCCAAGCCCAGGTGCGGGGCCATATGTCCATCAGAGCATCGGTCGTTATGGATTTTGATGATTCGGCAAGACCGTTGAGTGCTAAGATGGAACGATGAAGGCGATGGCGTAGATGTGGTGCATCGGGATTGAATTCGTCTGTTGTTAGAGAAGGAATGCCATTGGGGTCCAGAATGTGGTACAAAACGCAGAGGAGCAGCGCTTGATGCGGGTTATCCTGCAGGTTGTGCAGAAGGGGCCGTGGGTCGTATTGTTCACTACTGATAACCTTCTCAGCTAAAACCTGGGCGCAAATCCAATTAACTTCGTCGCCGTCTCAAGACCAGAGCAAAGACTCACGCGAAGTCTGGGTGGTAGGGCCTTGATGTTTGAAAGTTTCAAAGAGTTATGCATGGCCCGGGCTAGACCGCTGAATGTCTTAGTTTGCAAAAACCACTGCAAGTCGTGCGGGCAAGATTCGCAGTAACGTCACGCTGACACCCCGGCGCTGTTTTTGACCACCATGGTCTGCCGGTTTCTCTCCCTCTTCGCCACAACGTCGGTCGCTACAGCGGGGTAAAAATACACAAGGAGCGATGGTCGAATGTGCGTTGCCTTTGCTTCTCGTTGCGGTTGCCATCTCATTCCTATTCCACATAGCGCTTTGGCTATCCGGCCCTTTCAACGTTCATTCAGCTCACGAATCAGCAAGCAATCGGAAGAGGGTGCCAGGAAGTAATAGACTAGTATTAGAAGCTCGAATGGTGCGTGTATACTCGCCACTCAGGCCAAACACTTACCATCCATTGTTCTCAGTGCCCTTCACCATTCTTCATCTCGTTCAATCAAACTTGGATGAGGACATATATGCAAAGCACAGCTGGAATGGATAAACTCGCCTCCTCTCCTTATGCTTGTTAATTGACTGTCTGGCAGCAGCATTAGTCGAGGTGAACGACAAACAGCTGTCCTGTCTGACCAGCAGGCACCGAGAATTGACGGAATTCACATGGCTGGCTTACAAGGTGTGTGCCTCCGAGATAGATCTCTTTTGCATTCAATGCCGACATTGCTTAGCCCTCCTTTCGCCCTTGCCATACCTCATCGCGCCAAATAGCTCATAATGGGTCGAATATCGCCGTCTTTTAGAGGACTTTCTCTGCTTTATCCATCGGGCGGACGGAGACGCTGAAGGATGTGATTGGCGCGTAAAGCGCGTTTTGTCTGGCCAATCGTTTCGAAAATTGTTCTTCGCTTGCGGAATGGTGGAAAGCATCGTCTCTCGTGGATGTCGGGCTCAATCCTCAATTAGCATCGACATCATCGGCCACGCTATTCCCGAAAATTCAAGTCCGAAGTCACGGATTTCATCGAACTGGTGCTTCGGTCAGACCCTTACAAGACTGCCGTCTTTCCAAAGCTATATTCCGCACCACCGCCACTCTCTCAAGGACCATCGATCATCTTCCAAAACTACGAAAAAGTGTCCATCTCGTTCTTCCTCGAAGGTCTAGACTTCCTTCGATGTGCCTCTCCAACTACCACAGAGATACCATCAGTCGGTGGCTGTGCAACGAGGAGAAGAACAAGTTATTGCTTGGGAAAGTGTCGGCGCGCGATCAGAACTACCGTTGGCTACTCTTTCTTTCCGTCTTATGCACGGGCACAGGCCCGATATATCTACATACGTCTGAACCGCCAACCTTCAACGTTGACATTTGCGTGGATAGGACCATCATTTTATCAGGACCTTTCTACGTTTTCAATACCATTCGAGCTCTATGATGATCTGTAGACTCTTTTTGAACAATACGAACTGTTTCTTACCGTGCTCTCATTTGCACTTTCAACATCTGAACTCCACAAAAGCCTTTACACACTCCCTCGAAAAAGTGTACAAATGAATGTGTGATTTCGAGTAGGCTCCAGTCGCTATCATGCTGTAGGTAATAAACGCCTAGTTCTTCGCGTCAACCGTCATCTCCTTCTTTTCCTCTAGCCCAAACCAGCTCGGCAACAGCTGCCACACCTCCTCCCTCGCAGTCTGCGCAGTCTTCGCAAAGTCGAGTTTGCACACATGACACATCTTGAGCCCACACTGCTTCTGCCCATCCGAAAAGTCCGTCCTTGAAAGCATGTCCATAGCTTGCACAAGTGTGAATAGAGGGTCTGCATCGCGTCCACAAGCGATCCCGCCGACTGAGCGTAAAACATTGAGGGTGATAAAGTAGAACGATTCGCGGCAGCGTCGGCTTGGTGGGTCTTCTGTAAGATACAAACATTCGGCGGCAGGCGATCGTCCTTCGAGTTCAGTGGAGACGAAGTTGGCGAGATAGTGTTGCGCGGCTTCTCGGCCTCGGAATGTTGCGACGAGGAATGCTTCAGGAAGGTTCATTGTCGAGAGTGGCGAGTCAGCATCAAGGGTGGTGGGGATGGAGGACGTGAGTGCTGGAACAGTTGTGCCGGAATAGATCTTGCTGGGCCCATATCGAGCAAGGTCATACATTGCGGCGGGAAGGAGAAAAGGGAGATTGAGTTCCACAGCGAGGTCGATTAAGAGAATTGGATGAGCGCAACTTGTTCGAGGGGCGTAATGGCCAAGTGCGTCCGTTGCTGCCTGTTCTCGAGAGTCCCACCCAGCTAGTGTAGTCGGCCATTCGACTTCAAGGCGGGCCATGCAGCGCTGACGGAGATGTTCCACCAGGTATTTAGTCGAGCAGCGGAGGACGGAGGCAATAATGGGGAAATCGTGGGCGTGGGGGATCGAAAAGTAGCTGTAAAGATGTGAGTGCGCCGGCGAGAAGCATGAAATATTACATACAGTCCATCGTACAAGGCCGTGAGGAAATGAAAGACATCGGTGGGCGAATCGTAGATCTCGAACCAGGGACAGCCTTCGAGGAGGTCTTGCTCTGGAGGTTGTGGAATGTTGAAGAGGCCGTCGAATACTTCGGAATGACGCTGGAGTTGCCCACGATGGACCTTGAAAGCGACGGACGCCGCGACGAGGATGATGTTGCCGTCGCAGAACCAAAGCCTCGACCTCGCGAAATTTTTGAGCTTGCTGGACATGACGGAGGAGTTGAGAATCGGCGTGGCTAGATTGCCCATGTGAGAATAGAAGATATGGATGATAAACGAGCGTGGTGGTGGAGTAGAAGAAAGGGAGAGGTGTGACCTTGCTCGTGATTCACTTCCAAATTGGGAGACCCTTCTTTCACTTTTCATTTGATGTACTATGTCTGCGCTGGTCTTGGTACCCTCCATCCCATCCTCGATAATCTGGTCGCAAAACCCGCCCTCGAGCCTCACATTGCCTCTGACGTGGCAAGCCATTCGCGGCGGTCGTCATGTCGGGCTGATAACGGACGTCGTCTGGACTACTCGTGCTGTGTGCTCTGTCGACACAAAGTCAGGCTTGCATATGAATCGGTTATTTCTTGACTCGCATTTTGGGGTGCCAGTGCCTCGCCTGCAGGAATCAACGAGATGGGATCGTGGAGCGCCGTTTGACAAACACAAGATTGGCAACCGGCCATACTTAAATGGATAAAGCGCTGATTCTGGTCTTCGTGTGGATCTTCAAGGGCTCAAGATCGTCTTCCTAAAACCATCATGATTCAATCGCTGCCGCCACCACGGTACAGCAAAACTCTGGACCGCATTCAACTCAAATTGACGATATCCCACTGAGTGGGCACCCTAATCAGACTGTGAGCACAATCCAGCAGAAGATGGCCATCCCTCGCCATGAAATGATTCATTACACCGTGACACAGGCGCAGCGGCAACTTCAAACGGGCGTGGTAATCAGACAACCCGTAAGTAACCCGTTAATTCCGTCTTGTCCGTTGACTCGGCAAACAAGGGAGAGGATCTTGCGTGTACAAGCCGAATGCAGAACTACACCTTGCAGTGGGGTCTAGATTGGTGTGTTTCAGCGCGTTTTGTACCTGATGGACTAATAGGGATTCTAGCGCTTCCCGCCGACTCCATGTTGAATCTTTCTCCGAGTCTGCGCAAACCATGCACTGGTTTGGCGTCTAGTTCCAAGGTATATAACTCGCATTCTTCTACAGCTCCTGTCCAAACAACAGCTTGGACATGTCTCGGCACAATCCGCAAGATGACGACTCGCGTAGAACGCGTGTCTATATCGCATGTCTTAACTGTCGACGGCGAAAGACCAAGGCTAGTCGGGTCGTTATACTCTGTGCTATTCATGGTATCAACGCACAAAGTTTAGTGCATTACAGATCCCGCTGGAGATAACCCTTGCATGCGTTGCGTTCAGCAAGGCTTAGACTGTGTCTACCAGCCTATCGACCATACACTTCCTCCCAGGCCAGAGACAGCAAACGCATCTGCTCCCTCTTACTCTAATCCGTTTGTGCCCTCCTCACAGCCGCAGGAACACTACGGTGGAGCTGTTCATGGCGGCATACCAGCCTACGAGCCTTCTTTGGCCTATAGTGCCCCGATGACCTACAACTATCAACCGCAGTACGGCCACCAACAACCTGACCAATCATCTTTCGCCGCATCTCCGCAGGGATCCCAACTGCCAAGCAACTACTACAGCAGCCCGACCCAAACTGGATCCTGGCCCGTACAAGCTTCTCTGAGCTATAACGGGTGCGCGTTTATCTTCAGACTGCCAGAATAAAAAATCACTGACTGTTTTGTCTTCGACAAGCACAGACCTTGCCCATGCGCCCCCGGGCGATGCTTATACGGAGGAAGACACTGAATTATCAATCGACGAACCAGCCCATGAAGTGGGACAACTACAGCGAACTGACTTCGATAATGGCAGTAATGACGCTTAACTTGAACTTTGTTTATGATACAGACTATATCCTACAACTAGCTACAGAACTGAGCGACGATCGCGCGAGAAATAATGATGAAATTATTGATGGTGTCTTGGACTCGGAAGCATTGACTTCCAATCGAAGCCGGTGTTCCCTTCGCTCGACACGATGTGAATCTCCATGCCAGAGCGCACAAGTTGTTGCAGCTTCCGGGCAGAGACACCACCAGGGAATGCACAATGGGGCCGGAGGACGAGCGTGAAAGAGCGAAGACCGCTGCGTTGTTGAAGCATTGAATGGATGTCGTCGTAGTCGCTGGATCCACAGGGAAACCCGTATACCGTCAGAGAACGTAAGTTGGGCAGTAAAGCCTGGTCGCCAGTCTGCGACAAGTGGCAAAAGTTCAACGACGACGGGACCGTAAGCGTCTCGGGCCAACGCATGCCGATGGTGAGTATGGAGACGGACTGAAGATGGGGGAGGAGCTCCGTGACAGTGGCGTATGAGTGCCCGTTCGCACTTATGCTGCCCGCGTCGTTATTGGAATACGGGTCACCATACGATTGGGCGATGTGGACCTCGAACAACCGGGGAGCGGAATTGGCGACGAAATCGCCGAACTGAGCGGCTGTGAGGGTGATATTCGAAATCAGGAGAACCTCCAGTGCGGGTAAGGTACAGCCACGAAGAAGGTGCGAAGGGGAATTAAACACGGTGTCGTTATAGTCGGGGTCCCCGAGGCGCAATACGCGTAGCGATGCAAGAGTAAGCAAAGGTTTGTCGCTGGGGTCGTAGTAACGCGAAGACGTCAGTCGCGTTATTTCGAGCTCGATCAGAGCTGGACACGCCTTGAGTAAATCGAGCAGGACTGGCACTGAGTACCATGCATAGCTGGGTGGATTCCGTGGGCCGAGAAGCGTCAATTTGACGAGCTTCGGAAGTACGTGAACCTGGCATATGAAGAGAGGGCAGTCTCCCACGGGGACACACAAATCAAGATGTTCAATTCGGGACGCTTCTTGCACAATGAGCCTCATGCCGCCCTTGTCAGCGGATCGAATCCGCCCATTGATGGAGATGTTAAGAGAGACCGATTTGGAGCGAGCTAACCAGGTGGCAAATGTAGTGTCATTGTTGTCATCGTTCGGAAAGTCGAGATAAATGCCACGCCAAATTTCGGGTGTCCCAAGTGCAATGTCTCTCCATGAATGGCATATCGTGAGGAGGAGAAGCGGTGCCTCGTGGAATGTTGGTGTGGGGAAAAGGTCGGAGCAATGAATAAAGATTTCGGAGGCCAATTCGAGAGGGAGTCTTGTTATTGGGTCGCGGATGAAATTGAGAGCGGTTTTGGCTTCGCAGCACTGAGATTCGAGCTTTTGGATGGTGGAAAGTAAGGATTCGACTGAAGTTGTAGACTCCGAAGTGAGCGCCGACGACATGTTGGTGGCAAGTGGATGGAATACGAAAGCAAGGAGGTCACAAATGACCACGCTTTTGATTGACAAACTGCAAAGTCAAAGCCACTTCCGCACCAAGAGGAACAATGCGCTGGGTCGCATAGAGTTATCCTATGAAGTTTTCTCGCGATCGGTCTCGGACAGAGTCGACTTGTACGCGTGCGCCGGTTATTGGCCCAAGATGGGTGTTAGATGACGAATGATGGGTTTTCCGAAACAACTTGAAGCAGGCCCCGGGAAGCTTCACCAAAGCCTTGTCCGAGAAAATCAGCAATTTTGGCCTCAAAAACCTTACGATTTGGGCCTCAAAAACCTGAAATCGGACAAGGGTCGTCACCTGCTTTCCAAAAGGGGAAATTTTGCGGGAAAATGGCACCTCCCAAATTCAATGCTTGGGTCAGAATTTCGACTTCACTTTGCGATGATAAGCACAGATTGCAAGGTTTACATTGTGCCTGCCTTCATCTGAGAATATTTTTCCATGAGCCGACTGAACTGACCAGTCTGACCAGAAAGAAGCCTCAAAAACCTCAAAACCGGACAAGGATTCCAAAATTTTCGCCTGAAAAACCTTGAATTCGGACAAGGAAATAGCCATTTTCTGCCCTCAAAAACCTCAAATTTCGGACAAGCCTTGAGTGAAGCTTCCCGGGGCCTCTTGAAGCAGTGAAGCAAGCTGGATCTATAGTCCTCCATATATACACCACTGGGGTGACGAGCAAAGATAGCATTAGGAAAAAGACGCGTTGGGCAATGTTCAGAGGGCGAGTTATCTTGGTGGGAGCAATCGCGAAAATGTTGTTGATTGTTTGGTCATGTGTGGCAACAGCCTTCCGCATGCTTTGTCAGCGAAAGCGGTGACTTGCGCTCGAGCCACGACCGCGATCTTGACCCCATTCTCCACAACTACGCTTGTTGGAGCCGTACCATTCCTCCCTATCTTTCTTAACGCCTCATGAATGCTCTCCCTTCACATGGACCCTCTTGTTGACGAGCAGCAGGACATGGAGGCGCGATCGGATGACGCCATGGAGAAGATAACGACGAGCGGGAGTTATAGCGGGAGCACGACGCCGACAAGCTCTACAGGCACTGGGACCACTACAATGAGCAACGAAGGCGATGGAGCAAGACTGGGATACAAGGGCAAAGCTTTGCGTTCTTGGGCACAGCTCCCTGCTGAGCTTATACGGTTCGTGCTCTGCCCAATCCTGTCGTTTTATCATCTATCTCTTCCTTTCTCTTCCTTATATACCTTTTCTCCACTCCTACTTCACCGTTTCACGCCTTTTCCACCCTTTTTTCTCTTTCTTTGTCGCTTAAGGTGGCAAGCTCTTTCCATTGACGGAGCTAGCTGGACACGATGACTGTCGCGTCCCGACACGTCCTCTACCCGTTTTATACCCTCTTGTGGCCCGTTTTCGCTGTCTGTGGCGTATGTGTACGCGACTTGCGCAGTCATCTGGCTCGGATCACACCCTCTGACGTCGACTGACTTTTTTCTTCTTGAACTCTTTTTCGTCCCCTATCGTTTACTAACCGTTTTTCAGCCTCATCGCATCATGCTGCCTGAAGCTACTGGCCGAAACTGGCACTCTCCCAATGAATTGGACCCCGCCCTACAGCCATCCCCACCGCCAGCCAGGTTACAGCGAGCGCCAAGTTTATATCATCGCCCGCGACCATCGCCAGCTCGAAGCTCTCATGAGGATCTCACCAAAATGGTGTATAGCCAGTACGTGTTGTCACCTATACAGTTTCGTCTTAGTTTACTCTTTTCGCAGTCGAAGAACACCACTTTTGGCGCAGCGCAATAAAACTCTTTGATCCTTTCAATGTGTTTGCTGCCTATGCATGGGCTATTCCCCCCAACCCCCATTCCAACTCTACTTCCTCTGCCGGCGTCCCCGCTACGCCATACCGCCACTTCTACGGCATCTACAGCAACTCCTGTCTTCCTTGCCGTATCAACGCGCCGCATACTAACACCGGCGTTGGCGTTGGCCGCAAGGTCTTCGATACTGCCCGTCTTGGACCCATCTACGTCTGTAAGGAACACCACGGACCTCGTCGCCGCCGCTGGTGCGAAGTTTGTCTTAAAGACATCGAAATGCTCCGACACTATCGCCGCGAGGCAGCATATGCCGCCCAAGAAGAACTAGCCAGGGCAGACCAAAGGGTTGATGCCGTTCGGCGCTGGGGAAACGAGGATCTCAATGCTGCTCAAGCGGCCCGCAAAGACGCTTATACTCGCTACCAACACGCACAAAAAGCGCTCGAGGAGGCTCATAGTTCCCTACTGGAGACACGCGTCAGCGATTTGCTCGAGGAAGAGGACGAGAGCTCGTTCGTATTTGGCTGTGCCTTCTCCGTCTGCAAGCAGTGCCGAGCCGAATGGGTCTGGCGTTGTGCGGTGCTTAACACAGGCATTGCGCGTGATCGCGAGGCCATTGAGAAGGGCCAGCCGCTTGCAAACGATGTCGAGCCTCTGGATTGGTCCGCTCCTTCTGACTCATACGAGCCCGCAAAGACGTTGGGTCTAGGCCAACGAATCGGGGTCTTCAATCCTACCGACAGTGTCGTTCGCGATTCGCTGAGAACATACCTTGAATTTGGCGAGGGCAGTCTTGTCAGTGTTCTCCAGATGGCTGAAGAACGCGGTTGGTTACGGGGACAAACAAAATGGAGCGAAATGATGGGTATGGTGTTGGCTACAAGGGGCTGGGATGGCGAAGAAAACGACATCGAGCCAGTGCGGGCGCGCAGTCCGTCTCCCGAGGCGTTGCCGCCAAATGCGGTGTCTGGTACATATGGACCCACCGACGAAGTCGAAAATGCAAAACGCGATTATTCTCAACCAGGACAATGGGCTGGTAAGACCATTGCACTGCAACAAGCTTATCGAAGGTCGCTTTCGCTTTCGCCAACGGAGGACGACGACTTTTCCGACGAAGATATCGATTTGGAGGTAGAGGAAGAATTGAATGTCAGAGATCTTGCTCTGGGAGACTGGGCCAGAGGGAGAATACTGGATGGGAGCTGGGTAACGCCTCTCGACATTTACTATCTCGTAAAGGTGAAGAGGATAGGTGCGTCGAGTCATCTTTTCAAATTCAGCGCGATGATTCACCTTCTTGCTTAACAGAACATCCTGATACGGGTATTCGTGCGACCCATCCAGTACCGTGGTCGATAACTTCCTCGCCATCCGAAGCCTCGTCAAAAGACCTGTCTCCACTCGACCCAGTGCCTGAAGAGGTGCATCCTGGCCTGCCTGGGCCACCCATCCCCAACCCTGTCCTTGCGGACCTTGCCCATGCCGCTCATGTCCGCCAACTCCGCACACTGCTCCTCCCGCCGATGAAGAATGTCGTTCGAAGACTTGTTATGGAATGTGCTTTGGATGCATGTGAAGCGGAGGCTGAAAACGAGAAGAAGCGTGTGGTTATATCAGACCCCGCTATTCGCGCTACCCGCATAACACTGGAGGAGGTGATTAAGGAGTTGAGGGAGGAAGAGGGGGTATGGTTTGACGGGGTCGATTGGAGCGAACGGAGACGAAATCTGCGAGCAGAGGCAGAAGGACTCGAAGACAGGAGTCCAACGCTATCGACATCTACATTGGCGACAACAGACTTGGAAAAGTCGTCAATAACTATCGCTGTCGACCCGGTTCGGAACCCACCCAAGCTTTTGCACTCAATTCCTTACGTGCCGGAGACAATTGAGCATCTTCCGCCGTATAGCCAGGACATTTTGCGATCTGTATGTGCTCGTCGTTTTTAACCTGACAACGTTAACATTACTAATAGGTTTGGCGAGAAGCCTGCGCTCCTCTCTATCATTGCCGCTGCACGATTTGTGTTCGCGCTGCTCAAGAACAGGCCCGCGCGGCTGATGCGCTTATTGCTCAGACTACTCAGCAAGTTATAGCCCCTACCTCTGACAACGCTACCGCCAAAGAACGACGTGAATGGGCCGACCGCGAGCATGCTAATAACGACACCGAAAACGGGCCTTTCGTGGTCCAAATCCCCGAAGAAGAGCAGGAGCATGGGGTTGAGACTGTGATCTCTGTTGTTTCGGATGACAATGTCTACGAGGATAATGAGCAGCAAGACGGAGAGTTTCTGGATCGCGATGCGCCGTTATGGGACGAGGCGTTGCAGTATGCAGCGGAGCTTTCGGAGGACGAGGAGCGGTCCAGTTTGGATTCATTCACCGACTACGAGCATGAAGATTACGCTGCGCAAACCAAGCCGCGGCTGATGCTCCGCTCTGTCTCACGCAAACGCTCTTTTGAGGAGGAAGCTACAACTGCTCCCAAGCGCGCTCGCACAAAAGAGCCTCCTGTCATCAAGATTCCGCCCGGCGCTAGCCCAGTCAAACGCCGTTCGGAGGAGCTGGAGCCAGATGAGGAGAGTGACCCGCGGACATGGAGCGACGGGTCTGGCGAGACGAAGCGTGCTCGCCGTACTTGAATAGCATGCCCTTAAAAGCGTCCGCTTTGGACGACCGATATAAAGCCCCACAAATCCAGACATACGATACGCATTTCTTTCTCCTTCGTTTGCTTTGAAAAGTTGCTTCCTCTCCTGTATACTTGTAGCATCGCTTTGTAAATACTTACATGCCGCTTAGAAATAGCCATCGTTTTTCGGCGGCTGAGGCCATTTCCTTTTTTGGTCGTCGGCGCCGGTCTTGACTTGTCTTGCACCAACCGCCATGAAGGCCTTGAAGAAGGTCAAGAAGAGTATGCAAGTATCCTTTCGAGCCCATAGAACTGACTACCGTTCAAGGCCTACATGCGATACTCCCGCCAAACAACCTGAAAGCTACGGCTCGTGTGGTGCCCGGGCCGGAGCTTACAGTGTCTATGCTGCATGCCGCTGTGCAAGACGATGTCCACGACACCAAAATGCTCAGTCGATGCGGCAGAGACCAGTCTCAGGCGCCAATCCACGTGCTCCCCGCGGAAGTCCTGGCCGACATCTTCATGGAGGTGTGCGTGAAAGCAGTTCAGCCGCTGGAGTATTCGTTCTTCGAATGCAGCGAGGTCTGTGTTCACTGGCGCCAAATCGCGCTCGGAATGCCACTACTCTGGTCTAAAGTCAACTTTTGCTCGCCGACATGGGTGCAGACTTGCCTGCGCCGCTCGAAATCCAGCCCGCTGATTGTGGAATGTCATTTGAGCCATTTCATCATTTCTCGGCGACAAATGACCATTCACCAACGAATCGCCGCCGTGTTGGAGTTTGCACCAGAGCGCATACGGGAGGTCTTTCTTTATGGGCACTTTCCTCACGAATCCTTAACGCGAGCGCTCCGCGGCAGGTTCCCCGTCCTAGCGAAGATGTCGATAACGCAAATAATCAATGAAACCTACTCAACGCCGACGGGAAGCGAAAGAGAACCGCTGTACCCCAGTCTTTGACTCTCCGCTGTCTCTTCTCTATCACACTGGCCCGAGACTAAGTAATCTTCGCCTGGCATGCTAGTGAATATCCCCTGGCACTGACAGCCTTTTCATCGATTCTCCCATCTCATCATGGGGACGACAACATCGCAAACGGCAACTCGAAAAGGACACTAAATCGGGTCTGGCGCTCAGTTGGGACGATGTACTTGGACAGCTGGACCCCATCATCCGAGGGAGAAACTCTTGTTTGGAGGAATATACTCTCGTCGTTGCCCGCACTCCATCGCATCAAGCTCAGACGGCAAACACAGGAAGGGGTCGACAGATGGAGAGAGCTCGTAACAAGTATTCCGGGTGGTGATAGTCTTGCTCTGGACACGACGACATCAGAGGCCGCAACGGAATGGGAGGATTTCAAGGAAATTTCAGGTATGAAAGCAATGCGGTGAGAGACTGTCTGTATTGCGATAGAATAGTTTGCTATTCGGATACAATTGCACGATATAGACTAGAACTCGAATAGTACTCAAAGTTTCAAGAATGATAAACGTGGGGAAGCCGGCTGCCGACATGACCTTCACTGAGAGAGTATAAGTATCGACCTTGAAGAACGCCGTTCTACAAGTGCTCGCAGACAGAGCTGCATTAGCAAGCCTACGCCATGACCGAGACAGAAGTAAAAGTGTGTGTAGCGACAGCTCCAATGGCGCGCTGAGATGTTCCCAACTTCCCAAGCCCCAAGGACCCAAACAACACTTTCATCTTCTGCTTGTCGTTGCACAGCCAGCCACCGACCCAATGAGCAGCCTTAGGTCTGCAGGAGGCGATTCAGACACTGCTACGCTCGTTCGAGAACGGTATGACCGAAAAATGCGAATGAGACCTAGAATGGGTCCTGAGCCGGTTTTTGTGAGTGTCGTATTGCTTGTATTGGAATATAATAGCGGGTTCCGAGACCGTGACGAATGGGAGTGTGGTAGGAGATGCCTTTTGAAGAATGGAAGGGTTTTAAGAGTCTAAAGAGATTCTTCCTCGTCCATATAATGTCGGAATTCATGGCTTTCTGACCCTAACCAAAACACGCTCTTCAAATCGTCCAGCATCGTGGACAGCGGAGCTTCTCCCAGATAGCGCGATACCGATTCGTGGTGGCCCGTCGCAAGACCAGTCACCAGTCACCATTCCTGCATACCCGAGTTGTCGCTATTTCGGCGGCCCATCTTGTCCGCTCGAATCTGGAAGGTGGACAGCGAGTTCAAGACAACGGGGTCTAAGTAAGCAGGCCCGGTTTTCACCTCCGCCAAACCGGCATGTCTGGTGGTGACACTGTTGGATTGAGTTTCTTGTCGGCATTGGAGAAGTCGCAAAAAGAGACAGAGTTGGTTGGTAGGAGCATGTCGAAAGTTTTCGAGTACAGGGAGTTTCATAGTGGATAAAGTGGTGAAGGAAGCGTGGCACCAGGAACCAGCCGCCTGTGGGGCCCCGGGGTAGTGTCCGACCAACTTGAAGAACGATGTTTTCTACAACAGCGATGGGTGAATTTCCGGACTTGTTATTGCTCTTCATTATTGCCTACCTGCTGACACGTCTCGAATAGCTCGTGCGCCGATTGGGGTTGATGTGTGGGCCATGCAAGCATTCGTGAACAGGATGCAGACAAACCTTTGCGGAGAGGGTCAGCAAGTGAGCAAAAACAGAGCGCCGGACAGAATGCCGCGCACCGATTGCCCTGTCATCCCTCCATACACCGTGCCCTTCTATTCGAGGAGTTGGAGTTCGCGGGGTGGGGCTTCAAGTTGTCCACTGCCGCCACGATATCGAGTTCAAAGAGTTTTGGCCTTCAAGTTTGGCGCGTCAAGATTTCGTGAGCGATAGAACTCTGTCGAGTACTAGCAAGCAGGTAGGGCCACCCAGATCTTCCAGTGCTATGAAAGCGTGAGGAGTTGGAGAGGATTCGAGACAGGAAAACGCACCTGGCCGAGCTCAGGCTCACAGGGTGCTTGGTAGTCGGCACCTGAACAATAGGGTAGGCCGCGGGCGTTATGCCGCGAACGAAGTCCTTTAAGCCTGCATTGGGCATGGGTGCTGGTGTCGGAAGAGTCAAGAGTGGTTGGTGAGTCGTGGTGGTGGTTTGGGAAGGAAAGTGTGCCAGTGTCGCGTGACTGACTGCCCTTTCCTCAACAACCACTTAGATCTGGGTTGTTAACGCTGAGTTCGAACATATACTTGCCGAGTACATTTGAATCGAAGGTCCTCCACAACTGCGCCGAGGAGGAACTTCAAGTTGTGACAAGTTCCAGTCGAGTCTAGTCTCGCACGCAATCAAATTACTTATCTGCCCTGCAACATTTGGATCATGGAACCAATGAGAAATGGTATTGCACATGCTTCATGCTTAATAGAAATACAATGGTAACATGTTCAGTAGCAAGTGATAGAGGGGGTAGTGGTGAACATCAAGCAGTCAAACGACGTAAGGTTCCATCGCTAGTACTTCGCGTCTGACATCCGCTTCTGGGCTCAACAGCCCCACTGCTTTGAACAGGGCAACCTGCTCAAATCGCGGGAAGAGCATCTCTTGTGGGGACATAGGAAGGTAGTTTGGAGGGCGAAGGTCCTCCATCGGGATGGCTCCCAGCGATCGTCGTCGCAGGCCAAACACGGGCTCGACATATGGCATGGGTGTGGGTTGGACGACGGCAGCGACAGAGCTAGCCAGTCGTTTCGCAATATCGACTGATCGTTTCCGGAGACGAGATGGGCTCGATGAAAAGGATGATGATGATGGCGAAGATGTCTCGGGGAGAGAGACACGACGGCCGCCCAATGGCAAGAAGCCGTTGCGGGGAACGACAGCGCGAGTGGAGTATGAGGCAAGCATGTTTTGTTTTTGGTCAATGTGGATGGTGCTTGTGATGCGCTGGTGGTTTGAGTTAAGGATATGGTCGACTCTGGGGCGGCTTTTATGGGATTCTCCAGCGGATAGCGGAATCTGGGGAAGATGTCTGAGACCGGTGCTCTGACCTCATGTCTCAGGCAGCAGAATGTGGCAATGCAATTGACGGAGAGACATTCGAGCTGTGGCGAAAGGTTTCAGTTCGTAAGGAATTCAGTCGAGGCAATCTAACCTCGAGCACAATATCTCAGGCGGATAGCGGAATGCGGGGAAGTCTGAGACTGCTCCGTCGACGTCATGTTTCAGGTAGTGGGAAGTGGCGATGCTGATTGCGGGTGAGCATTCCGAGACATTCGAGTCTACGAAAGCTCAAAAGAAGCAAGCGAAAAAAGCTGTTCATGGAGCTCGAAGAACCGCTACAGTTTCGTCCCTTTCTGCGGATGAAAATGAAGCGAAGTCGGATGAGGTGGAGACGATGAAATGGCGCAAAGAGGATGCCCTGAGACGGTTCCGATGAACCATCTCCCAAGTCTAAATCCAAGTCCTCCTACACACTCCGAACGCGTTGGTAACCAGGATATTTTCGACGATCGAGGAGCTCGCAAAATCTGGCTCAGAGCAGGCGTCCGTCGAGGCCATCGTTGGAGAGTCTGCGAGGCATTCGTTCTCTTTCAGAAATGCGACGGGGAGGGAGAGGCGAGAAGGTGGAGCACCAGCGATAATGCGGACGCTGACTGTTGTCCTTGAAACGCGCTTATAATTCCTCGAGAGCGACTCGAAAGTGGATTGCGAAAGACGAATCAAGACCCAAGGATGTCAAGCAATAGATGACGAAGCTGAATATATCGTTAGTAAATATAGGCTCTATATATGAAGAAGTACACACGCACTCGGTGGCGTTGCATTAGAAAGCAAAGCCGCAATTGCAAGGCTTTGTAGGCGGAGGTATATAATTTGTTCCGTTGCAATCCATGTCGGAGGACAATTCGAAGAAGCACAAACTCCCCGAGTTGCGCTGCCGTGCCAGATCGACGGCCGAATTACTTCGTATAACGAAGAGGGTGCGGCTGTTTAGTTTGGAAAAATCAAGATAGATCGAGACAGCGAGATGTGATTGCGCTTTTCGCTCACCTCGTTTTCCCCACAACACATCTCCCTCGCTGAAGCTTGACCGCGCATGTTAGACTAGGGCGGGAACCGCCACAAGTGTGGCAGAGACCAAGCGAAGACCGTCTACAATGTTGAAGGGAGGACAATGAGCATCGTGGCCAGCGATGCTTCCAAAGGACGCACTTGTGTCATGTCCCTTCACTTTTGATCACGGAAACGAGTCATGGGGGTGTTCCCGTCGAAAGATCGAGTGGGAGGAAGGCGTACTTGAAGGTCGTCGTCGCGGAGAAAGCACAAGGAAGATCGGGCCGAGCCATGTGACCCGATGATCTTCTTTCGCTTTCGACGACCACCACGAGCACTATGCTCGGGCATTCTCAACCACACCTCAGCGTCTTACGCCACCCACCAGCGCCTCAATACTACGAGAAAGTACAACCAGGTGTGATATACCGTTGTGTCGCGTTTCCTTTCACACTGACTAGTTTGTTCTACTCAGAGTCGTTTCTGAATCGCAAAGCTGGCGCGAATAACTACCGAAAGGCATGCGGAGGAATGTTTGGAAAGATGTGCTGGGCGGGATGAGGCATACGTGGCTGAAGGTGCGACAACAATCGATGGTTGCAGAGTATTTGTTGACCCCTTCCAAGGCAGAACATTCACTAGCTTCATCCTCGAGGCCTTGAGCCCCAATGCGGACTCAAGGCTCTCTCGGTACGGTGAACAAGTGTGGACTGGCGCGAGGGGTACACAATGGGTTGCGAGTTGCGTTAACGACCATTTATGCATGGAGCTTGCTGACCTCTCCCAGTTTCACTCGCTAAAGACGTTGGACTCGACCCTACGTCTGCTTCGTTCATTGCATTGAAGTCCGTTCAACAAGCCTTACCTGTCCTCGTGGCTCGCTACCTTGTTCCTCAAACTCAGCATGAGAAAGAGAAGTATTCGGAGCGGCAATGAACAAGTGGCGGGGAGAATGTCAGCCTGTGCTTTTAGTCTGCCAATAGTTACTGACTAGCTCCCAGGTCCCGGAGCTGTTGGACCCTTCTCGAATCTCCTTCGACATGCTCGACATCGATGTCTTAGAAGTTTTCTATGGTACACCACTCCCTTCGACAATAACACGTTTCAATACCTCTCCTCCCCAACTCATTGCGTGGACCAATCCAAAATTTACTCTGGAAATTTGGCGTCTCCGCTTCTCGCCAATCTTCCCTGAAAATGGATCTGGAGCTGCCCAAACGAGAGTAAATGCCCGAAGACGCGTAACTCGGAAGGTCATTTCGAGCTCGCGAATCCCTCCATCGATTACCTGCGGTATCTGCAGCACAATCCGAAATATTCGAGCCCTGCACCTATTTGACCTCATCCCCACAATAATGCCTGTCTCTTTGACGCTCTTTACACCTCTCCACCCAAAGCGCTATTCTTGCACGTGACCGGTGCCCGGATTCGAGACGACAATAAAACTTCTCCACCACGCGTCTTGTGGCTCTATCGACCGCGTCTCAAGCTGCCTGTCTATCCGACCATCGCATACATTTTGTGTGGCCCGCGAAAGATGGGTAGAAGGCTTCCGTTGAACGCACTTTTGCTCGCAATAAGACTTGGGCGTGAGCGTGGTCGCGAGGTCGGAAAGACGGTATGGGGCGGAAATAAGAAGTTCTTGTGGTGGGGGCGGTATCGGGTGATGCAAATAAGAGTGTTTGCGGAGGATTCTGCGGATATTTGAAGACCACGCGATACCTTTCCAACGCATCTGCTACCCCTTCTTCCTCAGTTCTCCCGTGCTGGGCTGATACCAATTGGTTGCTTATTGGTGGATATCTTCTATCCCTTGAGACTGTTTTTGCATCGTATCTATTCGTCTACTGCCTGCTTTACCTTTCACCACCATCCACCTTTTTGCCTTCCTACCGCCTTCTGTACCTATTTGCTAAGTAAGCACGGACTGTTCTTTTAACGAGATGGACTAGTTTGTATTTCTCAAGCTTGGACTTGATAGTACTTGGATATATTAAAAGGCTTTAACCTCGCAGTACACTGGTACCTGTACTATACGATTGGAAAAGTGTAGATCAAATCTATGCTTCCCGGAATCCATCTAAATAGCCCCTGCCTGGGCGGTCTAGATCTGCCGCAATACTTGACTCCGATATTTTGCGAGAACGGCCAATACTTGGACCTAACCCTAGTGATGGCTCTTCTGTCATACATGCGGAACATACGCACTCCAGTCCACGTCGCGAAACGCCGCAGCGGGTAAGGCACGCAATGTTGAAAAGGGAAGCGCAAGCAGCACGGTCCGCGCGACCGCGTAGGCGGAGAACATTTCCATCCTGTTGAGTACTACCGGGAGCGCAAGGAAAGTGAGCAGCGCGGGGGATACAGCGATTACGAGGGCAGAGATGCGCCACAGCCAGAGCTCGGCGGCGGAGGGGAAGACTGATTTCCATGCGGCGCAATGGATGGCGCCAAATAAGGTGAAATAACCCGCCGGAAATGAATTGGCCGACGACGGCGATGATTTAGAGCAGAGAGTCGAAGTCGGAGTCCATCAGGGCGTCTGGTTACAGCGCACCAGAAGGTCGGGACGGCGGTGTTGGAGAGGGCATCGTAAGCGTCTGCGGCAAAACGCTGGAAGCGCGGGGTATGGTAGGCCTTCGACATGTCCGTCGGGGGCAATTTGTAGTGATAATTGAGTGGGGCTGCGTACGTCGAGCAGTTTCTCCAGCCAGAGCAGCCATATAAGCGCGTTGATTGTCGCAAACGCTAAAGTTGCGATTTCGAGTTCGGTAAGCGGGACACGCGCGATGCATTGAGCGATGAACCACAGGCCTTGGAAGAGCGCGATGCCCTTGGAAGATATATCCCCCTTGCTCTTGTCCTCGATGTCCGCCTGGTTTATCCCCCCAATTGCTTTCAGCACATCAGGCGCAGACAGCTGGGACTAGGTGACGATTGGATCATTGGATGCCCGTCGGCGTCAACAAAGCCGCCCATAATGAAGAAGAACCCATTAGTTAAGGTCATACTATACTCTGTAATGGTCAACAGGTCGTTCTTGTCATCACGCAATCCACCACCTCGAGCACAAAACCGCGCCATCAAGAATTGCCTCGCAGCGAACCCGATCATGATTTCTGGGGCAGCAAGCGCAACAGCCATAAGCTTGACGCGGTGGAGCAGCTGCCCGTTTCTGGCGAGGACCGTTCGGAGCCTGGTTGCATTCAAGTTCTTTGTCTGTTCGGGAAGCGGAGGCGGGACATTCGGGTGGACAGACACCCAGATACGGAGGAAGATTGTCGCCAGACAGCCCCAGACGATGTCGGACAGCGTGCGGCAGGAAGTTATGTCGGTGCAGTCGTTGCGGGCAGCGCGCGTAGACGCGAGTGCGAGAAGCAAGAGCATCTTGACATGCGGGGCGCTTGAGGTTTGGTCATTGGTCGCGCGAGAGAACAGAGATATCAATGTGTGACACTTTCTCTTCTGGACCACGACCACGACTTTGCTGCATGCAAATGAATCGCTACCCGCGCGACCGGACTGCCACGCGTACCGCGAAGGAGACAAGGAAATGCAGGGGCAGGAATAGGCGGAAGGCGAGAGCGGAAAGGTGCGTTCTTTGGTTCTTCAATCCATGTTCGTGCCAACCGCCTTTACAGCTTCCGCTACTGCTTAACGACACGAAAACTGCGAACTATGCCCTCCTACCTGTGCTCTTCCGCCATCCCGATAGTGTGCGTGGCATGTTCTCTCGTCAAACCCATCTATGGCGGCTTATTCACTTTATTCAGCTCATCTCTGTTGCTACCCCTGCGCGACGGATAGGGCATTTGCATCCCATCTCACGGAGGAGATGACGGAGGAATGGACCAGGCAGAAGCAAGCGAGATGAGTCGAGGCGAAATTGGCGCCGCGTTGATTCGTCTTTGAAGTCGGCATGATGGACTCTTTTCGCGGGAGCTTGAGTTTGATGCGAGGCGATGTGCGCGCTAGCTTTGGTACAGGCGCTGGTGTATAAGGAACCCCGTGAACAGACTGTGCCACGATGGGTAAGGCAACGGTGCGTGTCGAGTATTTTCTGCCTCCTTCTTGCTAATTGTCTGAAAGCCAGCTGCTGGGCTCAGTTCCGCCAAGTACCTGGTAAAATCCGGCCAGCGTGTTTACGAAGATGTAGGAGGGGTGCCAGAAATCGTGTCTTTGGTGCCCGCAATACTTGCCTCCAGTCTCCTTGCGGTTTACGGGCCGCAAAGACTTAAGCGACGCGAACGAAGGAAATAAGGTCAAGGTACCGGGTCTTAGGTACGTGTTTCGCTTCATTTACCCTCCCCCCGTTTGACCAGATCGTTGTAGTCTATCCCGAGTCGTGAGTCCCTTTTCTTTCCCACACGTTGGTGTCTCATGTCGGTTGGAGGTTTGGAGCTTCCGCCAATGCGCCACGCCAACATGCATAAGAAGACCCACGGAATCATCTTCAGGCTCTTATCTCTTTCGTGGACTTCGCTATCCCCACACCAGCCTGGGGCTCTTCGACTGTCGACAGTCTTTCCCGTCACGTCAGACGATGTCATTCAGCGGCAACACAAACGGGACGTTCCCTTCCAGTTTCGCCGCATCTGCACAGTCGTCTCGAAAGGACCACCACAGTGCCTCTCGCGCTGCCATTTAGACGCCACATACCCTTCGTCAACGCCACTTGCACCCACCCAGTCGCTCTCTACCTCATTTTCCAGCAGCATCCACATGTCTCTGTCGCCGTACATCCTGCCCGCCAAGTGCTCATTCGACAGTATCCAGGTACTGCGCCAAAAGTCCTTCACCTCCACTCGCAGCGTGCTGCTGCCGCGCCTTCCAGACAGACGCGTCTCAAAATAGGAAGTCACGTGCTCCTTGCCCACCCAAAAAGACGTTGTATGGCGGCCGAATCGGAGCATATAGCTCTATCGACCGCATCTCATTATCCCCCGTCTCAATTTCGAGCTCTCCGATTCTTTTGGCCCCAGTATTCAACGCGCAAGGCAGTTGTTGCACGCGTTTGTGGTGAAGACTACCGGGACGGCATGGGCGATGGTTGTGAGATGGAGAGCGAGATATGGGCTGGCGTTGGTGGCTTTCCCGAGTGTGTAGATGACGGGGAGCGTGTCGAGCCGCTCCGAAGACGGTCTGCTGGGGTCGTTGGTGGTCTTGAGGCGTTATCTGTCACCTAAGGATGCCCTACGGTGGATGCAAAGGGCCGCCTGGGCTGTCTGTCAAGTTTCCCGAACCCTGCGCTTTATCTACCATCGCACTATCCCCTCTTCTCCTCGATATCTACCGAGCCCTTTCCCTTGCCAATGCTGTTCTTGGCTTTTTCTTTTTTTTTCCATTTTTCCAGTATACTTATTTTGGTTGCTATGTACGACATAATTTCGCGTTGGGGCCATCTCGACGACCAAATTGCCCTCCTCCGCCCACGTCTTCTGCCACTGCGAGAACAAAGGATACTGCACGATCCTCGAAGCCAGCGAATAGCCCCGGATGACCAAGGTGCGCGGGGCCGGAGCAACCTCTGGCTCGGAGGGTAATATAGTGCTCCAGATCCGCAGCAGTATGATGATATGGTCGAGGAGGGTCCAAGTCGTGGTCTCCCACCTGCCGCCGCTGCCCGGAGTCACGCCGCCCGGCACAAGCTCGTACGTGAAAGTCCGGAGGCGGGAGAGCATCTGTTTCACCTCGTTGGGTATGGGAATTTGTTCGAGCTTCCTCCCTGGCCGGTAGTTGCGGCTCAGATCCAATAACTGGTCGATAATATCGCCGTGTTGACAGAGAAATAAGCATTGCTTGATGTCAAGCTCTTGGAGCCCTTGCATGTCATAAAGCAAGGGCATAAGGACGTCATTGAGAACGTCGGTAATGTAGTGCAAGGATAGTTTTGTGATGTTGGTATACAGTAGTTGTCCACCCCAAAGTAGCCATCAATCGTGTCGATAGGCGCAGGCTTCATTGTGTAGAACGTCAAATGCTGGATTAACTTGGATATTGGTTCTAACGTCTCGAAGACTTCCGCACCCGCATAACCATGTTGGCAGTCGATTGTCAGAGACATGAGCCCACGATGATGGCTGACGGCGGCTCGAGCTTCAAGTTCAAGTTGAGGGTTGTCTGAAATGTGCCAAGTTGAACTCGGATGGCCTGGAAGTCGGAACGATGCAATGACTTCCACGTTACAGGCGGCTGGATGCGCTAAGTAGCGAATGATATCATCGCCGGTTGCATTGCATGCGAGGAGACGAACATCGTTCCAAGTGATGCTGTCCCTCACTTCCTCAACGTGCTTCGGGTTTACAATGCGGACGTGGCGCAGCGGCGCCTTCTGTAATGCAGCAAGGAACTGTTGCCTGTCAGAGAATGGCGCTTTTGAGCACCGAGAGTACGATTTCAGAGAGCAGAGGTCGGTAATTTCAAGTGACTCTGTGGTTTCGATGTTGATGAGATCGAGCAATACAAAGCGCGCTGCGTGTTGGAAAAGCTTGTTCAGCAACTCGGCGAACGGGGCGGCATCATCACACTCTTCTGCCCAGATAGTTACCCTGAGCGGGCGGGATTGCGAGCGCTCGAGATGCGCAGCGACGGCCCGCCACGCGGCGTCTGGCTTCTGCCGCGGTGTCAGGTTCAGAAAGATCGTCGTCCACAGCGCGCTGTTCGAGAGCACCGTCTCATTCCACGCATGGCAGACCCGGCGGAGCCGGTAGTGAATCTTCATGCTGCGCGACAGCATAGCGTTCCGGGTTTTCGTGCCCATCGCAAAGAGGCCATTCGAGTCCCAAGTTTCGGTCGGATGGAGTTGCACCGCCTCGAAGTGCTTTTCGAAGATCGTGTTCAAGACGTCAGCCGGAAGCTCAGTGGTTATTTGCAGTTGGGATTCATGGCCCATGTGGGATGTCTGGGAGCTCGGACGCGACATTAGTGCCGGCGGCGTGGTACTGTGCATGGTTGCGAAAAGACAGCGAGCCACGGCTGACTTATCATTGGAGTCACAATTGAATAACTAGCAAGTAATTAAAACATCGAAGCAACTGAGAACGCAACAAGGAGTATGCCATGAGTAACAGGCGCCGTAGTGATCTCCTGCTTCCGAATTCACTCAGAGGCTGACGAGCAGGCGGGCAACAGATATTGTTCAAGTCGAATGATGTCGCAACGAACTTAGTAATCGAGGGATGCATATGCGTCGCTCTAAAGATGAATCCAATGGCCATAGAAATATATCTAGGGTTGAATCAACGACTTGAAGGAACAACGAGAGGACGAATTCACCTACTCTTGCCGCATTCTCATCTCAGTTCCCTCAATTTCCTTCTACCAGATCCCTGGGTTGCACTGCCGAAACAGCAACCATGCGCCCCAAATGTCCTCCTCAAGACGCGACGCCAAAAGGGATTGATAGAGCTGCAGCAGGCAAGATATGGAAGTGCTTGTACATATCGTCTTCGGGAATACAGAGTGGTGCCGCCAAGGCTAGCGAGGCGCTGGATGGTGTTGTCGATTGTTGATGGAGGTCGTGGAGGGTGGGAAAGACAAGGCTTTGGCGTTGGCGTGGGTGAGGTTTCGCAATGTGAAGACAGACAAGCAGATGGTGTTGTTTTCGAGAGCGTTCTCGGTTTGGCCGGCGAGACAGGCCCGTGGTAGTCATGGTATGCCATTTGCGGGCTCTGATTGTGGCGGGGGGTGTATCAGGGGCCAGAGGTTGGTGTTGCGAGAGTAAGAGGAGGAGGACGGGCATGGACATTGGTGAGTTGGCTGAAAAACAGTTTTAGCGGTCGGCAACGACAAGAGAACGAATTTCACGCACCATTCGAGCTCTAATTCCATTCTTGAACTCCTCCATTTGCATCCCTCCTCCCTGCGAACGAGCTGCGCTTCCTGAAGGAAGAGCCAAAGCGGCATTCGATGCCTGTGACTTCGATCGGAAACCTGTCGATGCATGGTCAGGATTGCACACGAAGACAGGAAACAAGGAAAGCGCACGGCGATTCCTTCTGCGCCTCGACAGCCTTCATGCACTACGGCCTCAGACCGCGCCGCCTCTCGTTGCAACTGGGTCGGAAGACTGTTGGCACCAAGTAAGAACGTGACTGCGAAGGGTGGTATGAATTCACGCACCAAACGCGTCCCGAGTATCATATGCTCCTATTCACAGGCCCTCCCGTTTGGATGGGCCCTCCCGTGGACGGCAGCCTTTCGAGGAAGAGGCAGGAGCGGGCTGGAGTAGTGTCCGGTCAGCCGCGACACAAACGACGAAGGTGCTGGAAGACGCACCTTCAGGCCGGGTTGTAGGGCTCTGTGCCCTTGAGGCAGCTAGTGGCCTGCCTCGCCGAGCGATAGCGGGGAGGGAAGAGGCGCGCGCAGCATGGGTCGTCGTGGAGAAGAAGCCAGGACGATCGGGCCGGCTCACGTGAGTCCGCGCCGATCTTCTTTCCTCTCTTCCACGACAAGCAAGATGGCTCCGAGCTCGACCCTGCGCACGCGTCGACACTCCTGCTTCCAACCAGCAACCTTCCGTCAGGCAGAATGACGAGTTAGAAGCCAAGGTACTTGCGTCTTTCTTTACTCGTTGGCTTCCGCGCTGAATCGCCACTTTTTTCCTCAGAAACGGCCTCGATGACGATGACGGCGCGAAAACGAAGGGAATTGGGGTCGAGGGGTGGTGCAGAGGATGGAATGGCTGGCTCCAGGTGCGTCAATCCACGCTCGGCCTTCACACGTCTCGAATTCTAATACGTGCAAGGTGTCTGAAAAGCGGGGGCTCCCCGCCGCCCGCCTTAATACGGCTCTCGAAACTATGACAGACCCGCAGCCCGCGTCTTTGCCACAGGTACTTGCTGCTGAAGGCACAGACGCGCAGTATTGACGAGGAGAACCACCTGGTAAACGAAATGGCTTCCAGGGGCGCCCTCTTATGGGTGACTTTGAAGCATTCTCCCCCGCGTTAACAACTACCTGGTGAGTCAAATAACCGCCATCGCGTGCTTATAACTTATCGCGCTGATACTCTTCAGTCTCTGCCTTCGTTTTTATCCACCCCAAAGTTCCACGACCTCTTCTTCCTCCGTCGTTCAAAGCACCCTCGGCGAACCTCGAAACACTTCTCTGGCGTCCACACTACTAGCTGCCGTCGCCGCCGTCATGCCGGCGCCCACAAGGCGACCACCACGCTCGCTTCAAGTTCTCCCCGACGCGATATCGCTGTCTCGTCGACCCTGGACTTTAGGACGTGCAAAAGCGGCTTATTTCTCGCCATTCAACGTGTCCCCCAATACCAAAGGAGCGCAGGACAAGAAGGCACTCATCATCGGACCACTGCCCTACTACTGCTCGTTATACTGCAAAGGCTGCCCAACAGCCTATACGCCTGCAAACTAACTCGAAAACCCTCGAGGACGAGGGCGCGGTGCCGCGTATACCATTCCCCGCCTCTAGTTTCTTCCGTTCCCGCCCGTCGACACACATTCCATGGCCGCGTCCCAAAATGGAAGTCACGTGCGAGACGTCCCCGCGAAAGACGTCGAAGTATCGCGACGTATGCGGGGTCTGCGGGTCTATCGACTGTATCTCATCCTCCCCCGTACCATCCCGCGACTACCTAATTCTTTCTGCCCCGCCATTCGATGCAGAAGGTCGTCGTTCCGCGCGTTTATGGAGGGGTCTATTTGGATGGCATATGGGTCGTTTGTCGAACGAGGAGCACAAGTGGCAGTATATTATGTAGCTCTGTGGATGACAGAGTGGTGCGTGCGACTCTTCAGGAGCGGAGCACATCTGACTTGACCCTTTTGCCCTCATTTGTCGCCCACACTGGCAGATATGACATCGGATCGAAAGGCGCGTATTTGGCTAGGATTATTCCGCTCCCGGGAGGGGGGGCTTAATCCAAGGGGGGCAGTGGATTACCAAGCTGTCAAAGTCACAGGGTACCGAACATGTTCGGTACCCCGTGACCTGTCAAAGGCACGTGCGACCGAACATGTTCGGTACCCCGTGATCTGTCAAACTCATGTGGTACCGAACATGTTCGGTACCCCGTGACCTGTCAAAGTCACGTGTAGGCGGCAGCCGCCCTCGCCTCGGGGCCTCATTGGCGGCGGCGCAGCCGCCGCCCACACCCACAATGGCAGGTCACTCAGTCACACCTCAGATGTCTTTGCCATGTTCTCTACTTCATCCCTCTGGACATCTTGGACCAAGCGCATTGAGTCGGTGGCACCCGTGCTCGCTTATGATCTTCTCCGTGCGCGCCGCAATGGTGCGTCCACGCGCTTTGGGCGTCTTCTCCGACTTACGCCAGGCCTCTAGAGGACCCTCCGTTCTACCATTGGATTGGGCGTGTACCTTGCCGTACCGCTCGCATCGCCGGTTTGATAGTCGGCGTAGAGGAACGTGAATATGGAGTGATTTATTATGGCCCGTTCTACTTTTTACTCCCCGCCACTACGCCTTATCCTTCCCCTCAGTCGATGACGGCACTGGCGTTGTCGAGTCGGTTCATCGCCCGACTCTGACCCCCTTCCCTTCCCCGCTCTTGTGTCCGTAGGCAACCAAGCCGTAGTTGTTGGTCGGATTCTCACAGGCCCTCGTGGTGTTACTCTTCGAGTTCACTCCCTCAGTCTGCCTTTCCTTTACCGGTCATTCTTGCCCTTCTCACACCTCCTAGCCCGTTGCTCTTCTCCTAATGAAGAGCCCACCCATTTGATCCATGCAATTCACTTAACAAAGTACTATTACCACCTATCTTCGCCTTTTAGTTTGCCGACCCCCGACAATTTCCTCGCTCTCCTTTGCTCCTACATTGCCGCCTCCGATCTTACCCCTACTCTTGACGCGTCCGCGTTGTTGGTAGACTCAGTGCGATGGCCGACCGCGTTGCTGCAGCTGAGTGGGCGGGCCGCACTTCTTCGTTTGGCCCTCCTCTAGCCCAGGAGGCCAGGGTTGCGCCGCTTGTTCGTCTGGGCCGTTCGCAAGCTAGTCCAGCTAGATACTCTCGCACACCAACCCCAGGACCCAGAGAGTGACGATTTTTTACTTGTCCTTTTGCCTTCAGCTATTGCCGCTTCCGCTGCCGCCGCCGATGCCGCCGATGCCGCTGCCGCCGCCGCCGCCGATCCTGCTGCCGCTGCTTCTGTCGGCATGTCTTCGCCTCATTACTCTGCCCCGGCCTATTTAAATGAATGTTAGCATAGGTAGCATGTGATCTTCTATGCCTTTCTTTCCTCCACCATCGCTTTTTGAATGGACACGACTGCCAGAGTCCGTGGCCCCATTGTTTGTGTGCGACATTTTCCGGGCTCGTAAGAATCGTGCGTCTGTCGGCTACCGCCTTCGCATCCGAGTTCACTCCGGCCGTAGCTCAGCCTCCTCTCTTCCATTGGTAGGCAGGGTACCTTGTCGAACAGTTAGGATCGTTGGTTGCGTCAACGCCGCCATCCCCCGGCAGCAGCCTCATCCGCTACTCAGGTTCGCCATCTCTCGTCTCTTTCTTTTTAGCCCCTACTTCATGAGTACTTTTCAGTGACAGACGGCACTGCCGTTGTTGATTGTTTATACCGTCCCGGAACTCCCGATGCCACTTTTCAGCCCGTTGCAGGCCAGACTGTCGTCGTCATCATCGGGCATATTATCGAAGCATTCGAAGGCCGGGTACTCCTAGTCGACAACATATTCCCTGCGCCCTCAGTCCACGAGCAACGTCAACACATGTCACTAGTGTCTTTCCTTCATCGTCACTATTATGATGTTGCCTTCCCCTTCTATTTTCCCACTGAAGAAAACTTTTCTGCCCTGCTCAAGTACCACGTTGACACCACTGGATGTTTCCCAACTTTTTCGGCCGTTTTTTCCGTTGGATTACTCCGGGCAATGGCGGACCGAGTCGCTGCCGCCGAGTGCATTCGTCATGCTCCCCCAGGAATCTCGGACACCCCATATCATCGTCGTACCCGTCTCGTGTGGTTGTTTGTGTGGGCCCTAGTCCGTCTAGGATCTCCAGCGGTTGCAGTGTTAGAACACGGGGTCCTTCTCTGGTGATCATCTTAGCCGTCGCCTATTGCCGTTGCTTACCTTGCCATCTCATTGTATTTCGTGTGACCATATACATTATATATACTTGCTTACATACATTCCCTCTCTTAGCTTGCCGTCTGCCAATCTGTGCCCGCTTCCTCCATGGCCGCTGCCGCTCCACCGTCGAGCTTCAGTTCACCTGTGCTGGATCCCGTGTTGAGCGCGTCCTCCGACCGCCTTTTTTTCTTCCCTATCAAGTATCCTGATGTGCGTCGTGGCCCTTCTCGATGTCCGCTGTTCATCACACCCAACAGATATGGGCGTTCTACAAGAAAGCACAGAGTTCCTTCTGGATTGCCGAGGAGCTCGACTTTTCCAGGGACTTAGAGCATTGGCGCTACAAACTTACTGGCGACGAGCGCGACTTCATCTCCCACATTTTGGCCTTCTTCGCGGCTTCCGACACCATCGTCAACGACAACTTACTCGAGCGGTTTTCTCGCGAGGTGCAGCTGCCAGAAGCCCGTTGCTTTTACGCTTTCCAGGCCATGATGGAAAATGTACATTCTGAAGTTTACGCGCTGCTTATCGACACCTACATCCAAGATGCTCAGGAACGTGTACGCCTCTTCCGTGCCATCGAAACTATTCCCTGCGTGCAGCGTAAGGCTGAATGGGCCCTCCGTTGGATCCAAGACCCCCATTCTTCGTTTGCCGTGCGCCTTGTCGCTTTTGCCGCCGTCGAGGGCATTTTCTTTTCGAGCTCGTTTGCTGCCATTTTCTGGCTCAAGAAACGTGGTCTTATGCCGGGTTTGGCCACCTCCAATGAATTCATCAGTCGAGATGAAGGCCTTCACACCGACTTTGCTTGTCTGCTTTTTGGGCACTTGCAGTCTCGGCCTCCTCCTTCCGTCATCCAGACTATCATCACAGATGCTGTAGATGTCGAAAAAGCTTTTCTTGCCGACGCCTTAGCCAACCGACTCTTGGGAATGAACGAAAAGTTGATGAGCCGCTACGTCGAATTTGTCGCTGACCGCCTCCTTGTCGCCCTCGGCAATGAAAAGGTCTACTGCGTCCCCAACCCCTTTGACTTTATGGATATGATTTCTATGGAAGGCAAAACGAATTTTTTCGAGCGACACGTGTCTGACTATTCCAATGCGGCGCGCGCACTTCGTCCAGTGTTCCTGTTACTAAGGCAAAGTTGTCAGTGTCTCTTCTTTAGTATTTTATCCCTTTCTGACATGCATCTGTGTTTAGTGAGCTTGACGCGCATTTTTGAACTTTCAGTCGCATGCCTTGTTATTATTTTTTTTTTTCTTGTCTTTGGAGGACAAAATATATGTTTTTCTCTTTTGATTATTCACCCATGTGACCATCGCCGCTGCCGCTGCCGCTGCCGCTGCCGTCACCATCATCAGTTGCTGGGGAATTCCCTAGTGATGTCATTGCATCTCGACTTCTCGTATATAAGCGTGTCATCGTCCGCACTTTTACTCTCGTTTCCTCTCTTTCTGCCACCATGTCGAAACGTTCCAGTTCTCCTTCTACAGAGTTGGTGTCCACGGTCTCGCCCCGTGCCGCTGCTGACGCGTTTGGTTTGCCAGTACCACTGGTCCCATGCCTCTCCCTAGTACTATTCCGACCCGCCATCACGTCTCTGGCCGGCGCCTGTCAGCGACGCAAATGTCAGTGACAGCGCACCGATCACTTCCGCCCGCGTCGCAGGCAAGTCACTCCACACCTAGCGATCGATCGGGAGCCGAACATGTAGGGTTGACAGCTGATGGCCCCTGCGCCTGCGCCTGCGCCCTGCGCGCGCACAGCGCCGGCCGTCTCCGGCATACACCGGGCGCCGCTTCCTCTTCCTCCTCCTGCGCGCAGCGGCGGTGTCCTTGCGCACACACGCGCAGCGCACGTTGGGCACCTCCCTGCCACGCGCGTTGGTGCCCGCTCAGCCAAATCCGTGTGTGCGGGAGGGCATCTGCGCAAACGCACCTCCCACTACCATGCGAGCCGGACATGTAGGGTTGACAGCTGATGGCCTCTACCGCGACAGCACCTCCCACTACCACGCGAGCCCGACATGTTCGGTTGACAGCTGATGGCCCCAACGCGCCCGCCCGCACACTCCTTCCCCGCACACAGGCCACCGCCCAGCCACGCGCTGAAGCGCCTCCCGCCAGCACATGGCGTCCGCCCCCACACACCCCTCCCCACACACCGCCTTCCGCCCTCGGCACTTCTCTCTCCCCCAAACACACATACCACCACCGCGCACTTTATTTTCCTTAGCCCGGCGCTCCGGATCCACCACTCCACGGCATCTTTTTTAAAAATGACATGTAGTGAGCAGCAGGGCACTTTTTAAAAAAAGCCACTGCCCTACAACTGCCATTTTTTAAAAAAGGCCACGGCTATGAGGGCCACGACACCACTCACTCGTCGTCGCTGACCACAGTGACAAGGAAGTGCTAGTCGCTGGTCGACCAGGCCATCAAGTTTATCATCAATGTCAGAATTATCTACATCACTTAGATCACGACCATCAGTTGCCCAGCTCAACGCTTCCGGCTATGTAAAACCCCGGTTATCTCCCGCCTCCCTCCGGTTCCGGCACCGGGATAGCACCCAGAATGGGGACCATTGCCCGCCATCAGCGCCGCCCGCCCGCCATCAGCGCCCGGCCCGTTTGGGATCCCGCCTCCCCCGTAGGGCGTCGTGGCCCCCGTGTGCGCCAGCGCTCTTCCCATCTTGCAGCCCCGCCATCAGCGCCGCCCACCCGCCAGCAGCGCCCGGCCCGTTTGGGATCCCGCCTCCCCCGTTCCTTCCCTTGCCCGGCTCCAGCGCTGTCATTAATTGGCGCCACTGGTCCGAGATTGGCCCGGTCCAGCCATTGCCCGCCATCAGCGCCGCCCCGCCCGCCAGCAGCGCCGGCCCGTTTGGGATCCCGCCTCCCCCGTAGGGGCGTCGTGGCCCCCGTGTGCGCCAGCGCCCTTCCCATCTTGCAGCTCGTCGTGTTCTGTCGCGTTGGGCGGCCCTTTTCTCCGCCATATTTGATGGTTGCCACTGGTTGGCATGGAATTTCATGTGCATTGTAGTTACATCATAATGTACGCCCGGCTAATCGGTACTTGGAATGTGCTCGGGCGACTCGGGCACGGCCATAAACGCCGCATCGTCATCGGCAACCAGTGAGATGGACTTCTCATATGCGCCCCCTTCATCCAACGCGTCAGTGTGCATTGCTTGAAGCTGGTCAAGGCCAAGTTGGATGAACGACGGGACATCCTGCCAATTTCGGAAAAATTGTGCATGCCGACTTTCTTGGATATGGGCTTGGCGGTAGGCATAAGCCCGAAGCCCCGACATGATCGCATCGGGCAGACCTTGCCGACGATCTCTTCGCTCCCTCCACCAATTCGCCTTCCACGCACAAAACTGGAGGACTCTCCGCATTTCCTCCTCCAATAACTCGACCTCCTCTGCCCAACGCTTTGCTCGAGCACGAGTCTTCGCCCATTCGACCCGCAGACTCTCGTTAGTCGCCGCAAGGGCCGCTTCTTCGCTGTAGGCCGCCCGTGTGCTCAGCGAATCGATCGCCACGTCCGCTGGTAGCGATCCTACACCCATGCGCCATATCCACGACATCTCCTTGGGAGTATCATCGTCGTCCCGCCTTCTTTTGCGTCGATCACGGTCCGGGTCTGAGAATAGGGCTCGTGGCATTGCGCGTACGTCCGCAGCCTTGAGCTCCTTCAGAACTGACCGCCAACTAGAGTCTCCAACGATGACATGCAAGCTCAAGAGAGCGGCTCGTGTTTGGCGATAGTCGTCGGCCACCCGCCGGATTCGCTCGTCGACAGCTTGGATAGCCTTGGCCGCGCGAGTATGACCTGCGACACCACTCGTGTGCTTGTCCTTTGCTTTATACTTTTGCGTCCGCACGAGTAAAAGCCGCCGCAACTCTTCGAGAAGATGGAGACAACGCCCCTTTCGGAGCTGGAATTCGTACCAGGCATGGCTGGGATGATGGAGAGTGGTGGAGCGAGCGATGAGCGTTGAAGGGAGGAGAAGCTGGAGCCGATAGAGGGGGGCGCCTGGGATGGAGTCGACGCCTCCGCTATTGGCTTGAATAGCCTCGTCAGTGGCTCTCAAAGCCGTGACTTCAGGTGCGAAGTCCCTTTGGATGTCGAACCAGCTAATGATTTTGCGCTGTAGCTTTGCTTCCCGCTCCGAGATCGCAGACTTTTGTAGCGCGGTAGCATGTGTGCTCAGGCCTTTGGCGTCGTTTGCAAGAGCTTGACGCTGCTCCTCCAACGTCCAACGCCATCGCAATCATGTCGGCCGCATGGAGGTCCCCATGTATATCGCGGGAGGTGTCGAATGAAGGAGGGATGGTGTCGAGAGTAGTGGGGAGAGGGTTTTTCAAGCGAGCGCGAATCTCTTGTAGGCTCTCAACTTTTGACGTAACGTTGAATGGATTCATTTCACGAGAATCATCTTCCCATTTTGCCATGACCTCAGTCCAGCGCTGGATGACCTCTCGTGGCAGCGCGCTCTCCACCTCCAGCAACTCCGCCCGCGTCTCCACCATCTCGGCGACTGCCGTCTTGATCTTCTCCAGAAGCGCTTTTCCCAGCCCAACGATCTTCTTGTGGTTCCAGTCGTTGAAGTGGTCGTCTATGGTATCGCGTCGGGCGCCGGGTCCCATTTCCCTTGTACTGGATGCAAGTGGATTAGCATTAGCCCAGCCACGTTCCGGAGCTTCGCCGTCGGTTCGGCCCATGTACGGTGTGAGGTCGAATGAATATTCGATATTGCAGCGCTCAATGTGTGCGCGGGGAGGTGGAATTTTGGAATGAGGAAGACGTAGCGACGATGAGGCACTATGGCTGAGCTGCGGAGATCGTCGGAGTATTTGGCGTTGCGAATCCAGATGTTCTTGCTCCATTGGCAGACGATGTCGTAGGAAACGATGATATCCACCAGGTTCGAATAACTCGGAAGGCTCAAGCTCTTCCAAAGCATATAATCCATGTTAATGTAGCTGAGGAAAAATGAGACCGACACAAGATAAGAACAAGATATACGCACCGCTCTCCTTTCTGGAGGTCTCCAACGCCATTAGGGCGTTTCATATTATGTCGAGCACAGTCGACGGTGCCAATCCCAGATGAGGCTGTCCCCCGCGCGATTCCCGGTCAGGCTCGTTGACAGCATCATGAGAGACGCAGGTGCTCTTCTAGGTATGCAGTCAGATATCACGCTAGAAAGTGCTAGGAACGGGATAAACTGACCTCCTGTTCGAGGCTCCAGTGGGCGCGTACATGCTCCATGTACGTTGGAACATCGCTAAAGAAAGCGGACCCAGCGTTAAGACCTGGGTCGACGCTCTCAGTCGAAACCTGCTTCCGCTTCATTTTGAAGTTGGCGTCGATAGCCAAGAACAACGAGTATTTGAAGCGCTGATGGCGAGGAACACTTTGCCAACTGTTGTCCTCCGGGAGATTTTTGCCGGGCTGCGGGCAGGCTGGACAAAGCAGAGCGCAGGAGCCTGCTGGGACATTGCGTGTAGCGTTGTCTTCATGGCCACGTCCAGCGCGTTTGAGCATCTGCACGAATCGCCACTCGCGGGACATAGTTACAAACTCGCGGTATCGGTCCTTTAAGCGGATTAGACTAGGCAGATATGGGCAAGGAAATGCACTTACGCGAGGCTGAAATATACCATTGTTGTTCGTTAAGCGCGCCAGGGTGTTATAGAATTCGTAAGCCGAGCATTTGGCTTCGAAGGAAAGGATGTGGAAGAGGCGTAAAGCCGAGAATGTCGCAGCAGTCAAAGGCCGTGTCGATGTTGCTGGGAACAAACGCCGTCGCAAAAGCTGAATAGCTCGCTTTGGAGCAGACGGACAGGTGCAGAAATTGATGGCGATTTCGTGCACTCCGTTGCATTCAACGACACAGAAAGTTTCGTAAGTCTGCTGCCCGTCGCTGGCCAGCGAAAGGCGAGCGAGTGTTCCTGGGCACTGCTCGCCATGTGGGTGGCCTAATTGAAGCCGTAGACCAAGAGATTTGAGGGTACAAAGCTCGAAGAATGAGCCCTGCCAACGCTGGAGGACTGTTAGAAGAAGAATCAACAGATATTGCATAAAGCTGACCTCGGGACGATGGAAGGGCAGGTCCGCATGGTACTCCACAATGCAACTCTTGCAAAACCGACCATCCAACAAGCAGTCCCGACAACGGAGCATAGCCTCGTCCTGGCCACAAACGACACATTCAGAGATGCTGGAAGCGTCTCCTTCTAATCGAATGAATTCATCGAGATAATCTTGCACGTCGTTGTCGAACCAAAGCTGAAGCGGACGGTCCTGGGGAGGCCTGATAAGTTATAACAGCAATGTTGAGCCTCGGAGACTCACCGACGCACGAGGCGCCCGCTTTTCCTGGGGATGGCCTTCATCGAAATCAAAGCCGCACGCAAACGGGTCCTCCCCTGCCTCCAGAGCAGCAAGGATGCGAGCGTTGTCAGAGATGCCATCTGGGCTCAGCAATGGAGCCGGCTTGTGAATGGCTGACTGCTTGCGGGGGCGAAGTGGTCGTTGGCAGGAGTTGGGTGCTGGTGTGAAATTGTCCATGTGCAGTGACAGACAGGTCGTGACGAAGCTTTCCGGGACGTGGGCGCGGGTCGTCATCGTCACTGTCGTCAAACACTGTTCTTGTTGTTCGAAAGCGAGGGCGAGGAGACATATGGAACCACCGAGGAACACTAGCTTTAGCTGCTTAGAAATAATATAGTCTCCAGTTCATAGCTAAGGAGGCCCAACTCGAATGCCTCAAGTCGCAGTCACGGTCATGTGTCAAATCTGCATTCAATGGGAGAAACTGGGTCCAAGGAGCACTTTTTAAAAATGCTTCATCAACTACAAGTACTGCCTCGCTTTCCGATCGTTCTCGCCCGGCAATATCAGACTTTGAGCTGCTTGCATGTACATGCCAAGACTTGGTTTTTTTAAAAACGATTCGGGTTACGATCTCAACTTGCTTATGCCAAGGATTTCTTTTCAAAAAATACACCAAGTTGTAGTCTCAAGAGATCCGGATTCCACTCCGCCTTCAGTCAAAGAGCTGATATCAATGCGCCACAACACCTAAAATTCTGCCTTTGCCTCCAACGAGGCTCGTGCGCAAAGATAATGGGCGACATCCAGCGTGGTGAAGTATACACCAATATGGACTTGATGCTGTTTGCAAACTTTTCTCGGTGTGCTCGTTGTTTTGACATGCACCTACCTGGTCTTGACGTTCGTTGATCTGGCTATGATTACACCTGCGGAACCGTGGCCCAAGACCGAATTGGTGACGACGACACCCATGACGTTGATATGGATGATGACATCCCCGAGCTGGTTGAGATGGACGACGACGAGCTTTGGCACTGCTGCTGCTGCTGCCCTGGATTGGCATTATCGGCAGGACAATTGACCGACGCCCGGTATGTGGACCATACTCGCAGCTAGTTTGACTGACTACGAACACAGCATGCGGCAGCATCCGATGGCCGTTGAGAATACCACCGAGGCCCCGCATCCACCACCGTTGGACGAGGTAATGGTGTTGACGCCATCCACATCCCCTAACTTGGACTTGGTCCGGGGCACGAAGATTTGTACTGTTTTATCCTCCAAACAGGCAGCCGAGAGGACCACAGAGGCCAAAGGGAAGACTGGAGCAGACGATAAAGTAGCATTGAGTAGATAGTGTAATATGAAAACCAGTTTGGCCGAGTCAAATTGTGCGTAGGAATAAGTGGGGTCAAGGTAGCGCTAAGTATGAAAATGGGATGCGAAGGCGAAGGCCATGAATATGGAGGGGTTGTGGAAATGTAGCACGCAGAGGACTTGGTAGGGATGGAGATAGCGACGGCAATAAGTGGGAAGGAATGTGGATGTGTCATGGAGAGCACTAGTGGGAGAGATGAAGATATATGTGACTGGAGTCTGTGTGCGTGCGAGTAGGTGAAAGGAAAAACGACGGGGGCCTTCAGTCGAGATACCCGCTTCAACAGGTAACAGGTTTGAGTAGGTGAAAGCGAAGACGACGAAGTAGGTGAAAGCGAAGATGACGAGGGTAGGGTGGTCTTCAGTGATGGTCTTCAGTCGAGATACCACTGAGGCATGAGGTGAGATGAAGGGATAATGATTCTACAGGTTTGCGCACCTCAGAATCCAGAGATAGAATCGACTTAGTGTTAGCTCGAGAGGGAATCGGTGTCAAGTAAGCTATGCAGCTCGCGTTAGCACAGAGGCTACCAGATTGAAAGTACACACCTGAAAACAAGTGAATCGACCGAGATGGCGGCTGTGTAGGCCCGAGGGAGTCGCATATTATGGAGGCACGGTAGGTGACATCGAGCTGGAAAGTGCATTACTCGGAGGAGAAAGGAGCACACAAAGTACATACGCACCTTTATATGACGGCCTTTGCATTCGATATGGTGTTTGTAGACGGTTTGGGAGTCATTCTAGAAAGGACAGACGCGCGAGGAAAGCAGAAGAAGAGGAAAAGGGCGATGAGGTGGCAGTCACATTGCTGTGACACTGCTCGGGACGGGCGGCTAAATGGCCGAATCTATTTTTGTTTGGATTCAAATCCTTTCGTTTGGGGGCTATACTGAGTTAGGGCGTCCCAGAAAATACCGATTACTTATTACACATGTTAGCTTGCAGCTGGCAAAAAATTTAGGGGAAAACAGCAAGCTTTACATCTCGCCGACATACAAAAATATTCACAGCACAACAAGATACAAGGAAATTAAATATTTGGTGGCGTATATGTAAGCTCCTGCACAAGCGCAGCCAATATCGAGTGAAATTTTGGGCACTATGGTAAGTGAAAAGCCGTAAGTAATTTTGGCTATCACGAAATCCTAGCATGATCAGCGAAACATTACAGATCATTCCCTTCTTTCTCTCAACATTCATGTCTCAAATCAATGACTGTTAGAAGACATACCAGGTTGCGCACTGGTATGGCCACTCACTCCCTCTGCAACTATGCCCTGGTCTCATTTCTGCCTTCAAGCCACCGACGCAGACTGGACTCCATATTCAGGCAGTGCAAAGGCAAGAACTCAAGCTCGAACAAGATACCGAGAACGGTATACTCTACATGATATTATTGCCCTTATTATCTCTGACCAATATATATTAGGCATAGATCTGGCATTCGTGAAGCGGACAGAGTTAAAACGGCACAGCGACGGCAAGTATTCCACTTTCAGTCATGCTTATGACTGTCTCACACACTTCAGACAGACACAAAGGGCAGATCGGAATCTCAAGAAGCTCCCGCTAGCACGTCGTGCATGCCAAAGCACCACAGAATTGAGTCTTGAACAAGACCAATGTGGTGAACCTGGAGCTGTTGCTGCAACACAGTATGTAATCACGCATTGCTGACGCGTGCGGACTGACAACTCCAACAAAGAACACCAGTTTCATTTGGTCCCTATTGCCCTATTACCCCAATTCACCACTTTACTCGCTACGATGATGCAACAATCGTCTCGTATCCTCCAACACAAGCGCAATCCGAGCTTGAACTGTATATTTCTTCTTCCATGGCATTATATCTTTGGACTGACATATATATTTTTATAGTGATTCCGAGTCAGCGTCGTCAATTGCATCCTTGGGTGGGCTGGCACTGCATATCGAATACAAGGCTGGTTGCGGGGCCGGTGTGGGTATCGACATCATCCCATCAGCTAACCCCGCACAGGCACTGGCACAAGTGCCGATCGAATTGTACGCTGTTATTGCTGCGCTGCTTCATGAGCTCTCACACATGACAGGTTTGGGGCTGCACGCCGCCAGTGGCGGAACTTCAGTGCACGATCTCAAGCTTACTGGGCCAAGAACTTCCTTCCGGGTGTTACATCAAGAATCATCGATCATTTTGGTCAGCTGCCTCCAGGAATCTCACCACTGACCAATCCCCAGCAACGGGAGTTGCGACGCACAGGTCAGCTAACACTGACCTACATCCAGTGCATCCAAATGCGTGTGTGGATTCTAAACAACATCTGGATTGAAGGCGCTCAGTTAACATCGAGTGATATCGGAAAATGGCAGGGGATTCCGACCGCCACATCCAGATATTTGACTAGTGATAACCGTAAAAAGATTGTCCTCTGGCTTGAAAATATATCATAATAGATTGATCCAAATTGCGAGATCGACTCTAATTATTGTTTCGGAGATGATTGATCCAAGAGACATCACTCATCATTGGTCACTTCAAAGTCCGCACGGTGCAAAGCGCAAACAGATCAAATTTCCAATCACAAGACACTACGGGTACGACTACATGTGTGTGCAACGCTCAGGGCTGACAGCGCGTTGATCTTTGCCGCACAGTCTTGGCAGAGGACGTTTGGCAAGCTCAGATGGAGCATCAAACCAGTGCTGAAACAAGTTAGATGGACACAAGTCGAAACGAGAAGAAAGAACATACTGCGACGGCCCGTCAGCAGCATTGGACGCAGCGGGAAATTCGACCTCATTGAGCGACACAATTTTCTCCACTTTGCCTGCGTTGTAAGCAGAGAGATAGACCGCATACGCTGCGGCAAAGCCTTTCACCTTTGTGCGATGATTGCCGGGGATGCCTTCGACAAGACTCGTTGCGTAGTTGCTGACCAAACAGGTAAGTGAGCTGTGTAAATGTGACGATTAGAGACAACGCACGCGCTAGTGTAGATCCCAGGCTCCCGACCAACGGTCACAACTTGATAGTGCACGTCTGTAGCCTGGTCTTCGACTGAGGCTTTGACGGGCGGCCGGAGTACGGGGAGGAAGGGAGGTAAAGCCGTCCGGAACACAATCTACAAAGAGTGAGTTGACTAGAAGGACAAGACCAGGTTCCTTACCAGTCGAGAGCGAATGAACTGATGCGGCGGAAACTGACATTGAATTACGGTGAGTGTAAGGATGATAGAGAAGAAGATGCACGCACCGTCAATAGTGCCTTCAGTGCCGTGGACAAAGCCAGGTGTATCGAGTGCGTCCGACAAAGTGGTAGCCACCAGTTGATCAACCTGGATGGGCAGCGCAGCTAATAAGACGTTAATTTTGACATGGGGGGGAGCTCATGCACACACCTTTGACAACGTCTAGACGCTGAACAATGTTAAGCACAAGGTTAGTTAGATCACCCAGCTCCGCAACTACAGCAGCCACATCGGTGGCTGCTGTAGTCGTCGAGACAGAGGGAATTTGCGCCATGGGTGTGGGGATGAAAGGAGCGCGAATCAAGTCGGACCACTTGCTGGTTATTTCAGAGGTTGATGATTTTTAAAAAAACCATGTACTGGGGCAGCTCATCGGCTGGGCATCAATGGAATCAGTGGGCTTTTTTTAAAAAAAGCTCACTAACCTTGTCGCAAGTATGCACATGGCCTTATCGGCACATGGCGACTGATCCGGCTAATCGTTGTGGGCTTAACATGATAGACGCGGTCTTGGTTTTCAAAACGAGCAAAGTCAATTTTTTTACCTTCCCGACTTCTCTACGCCGGAATGTCTGGTGCACGTCGCGGAAGACGCAGCCAATTTTCCAGTCCGCAGCAGGTGTGGCTCCAGGAGCAACTTTCTGGCTTCCTCGCCGCCCAACGCAGCGGAAATCCTGGTGC